TTTGAGGATGATGATGAGGATGAAGAGGGAGATGAAGATGACGAGTAGGTCAATTAGCAATAGAATGCTAGATTGGCTGTACATCGAATTCCAAAAGACTGTAGATATTATATATATTGGCGCGACTATGACATGAATTGACTTGATGATTTACTACTTTTTCAACAACATATTTGTTAGAGTAATAGCAAAAAATCAGCACTTGAACTAATTATCTTTCCAGCCATCAAGGATGAATATATTGATGTCGACCGTCACACTGGAAGTATACCAACCACCCTCAAAATAGACGCAAAGCACCCCAGCCTTAACCTCAATACGCAAAGCAATAAAGCAAAGCAATATTCACAAGCTCGGCGGCAACCGAAACTAGTGGAGCAGATCCCGGCGCTCCCTGAAACACAGACACCGAGTCACCGCAAGGGCAAAGACAAATGACACTATTCATTAAGTTACCCACACTGTACGTTACAATACAAGTGGGCAAAGAGTACACATGGCTCTCACGCTAAAGGGAGCGGCACGACTTCCCCGTGGCATCTTCAACATGCAAGTCAAGACATGTTTGGGAATGTCTAAGTGGGGATATTTGAGACTTTACACGCGGGAACCTCCTGGTTATTGGACTGGGATGCCAGGGAGTGGAATGATCTACCGTTACCTTTTCTGCACCCCCAGCTTCGAGGGTGCGATCATCGGTTTCAGTGCAGATTTACCGTAGTAGTGGAGTCATTTGTATGGTTGTCTATAGGAGTGACTACTAGGTAATAGGCAGACTAGTAGACTAGTGGAAATAATATAGATGATTAACAGGCTATAGTCCAACGCATATACATATACTATAGGTACTCTACAGACCTCTGTACAGGTGATATCAGCAAGGTATAAAGGGATAACCATGAGGAGACCATGAGAACCACGCACTATTGCCATACCGAACTCTAAACCACATCTCCATCCCTTGGACTACAACGTAAAGATACAGTGGTACTCAGAATTCCCGGAGAGTGATAGAGAAGGAATCGAAGATCGCAAGTATTCCAAGAATGGAGAAGTGCTACGGTGTTGTAGATCGGGTGGCAAGACATTCTGCAAGGCGCCATGTGGCAATACTGATTGGTAGTATATCTGTCTGCCTAGTTACTTTAGTTACATGTGGTGTACTGCTGTGGCGGTGCGTATTAATTTCACGACAAACGAACTAGATGATCTATTCTAGGAGAGTGGTCCAGCAGTTCATTCGATACATCACAGCATCCCGTACCCAGAACCAGGCAACTATACAATGACCCGTTGGGCTGTAGGCCCCTGGAAGAAACCCCCCTTCACGGCAGATCACAGATCACAGATGCCAAGAATCTCCAGGTCACACCAGACCAGCTGTAACGGAGGCCCGGGAGATTTTGAGATTTGGTGAAAATAGCCGCTATAGAATAACCCTAACTTGGGACTGAGACGGGTATGTGCAGGACCGGTTTGCTAAGCTCATGTCTGTCCGATGTTGCACAATACAGAGTAATATAGCCTAGTAAGTAATACTAGTATATAGATCTAGATTCTAAGGTAACTCTATCGGTGGGTAAACCCGTGTGTGGAACTGAACTTTTCACTCTGCCGATCCTGCATTGTGCATTGTGCCATGTGTCTGCTCGGCAAAGTCCATAGCAGTAGAGTACGAGTACTAGTAGGAGTACAGTAGGCTCATTGTTTGCCTAATCTAAGGATCCAGTAATATAACGTGTGCCACGAGAATGTGTATACGGTTCGAATCCATATGGCTCCTTGCTCCCCAGGGTCAGCCTCGTGGCACACTGTTGCAGTAGGGGCTTGGCCGTAATACCAGTACATTCCTATTTCATTATTCTATTTTATTCTTGTTTTATTCTTATTTTATTCCCTTTTTTACTATTTGATTTCCTTCGTTTTGTTCTTGAACCCCAGTTTCGTGAGCCTCGGACTCGAGTCCCCGCTCTAGAAAATCGGCATAGCTCCCTCATTTACTCTTTCTACACTTTCTGCACACTTTCTGCACACTTGCTTCCTCTATCTCTCTCTTACTCCCCTTTCCAATTATATTCTGTACAAAGGTCTTCATTGTAAGCTTATCTCCTCCCCCTTCTTCTCCCGTCTAACGTGTTAAGGTTACATCCGCTCCCATTCTTCTTTGGCTCGAGTATATACGAAACCCAACTCTCTGGTCCCTCTGGAACATGCAATAGTGGAACGTTCTCTCACGGACTGCGCTTTCCACTACACCTCACATGGATCCCTCCGTCGTTCATAGGCCATGGGTGGCCGTCTCAGGCCCGCAGACGCCCGGTTCGACACAAACCCTGCCCTCCATCTCGACCCTCACCGCGAACATGCCTGGAACCGGAGCCCCGGAGAAGTCACCAGGTGCATCACTGAATACGATCGAGCGCGATTCGGGGAATTGGTCTATGCCGCAAAGCACAAGTAGGAGACCCTCACCCGGCACGGAGTGGGAGCGGCGCGGTGCTGACCCTGTAGGATCGTCCACCTACTCTACGACCACCAATGGCACCGGCAACAACTATCCCTCCCTTAGCTTCATTTCCTCGTCGCAACCCTCTCCGAATCGCACTCATCCGGCCGTCGACCGCTCTCCCTTCGCTCATGATCAATCGACGACGCCTTCCTCCGCCGGCGCCCAGCCATCCCCGAACTTTAACACCCCTCAACCCAACTCCGCCCTCCCCTCCATCAATCAGAACTACGAAGCGCCCTCGCAACGGGCGAGTGTCGCAGAGACCGAGTCGCGCCGCAGCAGCGTCGACAGCCGTATGAACCAAGGCATCAGCTCTCTCGCGATCAACCCGGCCTCCCCCTACCACAGCACCAATGCCTCCCAGTCCTCGATCGTATCGAGTCTGCAACGGGAGCGAGGCATCCCGACCGACATGAATTCATACCGGGGGCCTCGCTACTCAGGGGGCAGCCAGCCTCTGTCTCCTTTGGGCCCGCGCCCCGGGGAGCATCGAAGTTTTGCAGCCGGTCGCACGGCTCCCGCCATTCAATCCAACCCGCGGTCGGAAATTTACAACGCTGAAGCTCCCACCGCGGGTATGGCGTACGCCTTCCCTGACCCAGACATGGCGCGCTCAAGCTCCGTATCCTCCAAGGGATCCAATCCCCCATTCTCCCGAAAAGGCAGTACCGCGGAGTCGCTCAGCAGTATGTACTCCGAATCGCGGATGCCGCGCGGACAGCACGGTAAGACATCTTCCCCCAGCCTATACCCGTCGCATACTGATTTAGTAGACCTGCCCCAAAACGTACACCACCATTCCTTGCAACACAAGGCAGTCCGCGACTTGATCGGCGAGGAAGACACACCTCCCGGCAGCACCCCCTACAGCCGAACGCCGGAACTGCGCGTAACACATAAGCTCGCCGAGCGCAAACGTCGCAGCGAAATGAAAGATTGTTTCGAATCCTTGCGTCTACGCCTGCCATCAGGCCAAACCAACAAATCCAGCAAATGGGAAACCCTCACGCGCGCCATCGAGTATATAAATCACCTCGAGAAATCAATGGGCCAGGTGCGCCGCGAAAACAATGCCCTGCGCGATGAGATGGAAGCCATGCGCGCCCAGCTGAGCCAAGCCAATGGCCAACCCCGACAGCCATCCATCTTTGAGCACCACCCCATGAACGCACAGCAAGCCAATGGCCATGGCCATGGCCAGACCCAAGGCCCGGTCTTTGGCTTTGCGAATGGTGCGCCTGTGGCGCAGGAGCAGCCGCGTACTCTACCGCCGCTTATGAATGGGTCGGTTGCGCCTATGCAGGGTATCCAGTATACCGATGAACGGCGGTAGTGATGGCGCTTAAAGGAGAGGCTTTCCCTCTCACTCCTGGAGCCTATGGATGAGAAATGACTAGTCATGCTGCAAAACCCCCAACGACTTGTTTTCCTTTGTTCTCAAGGTATATGCCTTTTAGATGCGACGATCGACACTCGATCCGTTCATATGTTTTTGCTTCACCACGGAGTGGTTTCTGTTTTTTATGTTCTTCATACCCGCAATCGTCTTTGTCTTTTAGATTTTCCTAGGGTTATTCCCATATTGCAGAGAATGTCTCTGGGCTGGGATTGGAATGGAATTAGGGAATATGGAAGGGATATGGAATATGGGATGTCTTCTTTACTCGACTCCGAGTGTGTATCAATTGACAAAACGGCGCCGATGCGCTGAATCATAACTATAACCTCTTGGTATATCCCACTCAACCTTATAATTAACATTCAAGTTTCAAGTAAAAACAGACAGTTCTACCTTAATTTTATAATCTTATTATATCATAAGAAACAATTCTATTTAAAGAAGTTCCTGCATGATTGGTGGTTGGAAGCGCCCAACCAGGCCCGGCGCGTAACCAACGGCCTCAAAACAGGCACTACATCCAATCCATCGCACGCATCTGCCACCCATCCAATAGCGGGACTTGAATCAGGCTAGCCCTGTAGAAGGCTGTCTGGGATTACTGCAGAAAAGCAGCTGTAACAATTGTCATTGGAGGTTAGCGCCCGACAGAAACAGATCGACATGTTTAGCTTGGAGCTCCCAGTGCAGACGAATGAATGCTGTGCAGAAATAGAGCTTCTTTCTCTTTTATTCCGTTGCATTTCTGCTTCTAAGTTCAGATATTATCCGGTTCTTCCCTTCCTTTGTTGTCCATTTCCTTCTCTTTTGTCGCTCATTGTTGCATATCAATAGACTCTTTCATTTGTCTATTGTTGCCCTTTCACAGCACCCATTGTTCCATTTGCGGGATAATATTAATAGATATTCCTTTATTGCGTTTCATCTTCTGCCTTGCATCTTCCCGTCTGTCCAACTTCCTTCATCTTTCATCCACCGACATCGCGTTGACACATGGTATAGTCGCAGCCCTAACGTCAACGCAACGATCACGACTGTGAACAAAACTAATACGCTCTTTCCACATTGACAGTCCTCTGAGACAACATCAAAATGCCTCCCAAACAAAAGCCTCAGCCACAACTCCACGTTCCAGTGCTCACATTCCCTCTTTCATCACCTATCAGCGAAGAAATCGAAAGTCCATCCTGCTCCTCGGCAGAAGACCACGAGGAAGAACATAATCGACCCTTTGCCTTTCTATCCAAAGCCACTCGGCAGAAACTCGATGCCAAAACTAGCAAAGATGGGACTGGGAATACGAATCGTTCGCCAACTTTCCCACAGATCTCGAAAGTGAACATTCGCGGTATATCCAAGAAACGGAAAAGTGTCGCAAAGCCTTTAGGTTTGAATCTCGTGACGAATTTTATACTGGAGCCGGCGCCAGAGAAAAGAGGAACAAGCCAAGAGACAGCTGCTGCACCATTCGTCGATCTAAACGATCTCAAGCTCCTCTCGAAAGTACGAGAGAGGGAACGCACAGCACAGAAATCAAAAGAGACATTCAAAAAGCGAGCCTCGCGCGGCTTTCAACGGTTACCTGATGAACAAACAAAGGAACAGACGCAGGATGGAGGCTCATTCCTCAACCAGCAACTCGAAAGCGCAGACACTTTCCATGATAGACACGAACATGGCCTCTCACCTTCAGACCGCCATGTCATGATTGGACTTACAGTTCCAACGAGCGAGTCTATGGATCGGGCGAGGGAACTCGATGATCAACATACACCACTGACACCCTCGATCATTGTCACGCCTGCCAGAGAAGAGGCGCCCTGGAACTCGCACTCGAATTCGAGTACTGAGGCACTGCGTCCGCCACGAGTTGCGTCTAGCGTATACTCTCAGCCTACGCCGCGTCTTTGGCAGTTTGAATCGGATGTCCCGCCTGTCCCTGCAATCCCGGCACAGCATTTTGCTAAGACTAAGGGGTCGGAGAGTGGATTCCTCAACACGAACCTGACAATCGATCCCGGGAAACGTCCTGCATCTATAACATCGACAGTCTGGGAAGATGACAGTCCTCGCGGGCAAAGTCCACCTACAACCGCAGAGTCGAGCATCATCAACACCAACACCAACCCCCAGAAAAGAAATATAAACAACAACCCCTTCGCAGACGCAAACCGCCTCAGCGTCAACACAGAAACAGACCGCCCAACCTCCCAAGGCTGGTGGACATACCTCCTCTCCCCATTACTAGGCCGCCCAAGCAAATCACCTTTAAGCCCATCCTTCCCCCAAAGCCAAGACTCTCCCTCACCCTCTGCCTCAACGCTATCACCTACCACAACCCGCAAAGAATCAAGATGGTGGGCACGAGAAAAGGAACGCTACAAGGAAAAAGAAATCTCCTGCTTTTCACCTGATACACCCGAAACCGCTGCTCCAATGGGTGAGAAGAGCTTTGAGCAGATTCGCGGGGTTGATGCTGAAACTACAAACACGCATGGCCAACAATCCTTCCCAGATCTAGTCCCAGATCATGATCCTGCACCCGCCTATGAATTCGCAACTGCACCCGCACCTGGACAACAGACCATGTCCTTTATGTTTGGCGGTGGACAAACGATCCAGGGCGAAGCAGCTGAATATTATCAAGCTTGTGCGCATGAGTTGTTTAGTAAGACGCCTTATTTTGAGTGCGTCGGGCATGTTTGTTCTATGACTCCTATGGTCAATACCGGTGCTGGCGTTATCGGTGGGACGAGAGATCTTACGGGCAATGAGGGGAGTCATGGGTTGGCGATTGTTGCTGTTGATGAGAGCGGTCGTGGGGTTAACCCTAACTCTGGCTCTACTCTTGATCCTACGAGGAACTCGAATATTACGACTAAGGACTCTGGGTTGTTGATTGATATTGAATCGCCGAAGCCGAAATCTGTCATCAGTGGTGCTGGTGCTGGTGCCGGTGCCAGTGCTGCAAGTGCAAAGGAGGTATTGCTTCACTCACCAGCTTCGGATGCCAGTTCTGATTCTTGGGATTCATCTGTTGTCGACGTTCATGAGAAGGGTGCTGTTGCTGAGCAGGCTACAAGAGAGGTTCCAGCTGTTGTTGAGCATCAGCCTCCTACTCCTGCTCCTGCTCCAGCGCCAGTTGCAGTTCCAATGCCAGAGCCCCAGCCTGCGCCTGCACCAATCCCAATGCCGGCGCCTCAACCTGCTCCAGCTCCTCCACAGGTCATCAATATTTCGCCCCCAGTTGTGCATTATCCTCCGCCTCCACCACAGCCGCAGCCGCAGGCACAGTCTGTTCAGCCTATTATTGTACCTCAATATATTCCTGTTTTCCCCCCTGGTCAGCCTGTACAGCCGGAACAGCCTGCACCTGTGCTTCAGGAGCAGCAGCCGCTGGAGCAGACTCGTGAAATAGCGAGCCCACCACAGACTGGACCTGCTTCTCAGGGTCTGTCGTCTGGTTCAGAATGGCCGCGGCCATATGGTCAAGAGGTACAAGTGCCTGCTCAACCTGCTCCTCCTATTCGGGAAGTACCCAGTGGAGTTGAAACAGATCGACAGGCCCATGTCCCTCAGACTACACAAGTACCTCAGGTAGCACAGCCACAGCCACAAGGAACTGAGTGGATGTATGGACAGCGAAGGCACTTGCAAGCACCGCTTGTGGTCCAAGGACGGGAGTCCGGGTCTGGATGGCCATTTTCACACCGTCAACAACAGCAACAAGCTGCTCCGCCTGTACCTCAGGCTCCACCTCAGGGATTTGAATGGGCTTATGGATATCAGGGACAACAGCGTGCACCTGCGAGTCAGGCCCAGGCTCAGCCCGATGGAGCAGAACCGCTGCATCAACAGCAGCAGCCGCAAGTACAAGCACAGACTTTGCCTCAGGAACGGCAACGAGAGTCTGAGTCGCCAAGTGGAGAGCGGGTACAACCAGAGGTTATTTCTGTTGCTCAGGAACAAGCACGAGAACCACCCACCCTTCTGGCACCACCTCAGGGATCTGGATTAGCACCTTACCAAGCCCCGGCATCTGAACCAATCTCTCCGGGATTCCAGCGCGCAGCTGGAGGACCAGGCTCAATCCCTATGTCTGACATGCAAGCTCCAGCTCCAGCATACACCCAGTTTCCCAGAGATTCCCCTCTCCCGCCACGATATGATGTTCAACCACGCTATGCTCCCCATGCTGCTGGTGGAGCAACAATTGTGAATCCAGGTGGTGCAATTGGGCCTTACGAGACTCGACGCCGCAGACTGGAAAGGGAAGACGCAGCTGGACGCAAGGCTGGTGGTCTATGGCGTGGCCGAGGCCCATTCAGCATTAAAGGCTGCTTTGGACGTCCAGGACGTGAAGGCCGAACTCGACGAAGATGGTACTTGGTTATCTTTCTCTTCTTTTTCACCATTGTGATCCTTGCCATTGTGCTTGCAATCACACTGACCAAAAAGGGAGATCCAACTCCTGTTCAATCACAGTGGCTCAACCTCACTGGATATCCTCCTATGCCAACAGGTGTTGCGACTCTTGCTGGAACTGATCCCCAGGTTCAAAAATCTACTTGCATTACGCCCTCATCGATGTGGAGTTGCGCTTTGCCCAAGGGCCAGCAAGAAGCGAATGAGCCGTATAATGCGGATCAGCCTAACTTCCGAGTATCAATCTCATTCCGCAATGGGACATACGACAACAGCACAACTGTCGGTTCGAACTCAACAAGCAGTCTACGGAGGAGTGACTTGTTCATTCCATCCCCTGCAGCTCCAAGCAATGCAGAACAAGCCTTCATAGGCCAATACACAGACAACAACAGCGCACCCTACAGTGGCGAGGAAACACCTTTCTACATGTCCATGCTCTCCCCAATATCCCTCTCGTCGACAAACCTCTATCGCCGCTCCAGAGACACAAACAGCACCCTCTTCCCAAACCTCACATCCGTAATCCCACCCCCAGACGAAAATGCCGACGGCTCAGCCGCAGCAGCAATGCTCTATCCACTCCCAGCCTCCCAACCCATCAGACTGTACAACCGAGGCCAACCAACAGAGCACTACGGCTTCTACACATACTTCGACAAATCCATCTACCTAACCAGCCAAACAAAATCCGAGCCAGCAGACTCACCAGGTGGAACCAGCAGAGCAGACTCAAAATACCGCTGCACCTGGTCGCAGACCCGCTTCCTCGTCCAAATCTGGACTCAACCCGACAAAACCGCCCGTCGTCTCCTCCCATCCAGTAATACAACAGCCACAGCCACCTCAACAGCTGCAACATCCACTTCCACGAACAAAGCAACATCATCTTCGTCCGCAACGAATTTCTCACGTCCCGGTTCATTCCCATACCCGGTTACAATAACAATCGACCGCCACGGAGGCGCGGATAAAAAGAAAATGGTATATTGTTATGCCGTGGAGGATGATGGCCATTACAATATCACGGCTGTGCAGTTGCAATTGGAGGATCGGGCTGTTGGGGGTGCTGTTATTAATCCTGCTGGTGGGATCTTTGAGAGTTTGAGTCAGGTTAAGGAGGCTAATACTACGGAGTATGGGGGCGTTGATGGTGGTACCGGCGGGTGTCAGTGTCAGTATGTTAATTGGATTGCTACGGTATAGTGGGAATCTGGATGGTGGTGGTTCATGAAACTGTATGTAATTATGACTTGCTATCTTTACATGAAAAGCTTTTCGATTTCACTTCTTTGATTCGTATTTGAGTATTTTGGCTTCTTCGGGTGCCAACGCAATTTCATTGGTCTCTAGGTACTGGAGTAGTGTATCCTTTCTCGCAGAAACCTGATCTAAACAGTCCAATGACCAATTCCGACTCCAACACTCATCCATGACCTCTTCTATTGCAAAATCTACTCACTCGCGACCAACATTAATCTATCTTTATATCTCAATCTCACAGTATCCGCATGTGGGCAGTAAGTTGGCATTTTCGGTGGGCCTAGGATCTACCTTACCTAACGATATAAAACTCTCCGTAAAGAATTGCCGGCCTCTAATTACCGACCCTCGCACTAGAAACTAGAGCCGAAGACACTATACACGATCCCGTGCTCGCTGCTAACTAGGCATATCTACTCCGTAGCATTCGTCGACCGAAGGCAGTGGCAGTGATAAAGAACTGCATTCGCTATCTATCGTAGCAGCGGCGCGCAGCCGAAGCAACGACCGTCAATCGACTAAAGCCAAAGCACACGAGCCGGTCGGGACAACAAACAGACCTCTCGAAAGGACAGGTAGTCTACACGACCGTATTGCACCTTAGCCTACATCCGCGGCATAGTCAACCGAGACCCTCTAGATAAAGAATGCCCTAACTAGAAACTCCACGTGGCCGGAGACACTCCGTAGGACCGTAGGAGTTCACACGCCGGCTTCACCGTCAACTTGCTCGGAATTGAAACCATGGCTTTCAACAACTCCATGTCTGTGGTCGGACGGGTTACCTCATCAAAGCTACTCTTCTATTACACGGATACACTGCGATAATCAAGGCTATCACCGCAGACAAGCAGTATCTCATTCAAGCAGAGGCAGACAATTATCGTTATCTCGGGAGCCTGCAGGGAAAACAGATCCCTGTCTGTCTTGGGACATTTACGCCACAAGTCTCGTATTGGTACCATGGCGAAATAACGGAGCAGATGATGATCCTGAGCTGGTCAGGAAGCAGGCTTCAGGAAGTCCTTTATGTGGATCGTTTATTGAGCGGTCCGCATTAAAGTAAGGGGCGCAGTAAAATGCGACTTCTCTATTACAGTATGTATACAGCTGCGTAAATTACACTATGCGGATGAAAAGTCCGTAGTATTTCGTGGAACCCCGTAGCATAGTACGCACATGTAATCCATTTCTAAATGACATTCAGATCGAAATGTGGAAGACTGCGACATATTTTTATCAATTTTCACACCCTCGCAAATGGTACCCAACGCCCTTGAATGTTGCGACTGATCATCATGGTCAATCCTCCGGCAATCGACATAATTGCACCAAAGATCCACATCGAATTAAAGCCTTTACTTTGCAAAATAGCGCCAGCTACAGGCGTGCCAATCAAGTTGCCTATTGTCATGACCGCATAGCCCATGCCCATACGGGTTCCAATCAAGCTTCGATTCGGAGAGAGGTGCACAAAACAAGTTGGGGGCAAGGAAACAAAAGCTCCCGAGAAAAACCCGTAGAGCATCGAGACAACCACCATACCCGCCAAACTGGATAAGTTCACCAGTGCAAACATCAAAGCTCCGCACACAATGGTACATAAAGAGATGATGTTGAAGGGGCCGACCTGATTGGCAAAAAGGTTGGGTAATATGCGCCCAAAAACAGACCCAGTTGTAATGATAGAGAGAAGATAGAATCCCATTCCATCAGCAGGAATCCCTTTTTCTTGGCCATAAGATTGAATATAGAAGAAAGGAATGTTCAAAGAAATGAATGTAAGCAGACCACCCATAACGAAGAAGGCATATGCTGGTTCTTTGAAAGCAGGCAAGTCCATCGGCTTCCTCTTGCTAGAAGGTATGACTCGGACCCTAAAGACTGATAGCGGGATAAATAAAGTCACGAATATAACTAGTCCTATCGCTCGTACGGTCCAGCCAAACCCGATTTTGCTGCACAATTTGTGGAAAATGATTGGATATAAGATTCCCCCTTGAGGCGAGATAATATTAGTAATTGTTCAATTTGTACCGTTACCGAATTCATGCTTACCCAATCCACTTCCAGCGGCGGCTATGCCATTTGCAAGGGCCAATTTGGAGCTGAAATAGGTAGATAAAATTGCAACCCCTGGAATAAAGACAAGACCCACTCCAATTCCAATACAAAAGCCTTGCGCAAGTAGTACTTGATAATATTCATGACAAAGACTGGTCATCATTTGCCCCAGGATTATCAGAAGCGATCCGCTGTACAACAGCGCATGAAAGTATCCAGCGTCGTATAGCGGCCCTGTCACAAGACCGAGTATCAAAAGCAGAGAAGACTGGACTGAACCTATCCAGGAGATGTTGGAGGAGGACGCCGTATACAATTTTCCCGTCTCGTAATACGTTTGATAAGCCCCGAATGTATTCAAGATCCCCCTATCGTCCAGACATGTTAATGGGTGTCTTTTGAACAAGCATTCAAAAGACCGAAGGGAAAACCTACCAAGTGTTGAAGAAAATGAAGAAAGTTCCAAGTACTTGCAGCCAAGCTTTCAAACCACCATTCGGAACGGTTTGTGTTTCGTTGGCCACAGCCTTTGGTGCTGTTTCCAGAGCTGGCTCCCTAGCCAAGGAATCTGGTGGACTCGACGGATAAGTTTTTGCCTCTTCCATGTTGGATGTATGGGCATGCGATCCAAAGAACGAACTATTGCGAACACGTAAGGAGTAAGTTCAAAGACTCTCAAATGAGATTTTTTTTTGCATAAACAGAAATAGTGGCCGTTTTACAGCCGAAGAAAAAGCTCGCGACTAGTTCTCTGCGGTACAACCTGATGCCCTTAGACCGTTCCGCGCTTGACGGAGGCGACCGACTATCGATAGCCACCTCAATTTCTACAATCACTTCTTTCCCTGGTGACATAAGAGCCCTCTGCTGTGTTTTCGAGAGTTGTCGGCAGCCGCCGCTTTTTCTGTTTAACTAGTCGGAGCTCGCCGATAGACTACCCATGCCTTGCGATGAGAGCGTTCATCCTCCGCTGACTTCCGCCATGGATTTCCCGGGGGCGCCGACCGTCGAGTTAGATCCTTGACCCTCCTCCGTCGACTCCCATCGTGAGCCCCATAATGGCGATCAGAATATCCACCCCGGGCCGGCGGATGGGCCCTCCCGCCTCCCGTCTTGCGGTTAGATCCCCGATCCTCCGCTGGCTCCCATCGCGGGGCCTATCAACGACGATCAGGACATCCTCTCCTGGCCTGCGGGGACTGCCGACTGGCCCATGGTACGGTTAGATCCCTGATCCACTGTCCTCCGCCATGGATCACTCCGAAGATGACTAGGGCATCCACTACGGGCCGTGGGGAGCGCCGTCCGGCGCCCTCGTCTAACGGTTAAGCCAAGGCTTTTCTGGTTAGATGCGAATCTTATTTCCGGTTGTGGCTCGCATCTAGGGACCAGACTTTGGATAGACCAACTAAAATGCTGTCACTCATGCTCATAACTATCGGGGCGTTCGATTCTTCGGAACCTTTCTGTCATATCGAAGACAAGCTCTAGAAGGTAAGGGCAAACAATAGAGCGCCCTTTTTTCTGTTCAGATGGCTATAGACACCTTTGATAAGCTTACAATAGCGTTGAGAGACAAGCTTCATATTTCTCCCAATTCCTTCCTCGTACCAAGGGCCTGACAGTCGCGCCTGGCCATAGGGATGGCCTAGCTAGTCTATATTGGTGTCTAGCTTCATATAACTATACAGACGGTTTTGAAACTAGCAAAGCAGCCCATCGACTCCACCGCATCCTTCTTCCAGCCAACGACCCTCAATCGGGCCATCCAAGACATTGTTAACACTCAACTGAGTATATCGATTTGTTTCTGTAGAGAATGATTTTGCAATGATATCAGAGGATCTCAAATTCTTCTCACAAGCTTCCATCCAAAAATATTGGTATTCTTCAGTTAATCACCACATCAGCAACGACAAGCATTTTTACTTTCAGATGAGAGGCTCCACAACAAAGTCAAGGTATCGTGTGCACGGCCGTGCTTGAAACAACAGCCCTTTCGCTTCGAAATCTGGCCCGGAGGCTGACTCTGGAACCGTTTTTGCATTACGCATTAGCGTACGCGGGAACCAATGAGACAATGCAGCAATTACGAAAGGGTGTCTTCAACGGAGTCCGGGTTTCATTTTGTGGGGACTATTCTGTTGTGGTACTTTGGAACCTGATATCGGGACGGGGCATGATGCTTTACTTGGGGCCAAATTTCAAACCAGTGTACGTATAAAGAGAGGGGATCGTTAATTCAACACCCCTTTGCCTATTTCAACACCCCCTGCCTGAATCCTCAGGCAATTATTTTTTCTGCCGGACATATTTCTGCCACCACCGACCATGCATAAGGTACTTACATTTACTATGCAACCCCCTAATTAAATAAAGTCCCTTTCGTACTCTACCACCACCATGCCAAAAACACAGCGCTAGTCCCAAATAGGAAATAGATGCTATTTCCTATTACTCTACAGAAATGAAGGAATTGGCCCATGCAGCGGCCAGCACCCATTTTTCGTCAAATTCTTAGAGAATTGCATGAGAATAGTGAAGAAAATGAGTAATTTGCATTGTATCAGCCATTTATGGAGCCCCCTAGCGCTTCCTGAGGCGATCAGACTAGGAATCCTCGTCCTGAGATGCCCATGAAGCTATTCCCGACCCCTGAGATGTAGCCATGCTTGGCGGCGATGCCTGCTGGGTCTCTCCACGGCCACGGCCACCTTCCTGAGAAGCTTGTTGAGCTTCCTGGGTCGAAGGTGAAGCTATTCCCACTATGGTATCACCCTGCGAGGCTTGTTGACTTCCTCCACGTCCTCTTCCACGTCCTCGGCCCCGTCCACGTCCCCGTCCACGGCCTCGTCCACGGCCCCGTCCACCTTCCTGAGAAGCTTGTTGAGCTTCCTGGGCCGTAGATGAAGCTATTCCCATCCCTTGCGATGCCTGTTATGTCCCTCCACGTCCTCTGCCGCGTCCACGGCCCCGTCCACCTTCCTGAGATAGCATAAGCTCGAAGCCGGAGGGGTCTCGCTGGGTTGAAGGGTCTTGGGTGCTCGCTTGGGTGCTTTCGCTGCCGCCGCCGATGAAATTCCTAGCGCCTCGGGGGCGCCCTCGCCGGCGCACTTGGAGAGGATCCTGGAGTAGGAGTAGCGGGTTAATAGGAGGTGCAAATACACTGTACAAATGCCAGTGTTGATGAAATAACTCAGGCTCAAAGCTCTTCTCCTCTTCTTCGTACTGCATAATAAGATGAATGCATGGAAACCCTGCCGTATTCTTCGAATTACAGCGGCAAAGTGGAGGAATCGGCGGCTTATCCTCTGCTTCCGGTAGGTAATGGTTGTAGACAGCCTTCGTAAGCTTGATTGCTTGCAATGAAACCCGTCTATCCACCAATTTGAATAGACGCCAGAGGTTAGTGGACCTTCTTACCTTCTCGTTCTCGATCTTAGCCGTGACCTTATCGAATTGAAGCTTTATAGCATTCTCAAAGGTGCGAAGAACAACTAGTAGATCATTGGTCGAGACTTGAAGGTCCTGCTTAAGCAGCCAGTGAGCTCCCTCAGTCCGAGAGGTCGAAATCTCATTGAGATGAAGGTATTCGGAGGTGTATTCATGAAGGAAATACTCAGGGCAGTCGTCTAGCCATTCAGTCTGTAGATACTCGAGTAGAGGCATAAAAATCGGCTCTTTGTAGCATTCTTGAAGCTGTTTCCATCTCTCCTGTCTCTCTTCCGTAGTGACAGCGTAGACGACACGAATCCACCGCTTTAGCATCATCTTCCACGCTTTATCGACCATTTCTCGAAGCTCTCGGTCTCTCTCTACCTTCGTCCGACGCTGTGAGGAAGCTGAGGAAGCGGATGTATTTGCTGAAGCTTCAGTCTCTTGCCGAGCTTTTGCGAGCTGCTCAGCGAGTAGCGGACGCGCTTTCTTTAAGATATTCATGTTGATATGCCATAGACAGATCATATGCTTTGTAGAAGGGAAGACAACCTTCACAGCATTCATTAGCGCCTACTCCTTATCGGTAAGGATCGTCCGGGGTGCTTGAAGGCCGAGAGCTTCGTAAGCCTCTACAAGACAGCTTAAAATGACTTCGTAGCTATCATCCTTCTCGTCTTTTATGAAGGCGAAGCCGACGTAAAAGGTTGAGCCCGTAGCAGTGAAGCCGACGATATCGAGCATTGGAAGCCCGTACCGGTTAGTTTTGTAGGTGCAATCCATTGAAATAACCCATGAATTTGTCTTAAGTAATGCTATACTCGTCTTATGCATACAGAAGAGGGCTGTAACATGATTCTCATCGTCAACTTCATACTTGAAGATCCATTCGCCGTCCTTTGGAAGCTCTATCAATAGAGCTTGAAGCGGAGTACGGCCGGCAAGGAATTCAGCATGAAGCTTATGCCGGAAGTTGTAGATATCCTGGGCATTAAGGCAAGTCTCTGGATTGTCCTTTCGAAGAGCATGAAGGATCTGGCGGGTAGGTAGGCCCTGCTCTAGCTGCTTTTGGATGCCGTCTGATACTGTAGAAAGCTCTAGACTTCGCTGAATTGGGTGGGTTGAAAGAGGAGATGGCGTATGGTTATGTGACGTATCCTCCACCGTAAAAGACCATTTCCCCGTCTCTAGATTCAGCCGTATAGCCATAGCGAAAGGACAGTTATTTGAAAGCGTAGTAGTCTGACGCTTACGCTCTGGAGCACCCTCAGGGCGAGCGCGAGTGCTTACTGGACGACCGCGATCGCAGCAAATGTATATGACCTTCTTAACTCCTCTCTTCGTCTTTTTAGAGCGTAATGAGGTGACTGCGTAGCCATGTAATGCGCCAAAAGCATTGATTGCGGCCATTCCTTGCTCTGGTGTATCGTAATACTGATCGAGAGGGGGTAGCGGGAAGGTATGGAGGCTTGGCGGCGCGTCATGGAGGCTTGGCGGCGCGTCAGGAAGGCTTGGCAGCGTCGGCGGGGACTCGGGAATAGCTTCAGGCTCAGAATCGGACGGCGAATTAGGCTGTGAGGAAGCCATTGTAAAAAGCAATGAAATGCGAGAGAAATGCGAGAGAAATGGGTAGTAAATGGGAGGTTTGAAGGTGTAAACAACAATTATTTTGAATTTCTTATTGGGTACTACAGTGGAACAGGAGTGACCTATTTTTAGTAGGGGTTTACATAGTAATTCTAAGTACCTCGAGTTCTAGTCTATCTGCAGTGAAGTGGTAGACCAGGTGGTAATAAAATAAAAGTTCGGCACAAAAGCGGTGAGAAAGGCGGTGACCGGATTGGGATTTGGTGCCTGAGGATTCAGGCAGGGAGTGTTGAAATAGGCAAAGGGGTGTTGAATTAACGATCCCCTAAAGAGAATGGCAAATAATCAGCATCATTCCCCGTGCTACAGTATCAAGCCCCATCGTCACTTCGACTTGCACGCCCAAAAAGCCGTTACTCCTCTGTTTTCATCATGACCATCAAACCGTACCAACAAGTCCCAGAGAACAGATGTCCTCATTGTAGGAGCTGGTCCTGCTAGATTCATGGCTGCTGCAACTTTACAAAGATACAGTATCGATTTCTGCTTGATTGACAAACGGCCTACAAGGACCCAAACTGGGCATGCAAGTGGTTCGTGGTCGTTCTATTAGGTAAGCTAGTTAGCTATATATAGGACATCGAGGAAGGGTCCTAAGAGATTGTAACTATCATCTACTTTTATTTTTGACTATCAATTAATACTATTAAAGAACTTCACCTTATTATTATAATCTTCTTATACATCACCGTCGACAACTATCGTGACTATCACCTTAACGTGTTTGCCAAGCGAGCCGCCACCCCAAGCGAGCCGCCACCCCACCCCTATCTAATTATTTTAAATGCAATTATCTTAACCAAAACGCCATTAAATTCGATAAGCTAAACTCGAGGTCTATTAGGACATGTAGTCATTCTATGACCCTGAATTCCACATACACTACACTTCGTTTTTGCCCTCGTACGCGGCTAAGAAGGTGCTGAAGCTGGCCCTGCTGTTACGGACCTACCAGGCACCAATCGATTATGGGGCCGCAACTTACTGATCTTTCTGTCATCAGATCACGTGCAGTACCTTATACTCTGGGCACCCTAGGTATTCAAGGAAAAGAGAAACGTGATCATGCTCAGTGAGCAAGAGCATGATCTACCCTGAGCGGACCCACCCGGCAGACTTCATCCTGTACATATGTACCTATACATGATGGACAGAGTCTGCGCGCCAAAGGCCACTTTCGGCCTTCCACTCGCTATCTTATTGTATACCGCAATAACCAATGAGACGGCAACCACGTGATTACGTAGGTAGTAGAAGGTCGACAGTCGACCTAGTAGATCTTGCCAAGGCAAATCTACTGTTCTACTTTCTACCGTTCTACCTTGGAAGAACTCAGGATATATAAAGGCACTTATTTATATATCTAGTTTAGTTCTTCGTGTTCAATCATACATTGTTACTTATGTCTACTGTTTAGAACCTTTGGTGACTCGTACAACTTGATTATAACTTAACAACACTACGAATAGACCTATACTCCGGTATTGGTTAGTTCGGCGCTCTACCTGGCATCGCTTCTCGATACCCTCAAAAGGACTTAGCCCGTATAAGGCCTGTTAGGCGACGGTACGGTTGAGAGACAGATCGTTGACGTTAGAAGCAAGGAAGCATTCAGGCACAGCCTTCTCGAGAGCCCCCACACTCCAGAAGCGTCAAGGTAGAGCTGACGTCAAACCCTAAATCAAGATCGATCCAAACCTTAACTCTATGCTCAACACCCCGTTAAACGGCTCACAGCACATGTACACACCACCCAAGGCTTTTGAAATGATCGAAAGGGTTCTATTAATAGAGTATGACCATGAGAGTACCTACGGTTACATTTTCGCCATTGAGGTCCTGGGATTAAAGTTTGGCGTGAGAAGTCTATGAGCAATACAGTCTACTTAGAGAGGAAGTATAGCAGAGATTTCGAGAGGGGGAGCTCAGGGGGTATTTGCAGGGTCCTGGGGTTCTGCTCTTTTGGTTTTCATGTTCCTTGTCGTTTTCCTTGGTCGGTTGTCAGTTACTGGAGGTTATTTGACTCTGACTTTTTGTAACCATGAACGTGTTGGATTTGTCTATTTGGCTGCTTAATCGAGTAGACTAATTGACTTGAATGAACAATTGATCCAAATACTTTTTTTTGAGATTAACATTATATTAGATATGTATTGAAACAACCCAAAAATCAAAGACAGGATAAAAGCACAATATAAGCAGTCATATCCCCAACGCCTGTCTGAAGAGCCCGTTATCTCTCGCTCTCTGGTATTTCAATCCAATCACGGACAGCAGCAATTAATCAAACCAAAGATATCAGGGAGAGAAAGGACCGATGCTCAACAAAACTAAATTCCGAATATTAGAGGTGAGGTATTTATGCAAGGAGCATAAGACCGTAGACCATGACAGCACCGGCGGCACCGACCTGGGGAACGGAAACCTTGGAGCCGGGGTTGGAGGGAGTGAAGCCAGTGGCGCTGGGGCCGGCAGGGGTGTTGCCAGCGCCGCCAGCACCTCCAGCACCTCCAGCGCCGCCAGAGGGGCCAGCGCCAGGGCCAGCGCTAGGGCCAGCGCTAGGGGCAGCGCCGCCGGCGCCGGAGCTAGCGGCAGGGGTCCTGCTGGGGACAACCACGGGGATGGTGGAGCTACCAGTTTGGCAGGTGAAGCATGGGGCAGTCGAGGTAACGACGATGGTGCTGTTATTGCCCTGGGTGCCGTTGTTAGGGGTGCCGGTCACGATGGGGTGGGTGCCGGTCTGGATGCCGGTGCCATGGGCGCCGGTGGCGGTACCGGTGGCCTGCTTGTTGATGACACTCTTGGTGTTGACAGCGGGCTCCTTCTGGGCAACACCGGCAGAGACACCGGCGGCGAGGGCCAGGACGGCCACGGAGGGGGCAGTGAAGTGCATTTTGTTGGTCGGGCTTGAAAGAAAAGCGATTGGATCAAGAAGTGTTGCTTCCTGTCTGAACGAATGAAGGAGCTAGATGGCAGGTTAGTATGAGCTGAAGAGAGTTGAGACTGGGAGTCTCATAGAGCGAAGCTTACCTAGGGTAATTATGCTGATGCGATGGGAAGGGAAAGGAACTCAGGCCAGGGACGATGAGGAAGGGATTCTTATAGACATCGTGAGCTGTCCAAATCCGGCCCATAGATCAATTAAAGTTATTGATGACGAGAAGAGAATTTTCACAGCGGACCTGTTCCTCTGCTGTTCCTGCCCTGGCTATGGTCAGAGGAACGAGATTTTCATATCGTCATTTCCGCATGCGGGTATGTCACACTGGGCACTGGGGCTCCGGCCGAGCTCCATCGTGCAACCCTAAGGCGACGATCGGCGTTAGTCCGGCGCCGACAGCGTCATGAACTCGCGGGCGAACGGTGGAGCCAGGAGTATGGGTCACGTGATGTGTTGTTCCCAAATAGGAAGTTGGCCATTGCATGCGGACAGCCAGGTTCAAGCCACCACGCCAGTGAAGCATTCCAGATTGATCAACGCCCGGCTGTCAGAATGGCTTTGTGGGGATTTCTTTGTTCGTGAGCTGTTTTCAGAAAGATTTGACAAAGACACGTTGTCCGAAGTCATGCAGCGATGTCTCCAGACAATGGGTGGAGCGTATCTCCAAGTCTCCCGACTCGCTGAATAGCCAGGAACGAGCTTCTGTGGAACTTTTAAAGAGGCTGAGAGGTACCACAAATGCACTGGATCTTGGTCATGGGACTCTGTGCCCTGGGGTTATAAAGGCAGGTGGAATCGCACTATACATTCGCTGCTAGCGCTTTGCGCTACTTCCAGATTACCATATGAAGAGAATCAAAACAACCACAGACATTGGTGTCATGCACCTCGGGAGCTTCAGGGCAGACAGTATTGCATGGAGCAACACTTCAAGCTCCCTCCCTGTAGGGCTGGTGACTTGGCCAATCGCCCACCGGGCACAAACTGCATTCGGCATATGTCAGTTTGCATCAATACAGCTAACTGTAGAGGATCAATGCTTGAGGATCTGTCATCTGTAACCCCAGGATCTTTGTCGAGGAATGTCAATTGCGTTGCTTCCTGACGCACGATCATCCGAACTATTGACATTTGCAATCCCAAAGTTAGGAATGTGGCTGCCACGGACAGTCTGCATAATGCCGCTTGAGGAGGATGACACCTCTTGGCAAGTCTTGTCTTCGTTCTCAGCTGCCTGTGGAGTATTTTCGTCAGCAGAACTGGAGACGAATGTGGAGTTACATGTAGTCGTTTGCTGTTGACAAATTTAGTGTGTTGCGCGCGGATAATCCAAATGCTCAAGGCAAAGGGATGGAACCGCGTCTGTTTGTGTGGGGATTGAGATAGAGCTGCAAAAAAGTAGACAGTAAAACAACAAGTGTAGGCTTCAGTAAGGATAGACTCAGCAGGCGACACTTCCACAAGTGACTATTGTGTTAAAGATGGTCTTATCGTGTTGGTCTTGGCGTTCTCGGGTCGATCTCCCTTGGCTTCTCCAACTCCGCTCTGTCACTGTCTTCATGTATTCATAGGCTGAGCCATGCGACGCCCAGACCTGAGTCCTTCACTTCTTCATCCTGCGAACTATGACAATGATGCCTCGTCATTGCGGTCGCCCTCCGAGCAGGACTCCGACTCCGACGACGATGCCCTCCTTCATCAGAACCGCAGTACCTTGGAGATCGCAGAGCACGACCGGGCGGTCCTGGAAGAGGAGGAGGAGTTAGAGAATCTCTTGACCAGGCGAGGCGCTGGACAGGGGCTGCGGAGGATGTTCAGCCCGCATAGTGCCAGCGTGAGAATTGGGAAAAAGAACAAGGAGCGCCGACCGCGGCGGAATTCCCGCCGGGAGAGGGTCAGTGAGGATGGTGAATTGATGTACGAGATGGAGGAAGGGTTTGGCGATGACAATGCCTCTCTATTGAGCGGGTCGTCGTTGGATTTGGATGGGAAGGACGAGTACACATATGACCCGGTAAGCACCTACTACAAATACCTACACTTCTCTGGCTAATGAGTTCACTACCTAGCCCCCTCGGCCTTCATGGAAAAAGTTCTTGTTCATTGGTGCCCTCATCGTCATACTCTTCTTCATCCTCGTCCTTGGGGCGTACAAAGCCTCAAGTGGCTTCCGAGCTTCTCGCGCCCAGCCTGTACCCCTGCTCTCGAATGGCACCGCACTCTTCGCGCCTACCACGATCGTTATCTCGCTCGATGGTTTTCGAGCCGACTTCCTCGACCGCGGCCTGACCCCTGCGCTCAACTCCCTTGTCGCCAATGGCGTCTCCCCGCAATACATGACCCCCAGCTTCCCGAGTGTCACCTTCCCCAACCATTTCACGCTCATGACCGGGCTATATCCCGAGAGCCACGGAGTTGTGGGAAATACATTCTGGGATCCGGAGAATGATGAGGAGTTTATCTCCACCCATTCATCTATCAGCATGCAACCCAAGTGGTGGAATGCCGAACCGCTCTGGGTTACAGCTGAAAAGCAACGTGTGAAGACTGCCATTCACATGTGGCCCGGATCTGAGGCACACATCCCAGACAGGGAGCCAAGTATTGTTGACAAATACAATGCGACAGAAGAATTGTCCCGCAAGGTTAATCGAGTTTTGGAACTTTTGGATCTCCCTGGCCTCGAGGATGGGTCGCAGGTGGAACCTGAGCGCCCGCAGTTTATCGCAGCCTACGTCCCAAACGTGGATAGCCATGGGCATAAATTTGGACCCAACAGCACTGAGATTCGAAAGACAATTAGTCGAGCGGATAGCATGGTTGCCGACATCATGGCTGGTCTTGCTCAGCGAAACCTGACAGATGTGGTCAATGTTGTTGTTCTATCAGACCATGGGATGGCTACGACATCCACAGAAAGAGTCGTCCAACTAGACGACCTCATTGACTACAATCTGATTGAACACCGCGACGGGTGGCCATCTATTGGTATTCGCCCGAAGCGGCCAGAAGATCTGCCAATCCTGCAAGCACAACTGGAGAAGGTAGCCCCAGATTGGGAGCATGCGTTCGAGTTCTACACAAAGGAGACAATGCCGGAACGCTATCACTTCTCAAACAACGACCGCATTGCACCACTGTGGGTCATTCCGAAGACTGGCTGGGCCATTGTCGATCGGTCAGAATGGGACGTCGAGGCAGCTTTGAAGGCTGGGGAAGCTTATTACCCAAGAGGTATTCACGGTTATGATCATGAGCATCCGTTGATGCGTGCCATTTTCATTGCGCGTGGTCCAGCTTTCCCGCATCAGCCTAATAGTCGAGTTGAAGTGTTCCGTGAGTATCTCTTCTACTGTTGGTTGATATCTGGGCTAATGAAGTTATTAGAAAATACCGAGGTGTATAATATTCTTTGCGACTCACTGGGCGTAGATCCTCGTCCGAGCAATGGCACTCTGCGTCTGCCATTTAAGCCCATCGGACTCCATTCCGACGAAGATGCTCCAGTCCTGGATACACCTCCTGATCCACCAGCTCTGGTTCAGACTTCTGCAACAGCAGAACCCTCAACCTCGGCACCGGCACCAGCGCCACAACCTACCACTTCATCTGAGACACCACCTGCTACCGACAATGATAGAGACAATGACGGTGAAAAGGGTACAACCTGGTGGAACTCGGTTTGGGACAAACTAGATGATTTCAAGCATTGGGCTGGCGGTGTTGCTGATGCTATCAAGGGTAATCACCCAGAGTCGCAGGGCTGATGCTTTGGTTCTATCTACCTTCTGTCCGGTTGGACCTTGCTGTATTTTGAAGATACCCACATTCACGTATATATAATGTTTAGACTTAGATCAATGATCTCGCATATCCTTGTTACACTACTCCCTGTATCTGGCTCCTCTGAGATGCTCATGCAACCTGCGCTTCCTATAGTTCTGGACGCTTCAGCATCTTTCTATCTGTTTCATAGGTGGAAGATAATATTATTTGCGTAGAGATTCTTAAATTCCTTGCTCGAATATGTTTCCCGCATGAGGGAATATATGCCCAAGATATATATCTGGACGTTGTCGTAAAATCCGGTACTCATCAGGTTACGATAAACTTTCAATTACACCACAGCCTAAAAACAACATCAAGAGAGATAGAAAAAGGAGAAGGTTATAAAGATGATCTCCTTTCATATTGTTCGTGGGTGCAAGTCCGAGTGTGTTTTTGCGGTATCTAACATGGGATCTCGTCCACAGTGTCAAAGATGGCGGAATACTCCATCAACCAGCCAAGTGGTCGAGCAGTAACTCGGTCATTCAATCTTCCTTGGTCTAGTGGTGATGATTTCCGCTTGTCATTAAAACCGATAAGCGCGGGAGACCGGGGTTCGATTCCCCGAGGGAGAGTTTCTTTTTGCACTTCTTTGCACTTCTACGAAGTTAAAATTGGTGTGTGTATGTGTATGTATGTATGAGCTATTTTTTTTTTGCAATTTTCTAACCCGGGCAATGCTCAATTACTCAATTGACTCAAGGTTGAACCATACGGGCCAGCCACGCACTGGGCCTCCAGACCAATGACTCAAGGCCAGCCACAAGCCGCAGCAAGCAAAACACCTCATGGCCAATCAATCCCGTGTGGCCATGCTAGGCTTGTGGGTGCAGCTTTCAGCCAGAGAAATCGTCATTCCCGGGCTCCGAATCGGGTGTCCGAGCGCAACTGATGCCTAAATCCAGATGAGGCTCAAGAGTCTAGCAATTGTATAAAAGATGCTTGACATGGCTTGCTAAACATATTCATCCAGGGCGTTTCCCCTCTACCATCTCTTCTTCTTTTCATCTCTATCCTTCCCCCTTTCTCAAATTCTCAATTCTTTCCTCTTCACCCAGTTCCTGTTGTAGCCGATCAATCATGGAATCCAACCAAACATACCCCACGGTGACAGGGCCGCTGTCCCCGTCCGAAACAGCGATGTTGGAGGTGCTTGTTCCCGGTTATGGCTTTATATCACGTATTTTGATGTCATACCTCAATATCGACATCAATGCCTACATCCAACTAGTGGTCGCAATGGCCGTCTTCGCCGCAAGTTTCCGATACATTTACAACCAAGCCTCAGCACGCTTCAGTCAATATTTTGTATCAAGAGCCGAAATCCGCCTTGATGATGAGATTTTCAACTACCTGATGTATTGGATCTCACGCCAATCCCACATGAAACAAACGAATCGGTTTGTGGCAGGCATCAAAAGCAACGGATACTGGAGTGACGACGAAGAGTCAGATGCCGGCGACGAAAATGAATGGGACAAGCTAGACGATGACGGAAAGCTTGCCTCATTTGATGAATGCTGGGAAAAGGTGCTCAGCCGCGACAAGTACAAGACTCTCCGTTTCACCCCAGCACAGGGCTGCCACTACTTCTGGTACCGCAACCGGCCCCTCATGCTGGAGCGACAACGCCAGGAAGGGAGCGCACGCTGGGTACTGAACAACGAGCGACTCTACCTATCATGTTTCGGTCGGGACCCTACCATCCTGAAGATGTTGCTGGCGGAAGCGCAGCAAGCATATGTCGAGCGCGATGGGAACCTCACTGTCATTTATCGTGGTCAACGACCATGTGCCACCTCTCCATATGATTGGTATCGGGGCATGGCTCGGCTACCGCGTCCTCTTTCGACTGTTATCCTAGACCAGGAACAGAAACAGTCCTTTATTGATGATATCAAGGAGTACCTGCACCCTCGTACCCGTCGCTGGTATTCTAACCGTGGTATCCCATACCGACGTGGATACCTCTTCCATGGTCCCCCTGGAACTGGCAAGACGAGTCTGTGTTTTGCTGCAGCAGGCCTGTTGGGGTTGAAGCTTTACCTGCTTAATCTCAATTCCACAGCTTTGGACGAGGACGGTCTCGCGTCTCTATTTGCAGTCCTGCCGCGGCGGTGCATTGTGCTTCTTGAAGATATTGACGCGGCGGGGATTACCAACACTCGGGGCAAGACTATTGTTTCAACCCCGGAGCCCACAATCGACGAGATCATCCCAGGTGAGGCAGATGGTGAAGCTGACGCGACTGTTGTCCCCGATGCATCTGCCAAAGGCGGCGTCACACTCTCAGGTCTTCTGAACGTCATTGATGGTGTTGCTGCGAGCGAGGGCCGGATCCTCGTGATGACCACGAACCACGCCGACAAGTTGGACCCAGCTCTTCTCCGACCTGGTCGTGTTGATATGACCATCAACTTTGGATACACCAGTGAAGCGGACATCAAGGAGATGTTCATTTCTATATACAACACAACGAAAAATGATATCCGGCGTGCGAAGAGACCACGAACGGCCAGCAATGGCTCTGCCAAGTCTTCAGCCAAGTCTATCACTGGGGAGAGAAGGAACTCTGAAGACTCCCAGGTTGGGGATAAGGAGGATCCATTGCAGGACGCTCTTCAATCCCATCAATCGCGCATTTCACGCCTTGCTGACGAATTTGCCGCTATTGTTCCCAGTGGAGAATTGACTGCTGCTGAGATCCAGGGTTATCTTCTTAACCATAAGGACATTCCTGAAGTGGCGATTCAGGGTGCACCGGAATGGATGCAAAGCACATTGGAGAAGAAGCGTGCGAGAGAGGAGAAGGAGAAGTTTTCTTAGTTGCTTTTATGGATAGATGGATACCCAAAATAAACCAAATAATACAATATTGCTACGCATGAACTCTTTTTTTGCTGATTGGAAAACATATATTATTTGATGTTCCCTTCCAGAAGGTCAAACAGGGAAAATATGACTTCCTATCAAACGAGTGTCATTGGTATCGTATAATCCTTCAAAATCTGGGGTATATCATCAGAAGCGACAGGACTTCCCAAAAACATGATCAAAATGCAAAACTCCAATCGCACAAATCATGAAAGAACTAAAATAATACTCTGGCCCTCAAGCAATAGCCGCCGTCTTCCCATTCAAAGTCACATCAGCCACATACATGCACCGATCAGTCCTCGCCTGAGTACAGAAACCATGGAACAACATCCGATCACCACAACCACAAACGTTCCCACCACCAGGCGAAAGAAGCCCGGAGTTCTGAGCATTGATCAAAGGAACATTCGTCTTAGTATAAGGACCGGTAATACTACTAGCAGTAGCCCAGCGCACATCATACTTAGGATCAGTAAAGCAATGCGTAGAATAAAACAAGAAATAAGTATCACCGTGCAGAATCAGATTCGGCGCCTCAACAAGCGGCCCATCATTATCGGCAGTGGACCGGTCAAGAATCTGCACCGCATCACCGATGGGAGTAACGCCATCAGCAGCGACCTTCTGCAGCAAGATCGGCGTGCCAACTAATGGCTCGATGCCGTTGTTGCAATCGCCGCCGTGACCGACGCTGTTGCCGTCGACTTTGAACACGACGTATCGGCTTCCGTCTTTGTCTTTGAATCCGGCTGGATCGATTGATCCGCCGCGGTCCAGTCGACAGGAGAGGGGCGTGTTGCTTGGGACGTATGGTCCTGCGGGTTTGTCCGCTACGGCTGTGCCGACACAGTGGTGGCCCACGTTTGATTTGGCTTCGCCTGAGTAGTACATGACATACTTTCCGTCATCCTGGGCTTGATTAGCGGTGTGTTTTGTTTTTGATTGGGGTTTGGCATTTTCTCGGAGACCGAGAGGAGGCTTACCCGGAGGACTACGTCTGGAGCCCAGTGGTCTCGGTCTGTTTCCCAGGTTGAAAGAGTTGGGAGGGCCTCAACGTTCAGCAAGGTCCATGTCTTGAAATCATCAGACCTTGCGACTTGAATACGCTTGCCGTTCCCATTCGTGCCGAAAGCGTACCATTTGTTATCGGCTGCCTTCATGAAACTTGGGTCTGGGAAGTTGGTGTTCAGACCTAGCCAGGCACCCTTTGCTCTCTTTGAGATGATAGGCGAGCCAAGGACGGCGGGGAGCAGGGATAGGGTTAGAGCAACCCACGTGGAAGGGGAAGTGAACAAGGAGGACAGCATGTTGATCAGCTAATCAGGGGAAAGAAGAGAGCAAGAACAAAGACGCAGATCATGAAGATCGGAACATAATCGTCGGGGAGGGAAGGGAAGCACTTCTTATATGTGAGTTCCACCGCTGTTGGCAGTGAGCAAGGCTCGCATTGGATTTAGGGTACCAAGAGACGCCCGATGTCAGACTACAGCATCGGGTCTGCTTGGCTCAAAGAGGAATCGGGGCAGAGAAGGGAGAAATAGCCGCACGCCTGATATGGAGATCCGTCAGGTGGCACCGGGACTCGGCGAAGACTAATTTGTACAAACCAGTCATGGATGAGCTCGTGCTGGTGCATGATGCTGATCTATCAGTCGGGGGGAATGAGAGGGCTGCATGAGAGAGTAGTCCAAAGCTAAAGCATACAGTGCAAGGCGAGAGCAGGAATCGAGGGCTGCATGCGTTGGTTCGAGTGCACAAAGAAGAGGGTGGGTCTGTTTGACCTCGAGATTTTATTCTTGTGATTTCTTTGATTCTAGAATTCTTTTAGTTGATTCCGGAAAGGACTGGGCATCATGAGACGAGGAAGATGACTGGATGAACGTGATGCACGACCACGTTGGCGGCTACATCCATGTCGATTTCCATCGGTTAGGTCTAGTGTGATGCGGATTGATTCCGAGAGATGCATATTGGTTGAGACGTCGCTTATGTTAGTTACCTGCAAGCGACATGTCATAGGTCCACAGTTGGAGATACTCGGACTGAGTTCGGCTGTGTGAAGCCATGGCAGACAATTATTAGGGCGGTAGATCCTCCGCGGGGATTAAGAGTTAATCTGCATAGACTGGAGTGCTGATCGATCAATCGCCAAGTTCGGCCAAATGGAGTAAGACAAATCGATTGGGCGGTGGGTGGCTGACGGATGTCGATCAAGACCAAAGCTTGGAAAGTCCATTAACAAGATGCGTGCCTTGAATATGGGTGTCATATCATTGGTGCGAGCCAGAGCAGAAAAGTACAGAGCTGTCCGATGCAAGGGCGAAAGGCCCCTCGCACCGTCGCACCAGACATACTCTGTACATCGATAACAGACTCGGACTTGATTAACATGCATAAAAATGGATGCAGCAAGACATATGGATATCAGACATCTCACCCCTTGGCGACCCAGACCGCCGCCATTTTGCTCCAAGGTTGTCTTTGATAGGCGGGAGGAAGGATAAGCGGCCCCCAGGCCAGGGGTCCCAAGCCCTTGGCTACAGTTACACGAGAAGGGGGCATGGCCTTCCGACCGTGGCTTGTGGGGTGTGCTGGCACTCGTGGCCATCACACATGGCTAAGGTCACACTGTAAGAAATTAAATCCGTAGGTACCTATTCAAAACTGATCAAATCTAGTCCCGATACTGGATAGTCTCAACGTTGGTGATTTTGTTTTTTTGATCTTTTATACTTCCGAGTACCACGGGTGCAACCCGCACTATAGAACTAACAAAGCACGCATAGAAATTCCCAAGACGAAAGAAGTAACTGAAATCATATCTTAGCTTGTCCGATTCTATGAAACTATATACTACCCCTTGCAGCTCAAGATAAAGGAAGAAACCCCCAGTCCATGATAATAGATTGTGACTCATGGAACGGAGCAAACCCTGGAATCTCGATGGTATCATAAGTTCCAAATTTTGATAAAAAATCGAACAAAGAAAAGCCTGCCTAACCCTTTTACCCCGCATAGCGACCGATGGAGGTCAGGCCCGACCAGTCGGTGTAGACTTTCCACTTGAGGCTGAGGCTATGATGTCACCGGAAGCACTGCATCTACTAGTTTATAGATCGGCGGCACGCATGACAGGGAGGACAAGAGCGGGATTTTATATTGCGAAATGAAAATGCGGGGTGAACTGCGTCATTTGACTTTGACTTGAATGGCTAAGGCAAGGGTGTGAAAACAGGAAGTTAAGTTGAACTGGTGCCAAGCGTATCTAGGTATTGCTCCTATGTAGCTTTTCCTCTGCCACTTCTTGGCTTTCCAAGTATCACAACTCTAGCCTGGCGCAGTGATGAGACTATGGCTGTGTATTTTGAAGAGACCAGCCTCGCAAAGGCAGGGGAGAGGGGAGTAAAGGTCATGTTTTCGACCGCGAAACTGTCCTTGAAGGTGGATGAAATTCCTCCCAAAGGCTAGAACTGATTCCCACTTGCTCAAGAATCATCTATTGCTGGCCTCATTGAATGCATCGGTGTTGAGCACCTCCACTGAGTCTCACCGTGGCCTGCGGCAGTCGTTATATCAAATTCGGTACCGATAAAGTGTAACGAGTTGAACCCTCGAATCACTATAAATTCAAGATCCCCTTATTCTGGTTTCGGAAGATCCACAGCAGCCGATAGGGAGCTTGCTTTACATCAAGAGCAGGCATGTTGTACGGTCAAGCTACTATTGCAAATGGAAAGGCGGCCAAAAGTGAGGTTGAGAACGAAATTGGTGACACCGCCTTATAACTATCCTTAGTTCCCTTTGATCTCTAGTTCTTTTGTGATACTACTCATTCAGCGATCATTCTATACTTCGATATTCCGCAAGTGGCTTCTGATTGGCCTCATCGGCGATCCCGGTTCGACCTTCTCTCTGCGATAATTTCGGCTCGAGTTTCCCCTCTTTCTGAACACAAGTAATGAATGATCTATGGAGCCTCACAACTATAAAGGTGATTCTTAATTTTGTCCTGTTTCATATGGTGCGTTGTTATTGGTGGTAGCTATCTCCAGAGCTCTGGCATATGTGTTGAGGAAAATTCGAAACTTTGTATCGCTCATAAAACAAGCCGTGGCATAAGATAGCAACTATGAAAATACCATCTATTGATCTGTTTGAAGGAGTGAAGGAGTGCTAATGTTGTAGATATCCATTATGTTGGTAAATGGTGACCTAAGTGCATACTGTCTCTCTTTAGATTAAAATTGCCTGAACTCCCATCTCAGACATAGTGATGCGACAGTCGGCCCGTTTAGTTTCCTGCATCTCCCAGCATTTCCTGATTATTTTCCAAACTGTGGCACTGTTACCAATTCGTCCAGATTTCTGTACCAGATCCGTCATAAGCATCTCGAATAGGGGACGATTGTGTAACTGGGCCATACAGCCTATAACGCACAATGCCCATACTGATCCCGTAAGAGAATACCCTTGCGGTCTATTCTGAAGAGTGATAATTGCCCGGGAAACGGCGCTTTGTATCTCTGGTAATGCCGGCAGTGGCCCTGATACAATAGTGTGTAGTAGAACTAGGGCAGCATAGGCAAAGAGGCGTGAGACCCAATTTGTAGAAGATTCCGCACCAGGTTGTGCCTAAAGTAAACAGTAGTTAGCATCACCTGCAAGTCAGATCGTCAAGAATTATAGAAGACCTACACATCGTGCCATATCAAGGTCCTGAATGCCACTTTCTAAGCGCCTCTCTATTTCTTTCCCCCTACTTGCGAGTTCTCGGATACTTAGCATACCCTGCTCTTGCTGTGTCTCTTTCCAGATGCTGAAATGAGCGAGGTCACCTATAGTTAACATAACCCAATTCTCGCAGCCCATGAGATCTGCCGTATTGAGGCCTTGAATTCGAAGCCATTGTTGATACGGAAGCCGTGGCGCGCGGCCAGTTGCAACACAAGCAAAGATATCGAACCAAATCACGGCGACTGTGAGAAATTGCAGACCTTCAACCATTCCGCTCTTTGGAGACCGATACTGCTCAGCAAATGGAGTCGAGCTAGTATCGCAGATGACAGAGTCTGGGTTGAAAATAGCCTCCGGTGATAAAAGACCCATGAGGGAGGCAGTGGCGTCAAGATGTAGGAGCCAGTCATGCTCAGCACCCCGGAAGACCTGGAAAACGAAATCAGTGGTATTCACTCGAAGAAACACTTTTCATGCGTACCTCAAAGCTGATCAACATGAAGCTGCATGCCAAGAACTCTGCCAATTGAGAATGATCATCCAGCAATTTGTCGCCCTTTTCGCTCATAATATCACAGAGTTCCCGCAGGGCTCTAGAGTGGTGTTCAAATGCTTTTTGCTTTTGCTGAAACTCTTCCTCGGTTCCGAGTATTGCAGCCTGGTGAAGTGAAGATAAACTGAGAACGGCATGGTAAAGAGGGCCTCGCTTGATCAGCAAGAGAAAAAGCCAGCCCCGATTTCCTAGACGGGATCTAGAACAATGATATGGAAATTGCCATGGGAAAACTTGATCAAGATAATGCATCAACAGACAAGCTTCTCGAGAATCAAGACCATCGCCAGGCTCGGAGTGTTGGTTGCCAGAGTCATTCCAGGATGGCGGGGCCTCATCATTATCTTGACTCGTATCTTGGCTTGTGTCATGGCTTTCTAGCTCAATGCTATGCCCCAAAAAATCCGATTGACCAGATAAACATGGCGAATACGAAGGCTGAGGCGGCGTGATCATTGCCTGTGGCGCTTCTTCGTTTGTTTGTGTTTCCGACAATGCCTGAGACTGCTCCCTAGCCCTTCGGCGAGCTCGACCCTGCATTTTCTTCACACGGCGAAAATTTTCGTTTATTGCAGCTTTGATACGTTGTCGTTCCTTTCGCTCCTCTGAAGCACCGTCCATCCATGTTGGCTTGGGTCCATAGCCGTGGCAATGAACATGTCGGTCGGAGCACTCTTTACATGAAGGTATATGCAGATCGCATTTTAGATGTCGAACCCGACATGTCCAGCACCCGGCAGTTTCAGAACGCATTGCAAGAAAACGTGGGGTAGATTGAAGATCGGGAATGGGAGGAGGAGGGAAGTGCTAGACGGACACGCGGTACGGCTATTCGGGCGCCCTTCCCTAAAATGGACAAGTGCGCCTAAGCAGGTTAGACTGGTATTTATATTACAGTATACATCATTGTCTCAGAAATTGAAGTCAGCCATGGTGCCTTACGAGATTACCCTTCCAAGGCCTACTCCATGTGTAATACAAATACCAAGCTAGTCCCTTTCGAGAAAGAGGTATTCGAATAGCCGTAGTATTTTTCAAATACTTCCTTAGCTATTCTTATTGGCAGCCCCTGGATCATCTTCAGAGTCGGGACATGCTTTCCGGCTATGCGAGCCCATTGCATCCTCTTACGTGGAAATTAAAATTGCTCTCAATTCATCTTTCTCTTAGGGGTCTCAGCTCAGTTACATGCTTGTTTCTACATCATTGCCAGTGAAGTCCCAGATTACTCGCTAACGCCACACGAGAAAGGCCGACTGATAGATCCAGTATTGAATTTGACAATCTATATTAAGTCAGCGTGAGAACATAACATCTTAAGAACGTGCAAGGTGATCTTACCACCTCTGTGATGCTTGCATAAAGACCACATCCAAGTATACAAATACCGACAAGAAAAACAATCAGATTGCAGGTTGCATGACGGATATTGCGTTTCTCAAAACAGCTCCCTTCTTTCAATAGGAAAAACCACAGGACTGGAGGAATGTAGAATGAAAAGCCGGACACAAGTAAGGCACCGCAGATAGAAAGCAATTCAGAGAAAAAAGGGATAGCTTCTGCGATGACCCAAGCCAGAATCGTGATCAAAGCAACAATTGACAACCATGTGATCCAGCCTTTCATAGTGTTGACATAACGGACCACAGAATTTTCATAGAGTTTACCATGAATATAACGACAAGCAACGGTGGTGTTGATTGAGCCAGAAATAAATATTACAGGCAGAGCTACCCCAAATGCGATCTTCGCAATAAGAAAACTTGCCGAAAGTAAGGCAGGAGACTCAACATCATGTCCCACAAACGCGTAAATGAGTGCCCCTGTCAGAGTGTAGATACTCATTTGGGTAACGCCCAAGGTACCAATGGCCTTTGTGAAATCTGTCGGAGTGTGCATTTCGTCCATGAAAGATGGCTGGGCAGCGGCAAAGGAGTAAGCAAAGGCAATATTGGAGATGGCAACGAAGGCTTCGCTGAGACTTAAATCATTCTTGGGCCAAGCAGACCAGGTTGATAGGGTCGAGTTGCTTTGAATGCCTGTCGCGATGATGGTGACACCGATAGCCATGATAATGGAAACAAAATCGATAAAACCAAGGATTGAAAGTTCAGCAAATGAGGGCGGAATCGCAAATGCAAACAAGATCACAGCAGACACGGCGCTGAATATTAGAGCACACGCACTGCTACCAGAGATCGTGGCCAGGGCAAGTTTGCCCGTCAGGCAATGTGATCCAACCGTCAATATCATCAAAGCGATAAAGGCCACAGAAAAGAGCGTTTCACCGAAGCCGCCAAAGAGAAGCCGTCCAAAATGGACATAATGCGCAACATGCGGATATTTGAGCTTTGCCAACCCAATCATGTAACTCCCGTAAATGGCGATGCAGCCCAATCCGAGGCATAGTATTATACCAGCGACCATACCCAGGGTTGCGAAGGCTGAAGGAAGACTCAAACTGCCGAGGGCGATAGATTGAACAATCAGGACGATCGTAAGGCGTTTCCAACCAAGTCGATGGAAGCGTTCGTTGCCTTCCACGGTCAGGGCATGCTCAGGTTTGCGGTCTGTTTGGTCGATAACTTCGCCCTCGGATTGCTCGAGATCAATCATGTCTTTGTTCTTCTCTTTGTGAGAACCATTGGCGTCGTATATAGAAGTAATTGCATGCGACATAGCTGAAGCTGGCGTTGAGAGAATGAAGATTTTGGTATCTGAGAAAATTGGAATCAATATATTATTGATAGCTAAATCGAGTGAGAGGAGACGAAAATGCAAGAAACAGAAACAAGTCTGTCAACACACGATACATGGCCCTGTGCCTCTTGTAGATAGTAGATGAAACACCGGGCCGGGTCAATGGCAATAGCGGGGAAGAAACCCTGGGGTCATTGTGAATTTCCGTTGATCTGACCAACTGATTTAACAAACAATATTCTCCACTGATAGTAGCACTGCTAAGACCGTTGATATTCCTCCCGATGTTGAAGTATAAGTTCGGTGTCTCCTGATATTCCGGGAGGGAAGGTCGAGGCGAGCGTGGGGTGGAGACAGTTCAAGTGGAGCATCTTGAGCATATCTACATGTATTCTTATTCTTACCAGGTCTCTTTTTCAATTATATTTCAACCTTGATATATTGTCTATCGTTATGTCAACACGCACGCTCTTCTTCAATGGTCGTATCCTGATTGATTCCGGTAGTGGCCGGCATGAAGTCCCTTCTTTTGCAGATAGCATGCTGGTTGAGGACGGCAAGATCACAGCAATTGGTTCAAACAACGAAGTGATTTCTTCTGGGATTTTTCCGAATCTCGAGCCTCGGGACCTTAAACAGCAGGTCGTCCTCCCCGGGTTCATCGATGGCCACATGCACCTCCTTCTTCTTGGCCAGTCGCTTCGCAAACTCGACTTGAAGAACTGCAAATCCGTGGAAGATATAAAATCAACAATCAAAGAGTATGCTGCTGCAAATCCAGACAAGCCAAGTATCCAATGCAAAAATTGGATGCATTCTATGACTCCCAACGGCGTGACAGCGGCGATGCTCGATGATATCGATCCTCGCCCTATTTTCATTGATGCAAGTTCTCAACACTCATGCTGGTGTAACTCTGCGGCTTTGAAAGAGCTAGGCGCTGCCAGTATGCCCGATCCCGCGGGGGGCAAAATTCATCGAGATGCCAAAGGGAATCCTTCCGGTGTCCTGGATGAAGGTGCCATGATGTCCATTATCTGGCCTTTCCAAGCTATATCAAGCTCAAAAGAAGACCGAATGGAAGCAATCCGTGCAGCTGTCCGAGAGTACAACGCGGCTGGCTATACTGGTGTGGTAGAGATGGCCATGGACGAAGAGGCGTGGGATTCTCTCGTCACCTTGCGCGCAACGGAGCCCGACTTTCCACTACGAGTTGCAGCCTACTGGCTCATCAAGCCCAGTTTGAGTCTCGAAGACAACTCCAAGCAAATTAGACGCGCTCTTGAGCTTTCCCAACAGTACAACACCGCTACGACTCCGGACTTGCGCATAGTTGGTGTGAAGGTCATTTGCGATGGCATTATTGATGCTTGCACCGCCTTCCTATCACAACCTTACGCCCCGGCAGACTCGCCTCCGCCAATCTGGGAACCAGAGCACTTGAATCAGCTTGTAAAAGAAGCAGATTCCGTTGGTCTACAGATTGCCCTCCATGCAATCGGCGATGCGGCCATCAAGATGGCAATCGATGCGATTGAAAAGCATGCGACACCAGGTAGACGACACCGCATTGAGCATCTTGAGCTTGCATCCCCAGAAGATGCCAAAAGGTTGGGAGAGCTGGGGTTGACAGCTTCAATTCAGCCGGTTCATGCCGATCCGTCAATCCTGACAGAGTGGCCCCGTTTACTTGGGAAAGACCGTTGCCAGCGTGCATTTGCATACCGGGAGTTTGCTGACGCTGGCGCTTTGGTGGCTATTGGTAGTGATAGTCCGACTTCGCCGTGGATGCCGATGCATAATATTTACGTTGCGACAACGCGACGCTCTGCCAGAGATGTAGATTATCCTCAGACTGTGAACAAACATTTCAAACTCGGTTTGTGCGAGTCTATGGTTGCAGCAACAGGAGGTGCAGCTCGAAGTGTTTTTGCGGAAGAGAGGGCAGGCAGTTTGGCCGTGGGAAAACTGGCAGACTTCGTCATTGTCGATATGGAATGGGATGCTAATACCCTGCTAAAAGCCAAAACCATGGAGACTTGGTACGGGGGAAAGCAAGTCTGGAGCTCTGTAGATGTGGATAACATAGTAGTGAAGATCTGACATGTCAGTGGTTTCTCAACAGAAGGAATTATAAGTCACTGGGGGCACGTATAATAATTTACAATACTCTTGTTAAATGATAAAATATTGGACCAGACGAATAATTAAACGTTTTATAAAAAGCTTTGAACGCCACTTGGAAGGTGCGTTACAAAACATAGGCAATATGTGGCCATTAAGCTATTGTTTGACCAAAATAGAGGGAGATAGCATGTTAAACGAGTATAGTACAAAAGAAACGCGGAAATAAAGAATCCATATTGCCAACAGTATCCATGTTTAGACGTCCCAAGTCGCATATGCTTCTGCAGCTCTGACTTAAGGAAACCGATAGGTTCCGATATAGTCAGACGCATGTTTCAACTTGCCAAGGGATCTCATAGTAACACCCGGAACGACTTGTCCATGCTGGCATCGAGTTGCAAAAAGTCCACCACGCGACCCAAGTGATCAATTCCCCAAAATCCTTCTTGATTGCCTTGTGAGTTCGTGCAGTCAAACCATGGCAAGCCAAAAGCACCCAAAGTGAACACTCTTTGAGTGCTCTCATGCAAGGTAGATTTTACCTCGTCATTCTTTGACTGTTGATGGACAAATGTCAAAACATTGTCAATGAAAAGACCCTAATATCACTTACCTGTTCAATAATGTCCTGTGCATTATCTGCTCCAAGCTCTTCCTCCAGAATAGGCAAAAAACCAGCAGAGGTTAGCACAGCCGAGTCTCCATCTTCCCAGAATCCACGAAACAATTTCTCCGCGACGGACACTAGCTTTTCTGGCACATTGGTAGCGATGGCGCATAGGGCGAGTTGAACTTCAGTAGTAGATGCAGGAAATCCATTTGGGATAGCTTCAGACATGGGAACGTCGAAACGGCGAGCCCAGTAGATTCGTTCTCGATTAATCCATTGGAACTTGTCTATTGCAGTTAGTATAATCCAGCAAGCGAAAGCTTTTGAAGACATGACAAGGGGGTGGGATAAAACATACTCTTCACCGCAATAGGAGGGGTGTTCTGGCAGACTTGCATCAAGTCTCTCAAAAGAATGGGAACATATTCAATTTCACAGGTCGAGAAAACAGGAGAGTTCTGTGCTTACATGTTAGCCATATTAACACATTATCGGTCGAGTACTGAACTTGCCCTCAAGACATGGAATGCAATGCAGCTGAAGGGGCTACCGATGTCAAAATAGAAGGTGATTTTAGGGCCACTCATGATGAAAAGATAATACTTTTGATTTTGAAATGAATTGCAAATTACAGCTGTAGTGACTGGCGCTGAGCCTCCTGCATTTATAGACCCCCTGGACAACATTTTTGGTTATTCATGTACAATGTTGAGATACCTTTGAGTCATACGGATCCTCCCCCAACCGATTTTTGAAACACTCGAGTAACGCAGGATGATCTTTAAGATCCGCCGAGAATCGGCCATGAGCTCCGAAGTGGGTTTGGCAACAGACTGGGAACTGTTCTGCCTTTGTTGGGAAGCGGTATTCCTCAGACTTGCTGGGACCAATTACGTGAAATACCGTCTAACTGGTTCAGGGGCAGTTCTATGACATTCTGTCAAGAAAGTTTATAATATGGTCAAGCTGGATTCTAGCCAATCTGTGCGCAACTCAATTGCTTCATAGCGTAGGCATGAATATGTAGTACCGATAAAGCCATATCATCATCCCAGTTATTAATGTTCTATAAAATCTCTCATCACATGTATTATAATTGTATCATCCCTAGTTTTCTGCGGTCTCATATTTACTCAAAGCTCGCAGCTTGTTGCCAGTCTTGAAGAAAACCCAAGGAACAGGCAAGAGAGCAACCGCAATAAAGCCTAGCAAACTCGAGGCCCAGCCAGTGCCAAGTTTTGTATACACTAGAAAATGGTCAGCATAAAGTGTAACTCATGAGAACAAAAAGATAGACACTCACTTTGAATAGTAAAGAGAGGGAATGCTGCAGCGAGCCCATATCGGGCCAGACTGTTTGCACTCATAGCACTCGCGACAGTGAGACCGTGATATGCATCAACTAGATACTGAGTCGTACTGATGAAAACGCAAAGATTGCCCCATGCGAAAAGCATGATTGCGACAACAGGGCTTCCCCAGGAGATATCGGCTCTAGCGGTCCATGCAAACCAGAAAAGACCCACGGGGAGACCAAGACTGCCGATGAGAGCTGGATAAAGACGATGCTCGGGCGGAACCTGCTGACCCTTGTGTTTTGCAACTTGAGGCAAATAGAAAATAATGTTGCAAAGAAGGACTGTAATGCTTCCGAGTAAACATCCCACCACGATGGCCAGAAATACGAGACCGGAGTCCTCAATACTAAATCGATAGACACCCTGGAAGATCAGAGGAATCGCGGCGAAGAATGAAAAGAGTGTTGCAAATTCGCAGGCAACATAGAGACAGATGAAAGCGACGATGGGCTCGGTCACAAGCATATGAATAGGGCGGACAAGGGCGATGGTTGCAAAAAGTCGAATCTTTGAAGAGAGGGGCTGAGATGGAGGGATATCGAGTCCGAGTTCTTTTGAGCGACGACGTTTCAGGATAGGATGAAAGGTCTCCCTGGAGATGCCAATTGTAATGAGAGTGAAGATGGCGAAGAAGATCATTGTCCACTGAGTCCAACGCCAGCCCTTTCTATTCACGACAAAACTTCCGATCACGGGCCTGCACATATCGTCAGTCAAATAGGACACTTTTGCTTTGCTTGGAAAGAAAGCTTACCCTAATCCAGGACCCAAAAAAGGCGACAAAATAAAAATGGTCGAGGGAATAGCACGTTTCACTGGCTTGAAGGTTTCGTTGATAGTCCCAGCAGCAATAGCCAATGTGGGCGCATAGCAGAACCCGGCCAGAAATCGCAACACACAGAGCCCGGCAAATGTAGGACTAAAGCCAGCACCCATAGTAAACAATGTCCCAAGAACCATTGTACCGATATATACTGGATATCTCCCAACAGTCTCAGAAAGCGGCCCTCCGACGATAGGACCGAGACCCAGAGCGAAGACATAGAGCGACAAGGGTAGGATAGCCACTGTGCTGCTGACTCCGAATTCTGTCATAAATTCCGAGTGAGCGGGCGATAAAATCGATACGCTGAGAGACCTGGATACGGTGTTAGAGTCCATGCCAGCATTTCGTCGCAAAGAAAGATGACCTACGTTGTAAGCGCCGCAGAAGCAATCATAAAAACTTGCTGGACTTTCAGTCGGGTTGGCCAGTTGTAGGGATTGCTGGGATCATCATCCCAGTTCCATGTGACACTATTTCCGCCGGAGGCATTTCGTCCAGCTTCGAGCTTATCCTCGGACGAAGAGGAGAAATCCTCGATCTTGGCGTGCATGTCGATATCTTGGTCATTTTTGACTTGTGCCATGTTGAATATATGTTTGGCCCACCAGTTTCGCACACACAGACCAGAGGACGTTGTACAGTGGCTTATAATAAACAAGAAATATATTTTATAAGGATGGCGATGGAGATCATAGTGTATATTACGACATTGTTCCTCTCAAGGCTGATAAATCACATCGTGGTGCCGACCGAGGCCAAGATTATTTGATCAAAATATTTCTAGGAACGGTACTCCTTTTGAAAGATATTCCCCTAGGACATCCTGCTTACCTGCACGGCTGGAGACATAAAAGATTACTCAACAGTAAATACGGGAATGGCAGATGGAGGATGATTGGCCAGAAAGCACACTAGCGCCGAAAGGGGATATTTGATTATTCAACATGCGCGAGAGTATATCTCAGACTCGTTGAATGCGATTTTGTCGTTGAATGAAAATTGAATGAAAACGTGGTTGAAGGGTTTTGTTGGGTAAAGCACTGTTTTCGTTTGGTGTTAAAGCGTGCGCTATTTATCGCAGGAGCGAACAAACACAATTGAATGGAATGCTAAGAACAGATACCAACTTCATTTCGAATTGAAGCCTGCGCCTTGCGACCCCCATCCTGCAACTCTTACGACTGGCTCGGTACTATTCATGAACACGCATCGACTGAAGGATTAACCGACCAGATGCGTCGGGTAATTCTATCAGCTTTGCGCTAGCAGAAGCCAATCAGCACTAACAATCACCGAAAGAAAGCGCAAATACCATCGTGCAAGGGATTTGAACACCTGAATAAGCGCGTGTTTCTTACCAATTCAAAGCCCGGGATCACCATGAGTCAGAGTCTAGGGATACACGGCACACCTTCATAGATCGGAATGAAGTGATCAGGTGCTTGATAACCATGGTTGACATGGCTCAAACGGACTAGCTGGAGCTTATTACTCAGAGACAGTGACTTGACCAAATGCGGCTTGACAGCTTCCCGCACCAACCACCAACCACTTTCCCTTTGGGATCTCAGATCTGACATGTCAGCAACCTTCAAATATTATGAATGGCCCTTGCCCCTCCAACAAAGACAGAATTTTGTTTCTCTGTTCTTAGGGTCGACCGGCCGAGCTTAAATTAGTTTATCTTCCCTGTGGAGATATTTCGGGTTCACCGAGATCAGATTACGAGATTTCTCCGGCCTTCGGCGTTTGATGCTGAATTTCGGCTGGTCAGCAAAAATACTTTCATATAAGGTCCCTGCAAGTGTCCCCAGGTACCTTGGTGGAATCTGAATATCCACTGCGAGCCATACAGCTCGATCTCCAGGGCATATGCAGTTCTATCCCAAGGCGCGTGAGCAGCGGCCCAGCATCCACCATCCGTCTGTTCGGGGGCGTCGATTGGCTGTGCTGAAGGCCGCGACTGTCAATCTTTTCCTTCTTCAAATTCTCTTTTTGGGTCTTTTCTGTTACATCTTTGGATCCTTGTTCCAACAGTCAACTCACATTCACAATGTTAATGTTCTGTTCGTCGACTACGATGGCGGCGCGATCGGCGATGCAGTTCGCGGCGCGTATCAGAAGCTCAAGGGTCCTGGATTCCCAAACCTGATTGAGCGCCCAGCCTCTTTATACCCCCAGATAGGGAGTATTGAAGGCGCGGTTTGTGATATCAAATTCTGGGGAGGTCTCTACATTACATCCAATGCCTCTGAAGCCCTTACTGCCGCATTCGCTGGTGGATCCGCTGCTTCATCGTACGATAAGAGCAATGTCATCACCATGGTGTGGAACGAAGCGCGATACCCGACGGTGGTCGACTCTGTTCTCCAAACTAGCCTGAATTCTCTGTCAGAAGCTGCACGGGTCGCCTATTCGAAGATGAACGGAGAACAGGCTCTTAAGACTCTAGACACTTCTGACTCCGCTGCCCTCGCGGTCTTCTCCGACCCGTGGAAATTGGCCTCCACCAATATCCAACCCACATCACAAGGGTCACGCGTTATCTACAACACACTCGTCATCATTCTGATCATGATCCAAGAGTTCTTCTACCTCGGTACCGTGAATGGTCTATACGCCCAGTTCAACCTCTACACGTCGGTCTCCCCCCATCGAATCGCCATCGTGCGCCAAATCATCTCGGCGGCATACACATTCGTCGGATCACTTTGTACGGCCGGTGCAGTCTGGGCCTTCCGATATGGCTGGAATGTCAACGGAAGTCAGTTTATGCTGACCTGGATGGCGCTCTGGCTCTTCGCGCATCTGAATTTCCTCGTCCTGGATGTCTTCACCATCTGGCTCCCACCACCCTACGTGCCAATGGCGCTGATCTCCTGGATCGTGACGAATGTCACTTCGATTTTGCTCCCCTTCGAGCTTTCCCCGGCTTTCTACCAAGTAGGCTACGCATTTCCTGCACACAGTATCTTCCAAGTGCTGATTGACATCTGGTCGGGAGGCTGTAACCCTCAACTCAACTACGCCTTGCCGGTTATGTTTCTCTACGAGATCATCGGTATTATTCTCAGCTCTATTGGCGTTTATCGACGGTCGCACTATGCCATGATCAAGAAAGAAAACGATGAGAAGGCATGTGAAGAGCGTGTTGCAGCGGCTCTGGCCGAACGACAGGCGGCTTCTTTGGTGCGACAGGAGGTTTTCCAAGATGAGCAAGGAAGTGGAATATCCGAAACCGAGAATGGGGAAGGAATTGGGAGGCCAAGGCGTGGAACTATCACGACAATGGCGGATCAAGACCAGCTTGTTGATATCATTCGACGTGAGATGTCCAAGCCGCAGGCTGAGAAGTCAGACGCTAGAGATCACACCGGCCCGAGTTTTGATTTGCCCTATAAGGACTAAAACTTTTTCTTCTTCTTCACAGCTGATTAATTTCCGCCAATCTGTCGTGCTGCCAATTGCTAATTGTCTGCGTCAAGAGTTACTCCAGCCACGCATTATACATATCTTTCGTCTGCATTTCAAGCTGCCAAACAAAACCACCGTGAATGTTAATAAAACATCTCTTTACTAAAAATAATCGCGAAACAGCACATTCAACATCGACGTCTATCCCTTAACAACTTCATAACATTAGCACGGTAACACTCAGCAATATCAAAAGTGTTGGAAGCAGCCTGAACACTAGAACTCAACAAAACAGTAGGCAAATATCTCTGCACGTTAACATCCTGCCCGGTAGTAGCAATAGCCGAAGCACTCTTGTTAATCTCAATAGTAATATATCCAATCAACCCCTCAGCAAGAGTCTCACCAACTAACTCCGTAGAAATTATAGCAGAGTACCCATCGTCATTAGCAACAGAGTAAACCGAATCCCCACCGTTGAGGGTACGGTTCAGAGTTGAAAGGTGAGCATGGTAAGGCGCAAACTGATAATCAGAGTGGATTAACTCCCCAGGGAAGAAAAGTTGTCCAACATGCTTGGTAGCGGCATCGGAGTAGTTGGTGTCATCATTTATCAAGTTGGTCTGGATATTCGGCAAACATAAAAGCAATTTTGAGGATGGACATTGGTTTATTCATTGTTTGATTGATGAGCCAAGTCTCTAAAGCGAGGATTATGATTTGCTTACCTAGGCCTGTGTCAAGCGATATATACTCTGTAATCTGGCGATTCGATTCCTCCACGAGCGCTTTTCTATCCCCTTCGTCAGATGAGCTCTACCTCAAAAAATAGACTCGCTGTCTCAAATAAGGTAAACGAAGAACAGATTCTCCAGGTCCGTCATGTCCAGCATAGTGATCTCGACCATCCTGCGAACGAGCGCACCATTTTCATCAAGCTGCTCGATGACTCCAAAACTGTAGGCGGCCCTGCGCTCGTTACTCAAGGCTGAGGCCCAAAGTCTCCGCTGAAGATTTCTGTGTTTCAAAATGAACTGTATAATGAATAGTATCGTTGGTGTGCCAAGCCAGCTGACCACTATCATGGAGATCCAAGCACCATAGTAGCGGGGCGCGTCCTTAGGCACCCAGATTTGAGGCGAACAAAGGTTTGCAACGGAGTAGCCAAGCATAAACATGGCGCTGCGTGTGAGCTTCTTAGTGTGGCCTGCCGCGGATGAAGTAGCCCAGCCCAATGCGATGATATAAGTGTTTCCGAAGGTGTGGCCAGCCAATATTAGGCACACAAGCAATCCAAGCTTGAAGTGCCAATTGATCGCAACCATACCAATGCCACCAGCAATTGAAGGAACACACCAAACTAGCCCATGTAGCGCAAGATTGGAGGGCCATCGTCGCAGAGCTAGAACCGCTGCGAGGCAAACGACAGCACCAAAGGCGCCACCTGCGGCTGCCACAAGTGTGGAGCCCAAACTATCCACTCCAAGAGCCTTGATAATGAGGTTCTGTTGCCCGTATGTGAGATTGTTGGCCATCATGAGCGTGAATGCCTGCAAAGCGAATAGCCATGAAACTGGGTCGCGAAGTGCCTCAATAAACTGATACTTCTTAAACATTTTCTGTTCAATAGAGCTCTGGCTCGATTCGTGTACCCGTCTGATGGTGTGCACCTTTTCCTCCAATGTCAGAAAGGTAGCCTCTGCTGGGTTGTTTGGGTATCGGAACCAAACAAATATTGATGTAATAATTGAGACACCTCCAGTAATAACCATGAAAAGCTTCCAGGGCAGAATTGTGCTGTGGCTCCAGAGAAGACCGTAGGAGATAAAGGCAGCACAGACTGGGGCAAGTGCTGATGTCAACCACAAGAAAGGCTGGAGAAATGATTGTTCGTGACGATTGAAGAACATGCCAATAGTAATTTCCATTGCAGGGACCACAACAGATTCGCTAGCACCGAGTACCAAACGCAGAACTACTAGGGCGGCGTATCTGGTGGCAACGCAGTGAAGGAGCAACGTAACACCCCACATAAAGACGAGACTAGCAACAAATTTTCCGAATGGTAGCCTTTGCATGGCATAATGTCCGGGTAATTGTGCAATGAGGTACCCTTAGGTGAGTTAGGCATGGGCAATCTGAGAGTAAGACGCTACTGCTCACCAACGTAGAAAAAAGTCCCCAGGTTGTTGTATTGTTCTTTGCTTATGCCTGTCTCTTCAAACAGGCCAAGGATAGCAGCGTATCCCAGAGATGCTTTGTCAATCTAGAAAAGTTAGGGATTTAGTACCACGTTATTTATTGACTGAACCTACAAAGAGTAGCAGGTTAATGGCAGAAAGTAACCCGATAACGTTCCAGTAAAGTTTCCGCCTCAGCTTTTTCTCCTTTTCAGCAGTCAATGAATCAACCTCATCTTCATGGTTTTCAAGGATTGCCAGGGTCACATCAATGTATTTTGTATCAATAGCGGAACCGCTTTCCGGTGCTGGAAAACCCGAACTTGAAGCCTCCGCCTTTGCCGCAGTGACCATTCTGGGGCCTGTGTTTCCCTTATGAAAGCGAAGGACAGATAAAGTGGAGCAAATTCTATCCTTTTCTTCAGGTAAAGCCGCTTAACTTATGGCAGGGAAAGTAGAAAATGAGAATTTAATGAACTGAGCACGCAGGAATCCTGCATTTTATAATCATCCAAAATTCTCAATTACACCATATGGCAGTCCGAAAACGTCTTCAACCTTCTTGACATTACATCTGCTCGTGTAATCGGAACTGAGGGCAGACAGCCACTATTTACTGCCTCAGGTCTACGGTTGTCTTATAGGCTGTACAGTTCTCTTCGCGGTTTATGGCCGCAGTAAGCTAATTTCTCGAATAGGACAGTAAAATCGACGTGTACTATTGGGTGTACACATCGTGAACCTGGTACGTCGAAACAATTTCGTACACGGCAAGTCATACACTGGGACCAGCAATTGCTCAAGCTGGTTGCCGGGGTGGCGCAAACCCTGCTTAGGCAATATCACGTCAAACAGGGTCTTCGTTGGGTAAAGACGGAGTTTTTCTAGCGGCCCGGGTGTATTTTTTTTTTAAAAAAAAGGCCCGAGGGCGCATATTTTAGGTAACTCCGCAAACACAATGCTGACAATCTGGTAGGTTCTCACAGCACGGAAATGCTCATATCGTCTAAGTTCGCTATTGAGGGTGTGATTGGCTTGCCTCGCCCCTAGCTGAGGTCCAATGACATGGGGCCATTTCTAGGGAGACGGAGAAACACTCAACAAGGAAGCCACAAATAGAAGTGTTCTGAGTGACGTGAGTAAACCCCAAGCTTGAGAGCGGCACTATTACGTGAAGGGTAACCCGCCCTTGGCATACCATGGCCCCCTCTTTTCTCCATAGAATTTCTGGCAACAAAGGGGAAGAGAGCGGAAATGGCTTCGTACAGTAATATCCCTGCTTAACGGGCCATACTTTGGAGATACGTAGCTTATTAATGCAGTCAATTCTGGGGCGAAGATTGGAGAGACGCCCAAGCGACTCCAGGATGATTGAAGACCGCCTCGAGTTCCTGAATCACATGTTAAGAAGCCAGCAACCCGCCCTTTGAAGGAAAATGACTTTCGACATACCTATGCCCACTTTTATCTGGGTATAGGCAAAAATAAGCAGTTACTAGCTGCGTATATATTCCGCGCTGGTCTTTTATTAAAATATCTGGCTATAGACGGGCAGGTTTAAAGAGTTCCTTGAGATATTTTCCTGATACGAGGCGGACCAATTAGTAACCGGCTTAGCTGCCAGATAGGTCCTTCAAATTCATCCAGGACGCGGTGTGCTATGTACATTTACGCTGGGCGGAGACAACGGACCCATGTAAAACGAGAGTAAGCTCCACGGGCCATGAGTCAGAAACCCTCAAAATACATGACACCCTATGGCTAGCCATCCTACGGATCACGTCAATTATCAACCTGTTGACCTTCAGGTATACTGCTGTACAGATGAATTGGGAATTTCCAACCGGATTAATAGAAAGCGAAGATAAGAAAGAAATGTCGTCCCACTATGTGCTGCTAAATACTGTAGAAATATCTGGAATCTAACTCTCATTCCTTATAGATGTAGGCTCCTCCAAACTCCTGCAACATTTACCATGGCATGGTGGATCCATCGAAAGCAACAAACCGAGGTGAATCCTCATGTTTCGCCTCGTTGACGCGCTGTAAAATACCCTCTACCGACTTATGAATTGGCATTCCTCCCGGACCGGTCATCCTGCCCATATCCGTTGCAACCCATCCAGGATGAATTGCCTGCAATGTGAATCCCTGGTCATGTAATTCATTGTGTAACTGGACAATGACCATATTTGCGGCCGCCTTGGACACCGCGTAAGGGCCACTGAAACCCCCTTTCGCATTAATCTGGCGCGTCATGGATCCTGATTCCGATGAAATCAATATAATCCGCCGGGTCTGACGGGCGAGCAGGGCTGGTAAAAACTCCTGAACAATCCTCAGTGGCCCACCCACGTTCACGTTGAAGTACTCAGATAGTCTTTCGTCGGAAGTAGTGAGGACTTTCTCTGCGTCCCCAAACGCGGCATTGATAATGAGTGTGTCGATCTCAGTTACCTGGGCAGCGGCAGCTTGAACTGACTTCCGATCTGCTTGATCCAGGATAATCGAGCTGATGTTCGAGGCATTGATAAGATCTGTGGGCTTACGCACCGAGGCAATGACCTGCTGGGACGGTTCTTGACTGATCTGTTGTATGAGCTCGCGGCCGATGCCACGGGACGCTCCGATGACCAGGGTGATGGAAGTAGCCATCTGTTTTATGCGGCATAAACTGGATATCAAAGAGGTTTGGTCGGAATTATGGGGGAAACAACTGGTTAGGTTTGATCATTGGTGAACTCAGCACGAGAAATAATACCTGGAATCCTCTTTAACACAGCATCCCGGGTGACCCCGCGGGGACCGGGATTGAAACGACCCTTCTTTAGCCGTGAAGGCTACATGCATGCGGTGATGTGCACTAACCAGTAAGATGGCAGACAATAGGTTTAGGTGGGCGCTTGCGCCTTTTTGTGCTCGTTACTCTTGCTCAATAATAAAGAGTAGTAAAACAACTTGAAGTCTGTTTGTGGGTTTCTAATGGTTGTAGCCCGATTGGAAAGCAAATCTCTCGCATTCTACAGTATCTTTTTTAGGACTTACTTATGTCTTCATGTCCTAAGGGGGGGATAGACGGTTGTGATTACCACGATGGTACGACTTTGGCGGCGGGTCTCGGCAATAGACGGCTCGGAATGTAACAGGTATTGCTCGGCCCCGCAGGGAAACCAACTATAGGAGACTGCCTCGGCCAATTTCTGCATCACAGTACTCAATACGAGTCTGTAGGGCAACAATAACCCAAAAATCGCGATTTTCTACACGAAGGCGCAGAATCCAACCAACATTTTGCCTCAGGCAGTTCAATACATGAATCCAGGAATATGTGCTTGGAAATGGGGTGCTTAAGGATGGCCTTGAAAACCAGCTGCAGGCCCATATTAATCGATAATTAAGGTCAATGCACTCCATCATAAGCATCTCTGGTGATTTGACAAGTCGGTATGGGAACCCCGTCGAACCGTTCGTGGCTTCCTCCATTATCGGAAAGGGCGTAACGAAACCCCATTCTGGGTAGACAAGAAAGAGTTCCATCAGCGGTTGGCCACGCAATGCCTTCTGCATGCGACGTCTGGTATTATACGTAGGAAGTATGTCGGATGCGGCTGGTAATGTTTTTCATCAAGCTGTCAGCGATGCTCCCGAGAGCACGACGATCATTAACCATATGACATCTTTGTGCTGTGCTTTCACTTTAACGAACTACATGTCTACTTGCATACGTCGGCCAGCACCGGATAAATCTCGAGGGCTCCTGGTATGACACATAAAAGCGGCTTTCTTGTATCTTCGTGGAACCTTGATCAAAAACGGAAGATATTTAAAACTAGAAGCAGAGTAATGTATTCTATGGTGTCATAAGAAGATCGAAATGGCAATTATCCAATCGGAAGGCACCGAAAGCATTTTTCAGACCCATCACCAAGTCCAAGTTCATACAAGCAAATTCCTGTGGCATTTTCAAGAATATTGTTCACGTCCTGCAGCAAGTACCAAACGCTCAGTCTAAGAGGGCAATGTGTATGGGCAGTACAGCGATGTGATGAGATCACATTATTGCACTTCAAGTGAAAGGTTTCCTGAAAATCCTGTATGCAGAGACTACTCAGTAGCTGTTCCACTGGCTCAGAAAACTGTTTTTGGAAGTAATTTTGGCGAAATGTTGGATTACACGGACCCCCAGTCGGTAACAGGTCAAAGAACGACAGATCTCGTCCCGATGCCTGAATGCTAATCTTCAACTTAACCGTTATTTGCGCTTTAAGTGCGATCAATTTTCTGAACATTCGACCTATGGAGCTATTAACGATCTCAAGTTCTCTATCCCAGTCAAATCGTGCTAAAAACCGCAATACTTACTTCGGATCAACTCAGGCAACAGTTCGTTATGCTTCTCGTCCAGTTGCCATTCACGGATACTGAGTCTCCGGATGTATAGCATTGTAGCCTTTTCGAACGCCTCGTGGTCTCCTTTCCAGAATGCCGCCATACTCGCATTTCCAAGCCGCCAGATATTTTGATCTCCTTGCTTAAATATTTGCTGTTGATAATAAACAGACAAATACGGCATCATACTCATTTGCTGTCCACAGCAATAAACAATATGCTCAACTTCATCCAGGTCGTCTTTTGCCAAATGGATGGGGAGACCCATTTCAGGGTCTCTATGCTGAAAAATCCATATAAAAATTATCATTGGATAAGGATTCAAGAGCTTGAGGATAGTAGTCTCACTCTGGACATTTGCCCGACCAATGCCGAGTTTTGGAAGACTGCCAACCATGCACCAAACTCTGTGGGATACCAGAAAAGTCAAATCATTTCCGTCACTGATGCGCCGTATGATGATTGTGTAAAGCAAATGTTCCCCCGGGTCCAAGTCTTTACCCCACAAATCCCGAATTCGCTGAACGACGAGGCCGTGATGGTATTCATCTCCGCCATCCGAAAATTGAGGATCCTATAGAGGAAGTTAGGTTTCCCGGTCCCTTGGATATAATAACATCCACTCACCCGAAAAGGAGTAGTCATTGAAATTTAAACAAGAGGCTCCCGGAGTACAGTCGTGAAACATGCACTATATTAGAACATTAGAGAGGCAAGGGCTCTCGGGCGATGTTGTAGACTTGAACTGAAAATTTGGTATGTCGGAAGCCCAAGTTCTGGCTCTATGTCAGATTGACCTTTGTGGGAAATTCCCTTCGGTGTCCCAAATATCTATCTTCCTGATTCAACCTTATGGACCATATAGTTTATGGAAGGCTTTAGCTGGCTATAGGCGGCTTCAACTAGACCTGTAATTATCAGCAAACAAAATAGCTCGGCAACCTTACACCTGCAAATTGCGCCAATTCCAAGGCGTCAGTATGAGAATAACAGTGGAAACTTTGCATCCATCTTTCAAAAATCCAGCATGCTATGGCTTGGTCATCAGAAGTTGTAATATCAAGTTCTTAATTTGAAGGAACCGCTGTCTAAGCGGGTACTGTATCCGAAGATCTGGCTGATAGGAAACAAGCCAAAAGCCCCGTTCCAGGGGTTAGTATGTCCCAAAATGCGGCAGCAATACAGGAATGTCGGGTCTGGTGTTATGGCATTATCGTTGAATGCAACCGTCATCCCAAGCATGACTCTTCAGCCGCTGCTTGAGCCGGATCCTTCGCTAGAAAAAGTCTCCATACTATGAGGGACATCATCTATGGTATTTTGCGGCGTAGTTCAACCGCAGAATATATCAAAGCTTAGAAATTAAAGGGCTTTTGCTGATTTAGCGAACAAACCTACAGTCTCCGTACACTCGATTTGGCTTAGGGTTCTTAGCCCTAAGCCAAGGGCCATGTGAAGTTCGAGGCTTGATGTAAAACTCATACCAGATGGTATCTGGAAAATTAGATCCTGAACTTAGCCTCCTTATCTGGTTCCTTGGTTGCAACAAACTGGATAAGATGGCGCTTTCTTGTACAGCCGGCCGTCGGTTTTGCCCACGGCGTGCTCCGTTTGTTCACTGAGTATTGAGGGCGATGTGGTCATTGCAAAGTAGCTAGGGGGCTGGCAAGCGAAACACGCTTAGCACCCACATTTCGGCCTTGTCCAACTTGGCCCAAATCAGATAGACTAACAAATACCGGGTGTTGCCGTTGGATGAAGCGGTCGAGATTGATGATGAGTGCCATGCCCCGCAAGCAAAGGAAACTTGGAACCAACATTAAGGTACTGGAAGATTCCACGGCCCCAGTTACCGTATTCGACTTTCTGGTAAATCAGCTGATACTTTTGTGCTTCTAGGAAGGTTCCCGGATTATAGACGGGTGTAGATGGCTACAGGACGGCCATGTCGGAAGGAAATCTGCCTCCAAGCAACTTAAAACAGTTCAACAATACGAGACCAGAATAGCCGGTTAAAGACGGCATTCAGCTGGAAGTTGAATTCAATCCTGTTAACAAGTGTCTGTTTCGCCTGGTTCCATCCCCATATGGGTATGAGATATATTAGACCGCATGTACTTGGTGCCAACTGGTAGAAACGAACAAACCACAACATTCAGAGTGCTTTCCCATTTTCTGTACTTCTGTACCACAAGATGACTGTCACCAACGGAACTGCGTTCTCTCATATTTCGGTCAACCCCTTGCATCCAACATTTGGCGCTGAAATCGGCGGTGTGGATTTTTCGTCTCCCCTGAGTGACGCCGCGTTTAACGATATATATGAAGCTGTAACCAAGGTAGGCCTCAAAGCTGCTTTGCCATAGTACTACTAAAACGCAACCACTAACACCCGATGGCGAATAGTACGGCGTCGTCGTGTTCCGCAGCACCGGCCTCACTGATGAGGGCCACATTGCATTCTCTCGGCAATTTGGAGAGCTGGATGACGTGAAGCCGTACATCAGTGCTGGTCGGAAACACCGTCTCAAGTACACCGAGCTTTTTGATGTCAGCAACGTCGAGGCCGATGGGTCCATCCTTGATCCTGAGAGTTCGCGCGGCCAGGCAAACAAGGTATTTCGACGCCAGGCATATGCCCTCTATATTCTCATGCTGACCAATGTGGATAATAGGGGAATGATCTCTTCCACGTGGACTCAAGCTTCAATCCCCGTCGCGCCGGATACTCGCTGCTCTTGGCGCATGAGCTGCCGCCGAGCGGCATGGGTGGTCACACTGCATTCGCAGATACTAGGACGGCATTTGACGACCTCTCCCCGGAACTCAAGGAGGAGCTGTTAGACAACGATTACGTGGCTTGCCACTCTATGCATCATTCCCGTAAGCTGGCCGCCCCTGAGGCTTTCGCCGGCGTCAACCCGCTCGACTACCCCATGGGACGGCACAAACTGGTGCAGCGCCACGAGCCCTCTGGTCGCATGAACTTGTACATTGCGGCCCACGTGCACCACATTGAGGGCCTTTCTTCCGAGAAGTCGGATGCGCTATTTGATCGGCTTTTCAAGCATGCCACTCGCGATGGCAATACCATTGAGATTGAGTGGCAGGCGCCAGGCGATTTAGTCATCTGGGATAACACCTGCACGATGCACCGGGCTGTTGGCGGCCCTTTCCTCCGTAAATACAAGCGAGACATGAGACGGACGACCGTTCACGATTCGAGTTCGACAGCTTGGGGTTTGAATGAACATACGGATGTCAGGCAGGGTTTGCCTTGAATACAGGTAACAGAAATGTCTGCATGTTACGGTATTTCCCAACCATCACGGACATGGATAGTCGGCAATATCAGGTTTGCTTTGTTCTGGCTTTCTCTTCTCAAACTCTTTTCTGTGTTTCGCTCCTCTGTTCCATAGTTTTCGAATGGAATTGGAGTCCCGCATGTCGATGTGATACAGTGTATTAGTGGATTGGTCTCTCGAGTCTCGGGACCGGTAGCGTAATGCAAAATACATCCGACGTATACAAATCTTGGATTGACTTACTCAAACATACCGCATGGCTAGTACACGAAGTATTGATATGAGAAGCGATTTATTGAGAATTGAATCCTCAATGGCAATTTTAGTGGTAAAACTTTGCTAGAATGTTCAAAATATGGAGTGTAGGGAGATTAGTGCTACGGTATGTATCTAGGAGAGCTTGTTCGAAGGATCTTCCCGATGTGCAAGTCCCTTGGTAGCCGTTATAGAGCTGCAACGGGGACAGAAATGACCACCTTTTCACAATATGCTGATTATTCTCCGTCGTTTGCTGCTATTCCAAGCTATTGAAACACTAGGCCTCGGCCTCAATGCGGAAAATTGTTTAAGTACATGACTGTAGGTCTAGGACGACCCGACCTTGCAACTTGCCGCCCTTCATCTCCTCGAAGACACGAGTTATATTCTGTACCTTTTCAAGACGGAAAGGGGTTGTGGCTACTCGCTTTGCCATGGCAAGCGTCTCCATTGCTTCCCGACGGTTTCCCACGTTACTTCCGATGATGGCTAACTGCTTACCGACCATCAAGTGAGGATAAGCGTTCGCAATTGGCTCCGCCTCGCCCGGAACTCCCACACAAACCAGCGTGCCATTGAATCTCAAATAGGAAAGAGCCTGAGAATATGCAGCGTTACTGGCGCTGCATATTATGACCGCTGCAGCGCCGGCACCGCCAGTGACGCGTAATATTTCATCAGCAATACCCGTGCTTCCGCCGTCCGCAGAATACTTGGTGATGTCGACAAAGGCCTCAGCGCCACATTCCTTGACGAAGGATTCCTTGTTCCCAAGATCCAGTCCAACAATTCTGAATCCCATTCCCCGGCCTCCGAGTTGCACTGCCAGATGGCCCAGCCCACCGCCGGCTCCAGCGATGGCCACCCAATCCCCAGCCTGAGCCCTGCTTTTTTTTAGGGCTGAGTAAACCGTAACTCCGCCACAGAGGAGTGGGGCGGCGACTTCGCTCGCCAGTCCATCTGGAATCGGCGTCACATAATGTGCGGGAGCCAGAACGTATTCCTGGAATGTGCCGGGCCACGTATAGCCGGATACCTCCGAGTTCAAACAAATACCGTCGGCACCGGCCAAGCACGGCATGCAGTTCCCACAAGCGGACGCGATCCACTTGATGCCCACGCGGTCACCGATGTTGACACCCGAAGCCTCGCACGACGACCCCAGCTGAGCCACGACGCCAACACCCTCATGGCCACCGACCTGCCCGCTTTTCACGGGCTCTGGAAGCCAACTCCACTAATGATATTATGAGAGTTAGAAAAAAGTGCCAACGCCAATTCCCTCTACGACGCGCGAATAGGAAGACTTACCGTATTAGTCATGAGGCTGAGGTCGGAATGGCATACTCCAGAATGAGTACTTCGATGGATTGTTAGTGTGACCAGATCTCAGTGAGGTCTCAGCGTACGTACATCTTGACCAGAATTTGGCCCGGGCCGGGAGCAGGAGTATCTAGCTCCACGATGCGAGTGGAAATTTCGCCCGGTTTGTCATATACGACGGCTTTGTGTGTTTTCGGGATCTCCATGATGAGATGAATCGAGGATTTCTTGAATGGGAGACGAATAGATGTTTGCGTGTTGCGAGGTAGTCTTGGGTGGTTGCAGGCACAGTGACTGAAAGAGGGCCAGTTGGAACTTATCTTCCTCCTCATATAGACTCGGTGCAGGAAACAGGCGCTCGATATTCTGCCCATCTGGAAGGGCTTGGTTGGCGCTGGCCCACTTTACTCCCATCTACAACCGGCCCCGTACGTCTTTAACCTTAATGCCATCTATAACCCTGTTCCGCCGGCTATAGACGCGGGAACGAGGCTGTCATCATTTACACTACTGCTGTGGATCGGCCTATTTCCGAGGCGCTGCTCTTCATGCTACCAAACCCTTGTACTATTTAATGTCACATCGTACTTCAGCACACAATAGCAACTGCATCCCTCGCACCCAACGTCATTTCACAACCGCTGTGCACATCCATTCGAAAACCCTCCGCGACCCTACACAATGGCAGCATGCGGTTTTAATTTCGAAACCTTCTTCAACATCGTCAACGGCGGGCGCCGTGTTTCCGATAAAACAACCTTCAGCATTGACCCCTCTACAGAGTGCAGGCTATGGGAGGTGCCTGTGGCCACGCCGCATGATGTCGAGGATGCTGTGAAATTTGCGAACGACGCATTTAAAAATTGGTCCACCACACCTTTTGAGCAGCGAGTGAGCAAGATATCTCAGTGGAAACAGCTCTATGAGCAGCATGTCGAAGACTTCACCAAGCTGCTCATGGCAGAGTGCGGCAAGCCACGCTTCATAGCGGCTGGCGAAGCGAACGAGGTCCTCGCTCTCTTCGACCACAACCTGCAGCTTCGAATTCCGGAGGAGCGGATTGAGGATGATACGCGCATCGCCATCACGCGCCATGTGCCCGTCGGAGTCGTCGCTGCCATCTGCCCGTGGAACTTTCCTCTTGTTTTGTCCGTCGGCAAGATCCTGCCGGCATTATTGACCGGATGCTCGATCATCGTTAAGCCGTCCCCATTTACCCCGTACTCGGCACTTAAGATGGTTGAGCTGGCGCAGAATATCTTCCCTCCCGGTGTCGTTCAGGTGATTGGTGGCGATGACTCTATCGGCCCAGCACTAGTCGATCACCCCAATGTCAACAAAATCAGCTTCACAGGGTCCAGTACAACGGGCAAGAGGATCATGGCCTCGGCGGCCGGGACACTGAAGCGAGTGACTTTGGAATTGTACGTATACCCATTGGGAGTTACGTGGTGCTCAACATCCGAACAGGATATTCTTTCTAAGTAACACAATCTTTAGGGGCGGTAACGATCCGGCGATCATCTACCCGGACGTGGATATTGAGAAAACGGCTCCCGAAGTGGCACAGGGATGCTTTGTATTCTCCGGTCAAGTGTGTGTCGCCACGAAGAGAGTCTATGTGCACGAGTCCATTTATGAGCCATTCTTGAAAGCCATGGTGAACGCGACCTCCCGGATCGAGGTGGGTAAGGCCGACAGCCCGAGTACCACGATGGGGCCGATGCAGAACAAAATGCAATATGAGAAAGTCCAGGACCTGGTGGCCGACAGCACAACCCAGGGCTACAAGTTTGCCCTCGCCCCGCGCCCTATTACTTTCGGCAAAGGCTACTATCTCTCTCCGAGCATCGTCGACAACCCACCCGCGACGGCACGAATCGTCGTTGAAGAGCAGTTCGGTACGTTAGCACTATACGCCGGAATGTGATCGCCCCACTAATATTGTTTGATGCAGGCCCGATCGTGCCAGTCCTCAAATGGTCGGATGAAGCGGACGTCATCGCCCAGGCCAATGGAACCACTTCAGGCTTGGGGGCATCCGTGTGGAGTGCCGATATCTCTCGCGCCGAACGGGTTGGTAGACAGATGCAGGCAGGGAGTGTGTTTGTGAATTCGTGGGCGAAGACGACGCCGCGGGCGATGTTATCGGGACACAAGGAGAGCGGAATCGGGGGGGAGTGGGGTTCCCTTGGGTTCCTTGAGTACTGTAATACGCAAGTTGTGCATGTCTTCAAATAAGGGAGAAGTTAAGTTGGTGGCGCCGAGTCGATAGAGAATCCATGGAATAAGTCTTGGCACCCCGCATTTGCTTGTCCCGTCTATTGCCGCCAAAACCTTCGATGTCCGAGCTCCCATGCCGACGTAGATATTCTCTTGTGAGCGCACCTCCCGCCTCACGCTGTAAACTCTCATCCGCAATGACTCGCAGTCGAAATATCCGTCTCTACCGCGCGTGCCAGCGGTGTCGCCAGCGGAAGCTCAAATGTGATCCGTCAGTTGGGTGATGCCACTCTCTCATTGACGCTACTAACTGCCTCTAGAACGGCCTCGCCCGGTGGCACTAAGTCCTCGTGCCTACAGTGTGCCCGGGCCGGGAATGAATGTGTTCTTGCCGGATCGCGCCGTGGAGGTAATTTCTCGCGGTTGCGACGTTCACAACAGGAGAGCTCTACACTAGTTCGCAGGATCGACGCAAGTCACGATCCGGAAAGCCAGGCGGGCCACGAGCGGAAAAGACCTGATGATCCTATCTACGCTGAGCTCACCAACCCTGGTGATGCGCTTCAAATTCTTGCACAGCTTGCTGCAAATGACCTCCAGTGTCCGAATCCTCCGTCCGTCGCGGAGAGGTCCAACGCAAAGCGAGGCCATTACGAGACAGAACCTCCTAACGACGGCATGCTTAACTTCATGCAGCTGCCTAAAACCCAAGCTGCACTGTCTGATATGGAAACCTTCGTGATCGGCATTTTAGGCACGGACACGGTGTATCGGCTGTTGCATCTGTAAGAAACCCTCTGCAACTATACTCCGCGAATTTGGATCATGCTGACCGTCTAGCTATGCTACTAACCACCACACTTTCTGTCCTCTTGTACCAAAAACAATCCTAGCCACGGCGGATTTGCGCAAGCTAGCAGTTAACGAGCCTTTCTTACTGGCAGTAATTCTGACAATCGCATCCAAAGATGAGGCTGCATATCAGGACATCCATCGACAGTGCTGGCAGAATCTTAAGCAACATCTACTTGATATTCTAATGGCTGCACCATCAACTTTAAATGTCGGGTCAGTGGAGGGTCTCCTGCTGCTCGCTGAGTGGGTTCCCTACATGCACATCGAAACTTCGTGCTGTCCTGGGCCGTTACCTGGGAGTGTTAGCGCGGTTGAAGATAATATGGCCTGGTCACTGATTGGCCAAGCCGTGAGGCATTCGTACCTCCTCCGCTTAGATAAGGCATCCTTTCGGGAGACAGCTCTTGGGGAGTCGCAGGACCTTCAAAACCGAAAGCGCATGGCATGGATATGTATGTTCATCTTTTCGGTACGCACCAACTAGATTTTGGGAGATATTAACCTATTTGGTAGTTGTGTACATTGCAGACCGACAAATATCCGTCCGCATGGGGCAGTCTTTCTGGTCGCGTGGGCCTTCGCTCTCGACTCGCTTTACCGCCAAAGATTTTCCGAGTCTGTGCCTCAGTTCAGACTCTCAACACAACTACGCATCCGTGCTAGAAGCCACTATTGAGCTCACACAGCTCCTTCACAACGTACACGACGTTTTATACTCGTCTAAAGAGCGCCGCCTGCAAATGGTTCGGCGAGGGGATTACAACCGCTACCTTGACGATTTTCGGTGCTCCTTGTCGTCGTGGCAAACCCGCTGGGATGACCTAGAGACATCGCCAAAGCTGAATTGCACCCTGCGCATTGTCATGGAGTATGTTCGCTTGTATGCCAATGCCTTCTCTTTCCAGTCGCTCCTTTCAAGGGCAGTCCACGACAACCGCACCGTGGGAGAAACAACTCCTGGATCGACTGCAGAACCCAAGCGTCCTCTATCGCTGTTCCCTCGGGGCATCATGTCGACCGCAGAGGGCGCATATATCCTCGAAGCCGTGGATGCGTCCCGGAATATCCTGACAATAGCTGGCCAAACCAATCCTGAATCGCATATTCGCTACATGCCATTCCGTTTCTACGTGTAGGTGTAACGCTCCAAAGAGACTAAGCTGCTTTTGACAAACGGTTGCCTAATATTGAAGATAGATACACTGTCTACTCCGCTGTCTTCTTATACAAGGCGAATGTCTTCGGGGCCCTAGCACATGCGGAAAAGATTGAAATTGCCACCTTGGTACAGCAGTTTATCCGAGTGCTCGAAGGAGCTGCCACCGAAGTTTTCCACATTGCTAGCCGTTTCGCAAGTCTACTAAAACGCATGTGGCGTTCTGACAAGAAGCTTCCTTCTCTTATGAGGAAAACATCGTCCGACGTTCTAAGTCAAGTGAATAATTTACCAGCCCGATGTGCACCCCCCTGGAACACCAACTTGGTCGATAACCAGATCCGTCATGATGGTGCCTTCGAAATGAGAGTTCCTGAGCTTATGGATGTTCCAACGCCGGATTTCGACATATTTTGCCCTGAACTTTCCAGTTTGGAGTCAGAACTGGTCGGCCTTGGCATGGGCGCCTCTGACTTTCCAACACAAGGAGAGATGTATTCTAGGATATTCATGGATTTAGAGTAGCTACGGAAAATGGACACTGCTAGGCTGCCTTCCCAAGCGCAGCTTATTATGCCTGATCCTTGACCTGCCTTATTAACTCTTGTCTCTAGCGCGCAAAATGTGACATTAGGTAAAGCCCATTGAGCGTGTCTACTGGTACGGGCAGGTTTTGCAATGATGGGAAATACGTTCCCGAGCTTCTAGTTCTTCGTTTCTAACCATTCTTCATGCGTTCGTGAAAACAAGACGTCTCTGCTCTTCAAACCAATTTGCGGCTCTCCAGTGCTTACTTGTCCAAATTGAAACCTCCCTCTCGTTGGATAGCTCAGCCCTTACTCTGCCTCTGGCAACCAATTATAGTGCGTCCGTTGAGCAATCCCTCATATTTCCAGGATGTGTGAGTCAATAGATGACGAAGTTTATCCCCTTCCGGGTCGGACAACTAACCCTGAATCAGCCACTCGTTCCCTACAAACTGCATTTTCAACGGTGGGGGATAGCATTGGTACCGCCACTGCCATAGATCTTGGAGTACTGTGAGTGTTGCTAATAATGAAATTATAAAAGGTTTTCTGGCCTCATGACAACTCTCTGCAAGTTAATTTGGGATACCACGCTTGAATAGTGAGGTTCCCTAAGCTGGAGTATCATAGAAATTGTTTTTCCACTTCTTTATCGCTGCTCTGTCTGAACCATCTCGCTCACCTAGTCGACACTCTGACATATTTCGCATAGAGTTGTGAATAACGCCTTAGGTTTAGTATATGACAGGATATGCCGAGGAAAGTAGTTCGTTTTGGAAGTGGGCTTCTATATTAGCTAGCCCTTTGGGTTTATAGCAAAGGGCATCTTGCAGCTGAATTGCTAATAAATAACCTTACATTGATCCTGAAGTATCCTCAACATAGACAACTTCGTCATGCTCTGCTTGGTGAGACTTGTGGCTGGGCGTTCTCTCTTCATCCTGGCGTTTATCTACCCCCATGTTCCATGCTAGTTTAACACCCTTGAATGCATCTTCAACTTCCTCCAGAGTTCTCCCCGACGTTTCAGGGAAAACAAAGAAAACATGAAGGGTCATAGCGAAAGCAAAAACGGCAAAAATAATGTAAGTCTTCCAAGTGATGTTGACGAAAGCCGATGGGACGAAATAGCTCAGAGCAAAATTGACGGCCCAATTGCTGGCTGTAGATAAGGCAGCGGCTTTGCCTCGAAGTCGGAGAGGAAAAAGTTCCGACGGATACACCCACTCAATAGGGCCCCAGGTCGGGGCGAAACTTGCCACAATAAGATAGGAGCAAGCGATCACAAACTTTGCGGGCGCTCCTGTGATCACCCAGCTCACTTCTGGGATATGGTCCAGACCACCTGGGGGAGCCGGGGTGCCATAGGCCCCCATTAGGCCTGCACATACAGTCCACCAGATGGCAAGAGATATACTACCTCCTATAAGTAATGGGCGACGTCCGATCCGATCTAAGAACAGAAGTGCGGGTATTGTCATAACAACGTTGATCACAGAGCTGATGGACGAAGCCATCAAATTTGAATTGCCACTGAGGCCTGCCATTCCGAAGATATAGGTGATGTCTAAACTTTTCAGTGAGAATTTGATCACACAGGACGTGATAGAACTTACAATACAGAATGGCATTAATGCCTGTTAGTTGGCACCATACCTGGACGAAGACCACAATGTGTGTTCGCCAAATCATATGCGGCCGGAAAAGATCAAAGTAAGTGTTATCAGTCTTGCTGCGCTCCATTTCGCAGGCGTCTTTGAGTTGTTGGATCTCCAACTGGATGAACGCATCATCGAGGTTGTTGTTAGCATGAATAGACGAGATAATGTGACAACATTCATCCCAGCGATCTTCCTTTGCCAACCACCGCGGGGATTCGGGCGTAAACGATAGCCCTACCAAGAGTATAAGTCCAGGGACCATCTGGAGCCCCCAAGGCAGTCTGAAGGCAATGGAACCGGCAAGGAAGGAAGAGCCGTAGGAAATGTAGAACATGATCAAAACACCCCATGTGATGGCCCATTGCTGAGCGCCCATCACCAGACCCCTAAGATGAGGAGGTGCGAGCTCTCCGACATACACGGGGACTTGCGCAGAACATATTCCTACACAAACGCCGTTGATAAAACGGCCCACGATTAACATGGGAATGTTTTGGGAGGCGCAACAGAGAATGCTCCCAATAAGCCTGGCAGGACATAATGTCAGCTGTTTTCATGTCTGCTTCTAGTACGTGACTAACCATAGGACAGATCCCATTTGGATTGCCGATTTCCGGCCGAATATATCAGTTAGGAACCCCGACATCAATGCCCCAATGAAAGAGCCGCCAGACATGGAGGCCGTAATTCCACCTTGCACTGTAGAATCCGGCCCCGAGCAGTGGGTTTCGTCATTGAATGGAGGCCCATGAGGCCCCTGATTGAAATAACATCTGTATTGGTTGGTAGGAAGGCTATATCTGGTTAGAAACAGCTTGGTTCTTCCAAGGAGGATAACTCACATGGCGGACATCGAGGACAGATCAAAGCCAAATAGCGAGCCCCCAATCACAGCAATGACTGTGATGATATAAATATTCGTAATCATTGTAGCTGAGGGAAAAGAATGTAGTAGCGATGGAAAGAGATCAATGTAGTCATATATTTATCCGAGAATGATATAAGGCTTTCGTAAAGCAATTATTTTCTATTGTGCCTCATTATCTATATTTTTGGTCTAACTTGCTACATCTATCTCTAGCCGTCTATTACCCTTCCAACCCGTGTTCCACTAGTAAATCTTTTTCCTTCATACTTTTCCAGTTTGACTTTCGTTTTCACCATGCGGAGCTTGAAGATTGCTACAGGCGGCTCTAGACGGATATACAAAAGACGAGCTACTACCTCATCTAATGGTAGTGTTTCTGCTGAGCACGTAGCCAATTTAAAAAAGAGCTATCATGGAAACCATCGTCTGGTCTATGGTGGTCCCAGTTAAAGTCATTTCGGAAACCATCTTGTGCCGTCCGAGGCAGTCTAGCTGACGTGACATCGGTGAGCATTAGACACTGTCTCCGGCCATCTAACGCCGTCCTCAGAAGAAACACTATCTTGCCTTATGCACACCACTGTTAGCGGTTGATTTGTTTGAAAATACTGCACATGTTTTGAGTTGAACCCCAACCTTCTCTACCAGCAGTGAGTGAGGATCCGACGACTATAGACGGTTTGAGCCGGAGCTGGGCCGCCATCCATGAGTGCTCATAGGGTCACTCCGCACTCTAGATGTACAGACAGAAGTAGAGCGCATGTTCAAAGTTAAGAACTTAATTTGAAGTATACGTCTTTAGCTGCCAATCTTACCTTGTAGCTCTTTCCACATTCCGTTCCCCCGGCCAGGAGGAGGTTTTCCCTTGCTTGCTTTCCCCTTTCGTTTGCTAGCCAAGAACTGACTTGCATGCGGATTTAACCAATGCAAGGTGGTTATGAGATTGCTGCAGAAAGATCCTTTGTCAACAAAAGACCAAAGTGCCTGGCCCTGTCGGTTGATAAATTAATAAAGTATATTTTGATTTCGTACTGTAATTGGCGTCCTTTTAGCGAGATGAACAGCTTCGTAGGTCGGCCCCATAATAGTGCCTTAGTTGCCCCCTTGAATAAGCAAGCCTTCAGTGGAAGCCGTCTATTGCCGTTTTGCGGGCCACATTCAAAAATGTTAAGGTTTCGCCTTCTGCTCGGCTCGTGATTACTAATACCCTTTTTTTGTGATGGCCTTTTCACGAAATATCGCGATGAACAGAGCACCATCAAAGGAATTTTACAAGAGCTTGAACCACTTACAAAGCTTGGGACTGAGCTAAGACATGGAAATCCCTCTCTACAGTCTCAAATTGTATTGACGTTGTAAATGTTGCGTTGCCACCCCCTCATGGGGCTTAATCCCAACCGCTGAACCTCTATAACAAAGTTCAAATCCATTCATGGGTCAGTTTCCCCCCATATTTCCAGCGCGCCTCAACTTGCCTATACAGTACCCCCCAATATTCCCCTTTTCCCTAAATTGGATTGGAGAGCCAAAACAGTCTCAGCAGGATGCCGTTATTGGCTCGAGCCAGCGGTTCTCCGTGGTCCCCCACAGCTAGGTGTGAATATACGATGGATCTAGTCGCAATAGACTCTTCTCTTACCATACCTAATAACCCCCTGCCGCACAAGTGCCCGTGAACGTGCTGACCTAGAATCGTATATTATCATCCACTGTCAGTGTACTTGTCCCGGTCGTTGACTCAGGGAAAGTGTTGAATATCTCTGTGGTGCCAGTTTTAGTATCATCTCTGCTCTTAACTGTCGCATCTGAGCCTACGATATTTTTGCCTCGACCAAGATGAAGTGATAGGCGGACTGCTTTTCGTTGCTTGCCATTCTGCCACAAAGCTCTACACACCCCGCAGAATTATCCTGACGCCTCTATTTGACTGGGCAAGAGCCCTGATTCCACGCACAGGAAAACCCTCGATCATGTCTGGTACGCATGCCAAGCCTAGCTAGTTCGTCGGTTTGGGGAGCACTTTGGGTTCTTGCGGATCCGCTATAACGACTTCGGCTTGCATATTTGCTCGCGCTATATCAGTCGCATAGCCGCGAAACCAAAAATAAACCGTTACCCGGTTTACGTCCAAAGTTTTCATACGATGCGAAATTCTTTATTACAAAACCCTGATGAAATCATTGGAGGGTACCATGGCGGAACACTGGCTATCCGGATAGTAATGATAGTCTTTTCGACAATTGCATTATACAATTCTGTCGAACTGATCGTTCTTGTTTTTGCGTCATTCTCCCACTACCACGGCCTTTACTTTTGGGCTCTTTTTCTGTCGGTTGCTCTCGGAGTGATTCCGTACACAATCGGTTACCTCTGCGAATTTTTCTCTCCGTCCCCAGCATGGCTGTCACTTACCCTTGCCACAATCGGTTTCTATGTTATGGTCCCCGGACAGTCTGTGGTCCTCTATTCGCGACTACATCTCATCGTTCGCAACCACAAAGTCCTTCGCCTCGTCCTCTGGTTTATCATAATCGGCACCGTCATCCTCCTCGTGCCGACAACGACTCTTGTTTACCTCATTGTTTACGTATCGACCAAACCGATCATTAAGGGATACAATGTGATTGAGCGCATGGAGCTCGCTTGGTTCTGTGCACAAGAGTTTGTTCTCACGGGTATCTATATCTCAGAGACTGTGAAATTAATCAAGATTTGGCCGGGGAGAGATAGGCGACGCCTCAATATTATGTATCAGCTGCTAGCTATCAACGCTCTGATCATCATTTTCGACTTCACGCTGCTGATCCTAGAGTATGTTGGCTACCACTCGCTGCAAGTTACATTGAAACCAATGGTTTACAGCATTAAGCTCAAGCTGGAGTTTGCCGTACTTGGCAAGCTTGTTGCCCTGGTACAACCTCATCACGTGCAGCAATCTTATGACAGACAGCACGAGTGTCTGGATTTCGTGAATGCGGCGCCGCTAGCTTCGGATATCTCACAAGGCGCTGAGTGAGACGTGAGCCCGGCCTAGTCTCCTTGGAAATCTTGCAGATTTTCGAGTGCTAATTCCTCCGGTCAGCACCCAAATTATCGGCTTTCTTTTATCCCTATGTGCATGTCAAACCGGGTCTTTAGACTAAGAGCCTAGCATTACTTATCGTCAATCGCTTACTGTTGACTGAGCCAATACCGTGGTAGAGGTTTTGAGACCTCCAGTGCCAGAAAGCAAAGCCAGAAGGCACGATGCTTTGGAATAACGCGTACACATTTCTGTTGGCAGCAAACAGCAATAGCTTTGGATAGCTTTCCGTTTGATCCCGCTCAACTTCTCCTGCTGGGGTTAGAATATCATATATTCTACCTTTACGAGGCTGACGATTATCTTTAAACTTTGGATTTGCGGAGGATAAGCTAAGAGGACAATCGGCTTTGACCTGAAAGTGCTGAAGTCAAACTTCCGTTGAGGACAAGTCAAGAATCCTCCAATTGGTACCTCCCAAAAGGCCAGCGAGTGCTCCAACCATTTCATCGAGTTGTGCATTTCTTTGAGGTCTGGCCAAGGCGAGCCTGGGCAGTCCAGCAAAAGGCATTGGTGAATCAGCTGGTAGTTGGATAAAGCCGCCAGCCTCCGAGATTCTGGCCTATGATAAAATGGTCAAGATTGTGCACGAATTCAAACACATGCTTGACCACTTCCCACTCCCGTGGGGCTAAAATATCGTTGATTGGTACACACGGCCACTATATTTACAACGCGTTTTTAGACCTTATATATAGGTAATATTTATAATTAAGCTTATAATTTACAGTTTAAATAATAATAACATAGCAATTTTATAAGGTTTAATAAATTACGGGTGTTTACTAATAAATAGTCGTGCTCACCTCTTGTATATCTCTATATTCAAAATATAAATTCTACAATTGAACTCTTATTCGCTTTCTACCGGTCGTATTAAACTAAAAATAAGATGATATATAAGTTATCGGGCAATGTTAAAAGGATCCCTTCTTGTTGATATTCGGACCACCTCTCCACATACCTAACCTTAATTAGGGAAGGCGTAGTATTTCTTTTACCAATGTCATACTGTATACAACCCCCCTAGGAGTGCCTTAGAAATTCGAGGTAAATTTTTTTGAAGATGTCCTCAATTACCCCTGAAAATACTCTCTCGTGCCGCAAACGGAAGATCGGAAAATGGCCATAGCACATCAAAACGAGGCACAAGGGTCCGATGCTACCCTACCCCCTCATTCTGCCCATAGTAAACGGGGAACACCGCCTCACTATCAAAGTGACCCCCCCACCTTTTACCGTATACATCGTTAGTGCGGGGGCAGCTCGACGGGGGGGTATCTTTCCCCCTTGCATCCTTGCAACATAAATTGCGAGTTTTCCTTTTCCCATATTCTATCGGAATTCGTTACCAATAGAAATCATTCGTTCCGCTACTTAACAACTTTGAGTCCCGGACTCCAAATTTCAAACTCAACATGTATTCTCCCAAGGTCGGTGACAGGCTCGAGAGCCTTGATACACCATCCATGATTGCAGACCTCGATCTTATGGAGGCAAACATCAAGAAGCTCATGGACAAGCTCTTACCAACTGGGCTGAGCATCCGCCCCCATCTCAAAACAACCAAGAGTGCCATCCTAGCCGGCAAGCTCGTGAAAGCTGGCGCCAAAGGAGGCTGCGTGGCCAAAGTCAGCGAAGCCGAAGCCATTGCTGCGGCTGGCTTTGACGACTTGCTCATCACATGCGAAATTGTCGGCCCTGCCAAAGTCAAGAGACTAGTGGAATTGTTCCGCAAATATCCGAAGATCAGAATCGTGGTTGATAGCGAAATCGGTGCCTCAGCCATCAACGAGGCTTTGGCAAGCTCAGGAATTGCAGAGCCAATCACGACGTTGATTGATCTCGACGTTGGGCTTCACCGCACTGGTGTGTCACCCGGCGAACCTGCCCTGGCTCTGGCTCGACATGTCGGTGGTCTGAAACATCTGAAGCTTATCGGTGTCCAAGGCTACGAAGGTCATTTGCAGCATTTGCATGACAAAGAGGACCGCAAAAACCAGTGCCTAGAGTCTATGCAGATACTGACGAGTACCGCGGACTCCCTACGGAAGGCAGGCTTCAACATTGAGGTGGTCACCACGGGAGGAACTGGCACCGCCGAGTTCTGCGCTACCGTTCCTGGTGTCACTGAGCTTCAGCCTGGATCATTCATCTTCATGGACACGGATTACCGAAATGCCGTCGGCACCTTCTATTCAAACAGCCTCACCATTCTGTCAACGGTTGTGAGCAAGCAAGGCCCCCGGGCGGTGACGATCGACAGTGGATTAAAATCTTTGACAACAGACAGTGGACTGGCAGAGTGTAAAGACCCGAGATATGTCTATGGGGTTCTTGGCGATGAGCATGGCTCACTTATGTGGGAGGAAGGCACACCGGCACTCTCCGTCGGTGACCGTGTTGAGATGATTCCGAGTCATATTGACCCAACGGTTAATCTGCATGACTTCTACTACGCTTACCGCGGAGGTGTGATTGAAGAAATCTGGCCAGTTGATTCAAGGGGAAAGGTTCAATAAGTGATGAGTGTCAACTTACGAGAATACGGGTTACGCACTCTCCAGTCAACTTTGCAAATAGATGATTAATTTATTTCTGAGATTGCTTCTCGTATTTTTCTGGCACAATTGTTAATCAATATAGGTTAGTTTTACTTCGATGCCTGGAAAATACTTGTGGAGATAGTATCGATACCCCTAACACCTACTTCACAGGCGTATACCTGATGTTACCAATGAGATATCGTCCACACAATGCGAGAGAGAGAAAAAAAAAAAAAGAGTACTTGCTATGGGAGAAAGTGACATTACGAAGCTGGTAGTAAATTGAAACTCAAATTGATGTCAAAGAAATAAGATATAGCAAAAGATTACGTCCTTGTACGAGCCATATGCAAGGCCTGAAGGGAAGAATTCAAGTGCTATTTAGCTAAAATAACCGAAAGTTTGGCTCTTTTATGCGGGCCTCAACTGGGATGGTTAGTCTAAGCTTTCCGATATTAAGCCTGAGAAAAGGAAGTTTGTGGAGAATGTTTCAAGGTAAACAGGAGGTTTCTTCTTTACCATTTCCAGCTTTCTTAACATCAACCCCACAGCGGTTGAAAAGGGACGAGGCGAGACAATTCAGCGAAATCACGTCGGTAACACTCAGGCCATGTTTAGGGTCAGTCATAAGAAAATCAATGGCCTCGGGCAAGTACTCCGGAAGCTCCTTGTACAGCTGTTCAAGTCGCGAATCAAACGCCTGTGGTGGGTTGCCTGAGCACTCGAATGCTACTTGACAAATTTCTTTCAGCTTTTCAATTACTTGCATGCGACGCTCTGGCTTGTACCGAAAGAGCAACTTGCTTCTGTAGGGCGGCTATTAAGTCATCGCGTACCTGGAATTGCGGATTCCACTCTTAAGGTGGAAGAGACATGACAATTGGCTTCTTATTGACTGCACCTTCGCTCTGGCTTCTCGGGGTAGCTGGAAATGATAAGTTTCCATGGGCAATTACGGTAGAAGCAGGAGAACCAATTCACCTCACTCCACTTGTGGGAATCGCAGTTTGCTGAACACTGCTACTGGGATTTGGAGGCGTGGAAGTCATGCGTAAGTGTGGGCATCGCTAATAATGAGCTTTTTAGATGGTGCAAATGCGGTTAAGGATGAGTTCCCTCGGCATTTCGGTCCTAGCGGTGGGTATTCTCATTCTTTCTCTTTATCCAATGTAACTTGAAAATTGGTAATGTTTGTTGGGCTTTTGATATCTGGTACACTGACGGATAACTTTGGGTATTATTATATGAACCTTTTTCTTTGTAAGATCATTACATTTTTCATTGTACCAAGCTGAAGGGTTTCTTTCTTTCTGAGAACCATGCTAAAAGGTGACCGAAATAGCAATAGTGTGCTTGATAATGGAGGTTTCCATATTTTTGATCATTCCATTTTGTACGGGCCGAGAAGTTTCCAAATGTGCAAGTAGCACTGGCTCGTGGACCCACTGAGTGGGAAATGAAAGCGAGCAGGGAATCAGGGAATCACGGATCCTGTAATTCATAAGAATCAATCGCCAGCATTTCAGCCACGTGCTTCTATACGCTGCTTATGCATGTGATCTAGTCCGTCGCTGTTCTGGGAGACGCCAGAAGGAGAATGACACTCGTGATCGTTAAAGCTTGCTCAATTCCGGGAGAATGCTTTGGTTTTCAAGCATCGGAAAGATTGACCTGGCCACACAACACGACATCTTCACCAAATGGGTACCACTTGACGTTTGTCAATCTCGCAGCGGAAATAGCATTTCCTCCGTCATCGAACCGCCTGGCGGGTGACACGACTACACCACCCTGACCTAGCCAAGTTGGAGCGATTGTGACAATCACGGAATTCAGTAGAGACATATGAGAAGGGCTTAGAAGAGAGTTGATGACCTGGCCACCACCCTCCACCATGACGCTCAAAAGACCATTCGACTTGAGGGTGACAAGGAGATCATGCCAGTTGATTTGGTGCCGGCCAGCCTCAGATTTGGGCATTTCTAGCGAGATAAACCTTCCGCCATACTTCTCCAGCAGAGCTTGCTTTTCCGGAGGGGGTCGGTCAAGTGCTGTCACGATCCATGGCGCACGGCCGCGGCCCTCTCTGCAAAGCTGAAACAGTTTGCTATCATCAGAGAAGTCCCACCGGGCGGATGGATCAATGACTACTGGTCGCGGCTGGCCATTCAAGCCTTCATTACCGTAACCTCCAACTCCTGCAATGCGGCAGTTGAGACCTGGATCGTCTGCCACTGCCGTACCGACACCAATCAGAATACCATCGTGGCGTGATCGGAGATAATGTGTCATTGCCTTCGACTGTGGCCCAGAGAGGACCGTGCGGGCCCCAGGTGAGAGAGCAAGAGAGGAATCGAGCGATGTGGCAAAAGTGAGTGTGGTGAAGGGGAGATCATCGGCAGTGCCAACCTGGGGCGGAAGATGAGGGTTCAGGAAGACCCTATCGGACTCGGGAAAGTCCAATGCATCTCTGGGTGTTGGAGCCATCAGAAGGAACTAACGGTTTGCCTATTCAATGTGACATGAATGAAGAATCAACAATCTTGGTCCACATTGGCGGTGAGATTGGATTGATATGTCACCTCCCGTATTATATCCGGCCAATTGGAGATATCAATCACTCTGTATTTCACAACCCCTATTTCTCGCTATTTATTGGGCCATTTCAAATTACATAAGGGTCCGCGGATATAGTATATACCGGAAGCATTCGGATCATCTATAGACCCGGTTTCACGCAGTATTCGTAAGGTAATTCCGAATAATATTGCTGCCTCAGGCACTAGGGCCTGACCCCAACATCAACGACTTGCGTTATTGGACCGTCGAGGATGATCCCTGTCGCCCTAGTTGGTGCTAAAAGCGCATTTACGCGCTCCCCACCACAGATCATCTTCCAGCAAGGCTCCCTGGACAGCCCAGCTTACACCCCGTCAGCTTCCCCTGATCCACACTGGCCAGTATCAGGTTAGACCAATCATGGTAGAGGCATTGAGTGAGAAGAAGAAGAGGGCCAGTGTTCCGAAGGTCCGTACGGGCTGTTTGACCTGCAAGTGAGTTCCTAAATCAGTTAAGTTCTCAATGTCGGAATCTGTCCGATGCTAAATTGTCGTTGCTCAGGTCCCGGCATAAGAAATGCGATGAAACCCGACCCATATGTCACATGTGCAGCCGTAGCGGACGAAAATGCCAGGGATACTTGACACCCCCCGACGGAAGGACCCGTGAAGTCCGAGATGCACGTCATGCACGTACAACCGGTAGGACCTTTAGTCTTGTGCCAATGAACAAAGAAGCTGCGATGGCTGGTGGCCTGGTGGTCATGGTCGATGCCAGTCAAGTCGGACTATCCAACAAGGAGCGTCAGTATTTATCATTGTTCCGCTCGCACACCGCTGCACACTGCACGGGGTATAGCTTCGACCCATTTTGGCAACTCCTCGTTCATCAAGCTAGTGAAGGTTATCCTGTAGTTCGCCATGCAGTTATTGCTATCAGTGCTCTGCATCGGGAATTTGCGGACCCAATTGCCGGTCAGGATGACATGTTCGCTCTTCAGCAATGTAATAAGGCGATCGGTCATCTTCGGAAAGGCATCATAGAAGATGACCTTTCAGACCCATCCCATACTGAGAAGGTGTTAGTTGCTTGTGTTGTCTTGATTACCGTTGCTCTTTTTCAAGGCGATGTCGAAGCTGTTCGTTGTCATCTTCGATCTGGAACGAAGCTCTTATGGGAGTGGAGAAAGAACAACGCCAAGCATAGCATCGTTGCTCCAATTTTATTAAACACATTTGTGCAGCTCCACCTTCATTGGGCCAGTGCCACATGGATGAATGATTACAAGGGGTCGGATTGGCCCTTCCTTCTGGAACTCATCGATGATAACATACAAGATATTATGAAATACCCGGATGAACAAACCCGGCAAACGCTTCTCTTGCCCGTTCAAGCTTGGCTAGTACTCTTCAGCGACCCAACGCGCTTCAACACAAAGACTTTCGACTCCGCGCCGCCACAAGGCTTCATGTGGGACACTGTTTCTGACAAATTCCATCGATACAAAAACGGATACCAGAACTGCGTTGTTCTTCATAAAAACAGAGTTTCCACAAATGCTCCAAGACAAGAGCGTGCCATGTTGCTGCTGAAGATAAACAATGAGATACTTCACATCACCCTTACCTCCTTACACTTTACAGGTTCTGAAATGGAATGGGACACACTCCTGCCTCATTTTGAGGGAGCGGTCGACGCAACAGAAAAACTGTTAACGGATTTCAGTGGGATGCTTGATCCCTACTTTTCTGCCAAGGAGGGATGGATCCCAACACTTTTCATGACCGGGATAGCATGTCGGGACTGGTCCATTCGACAGCGAGTGTTGAAGATCTTCGAAACATACAACCGGCGAGAAGGAATTTACTCCACATCAGAAGCTCTGGTTGTATTGCCACGCATTTATGAAATCGAGCATGCCGGTATTGCTCCCGGGGAGATCGTGCCAGAGCACAACCGCGTCAGTATGGCACATGTTGAAGAAACGCCCAACCACTCCAACTACAAGATGAAGTCTTACCATTTACTATACCGCGACGTTAACAGAGAGTGGCATAGGGAGGAACTGCTCTGTGGCGACACTGCTGTTAGACACGCTTTGAAGGGCCGCTTTGAAGTGGCCACCTTGGTTTGCAACCCAGGTCGTGGCTTTGATGATTGAAATGACTGATAAAATCCACGTATACATGTGACGAGACATATCTAGATAGGAGAAACGGCAGCTAGAATAGAAACTGAGCCATTTTGGGCGGCCTTGTCACTGAAGATATGTCGGAGCGCACGCTATTCGCAGTCAGTAGATACACGTGCTATGTTAAGGTGCGGATTTTTATAGCATTGAACGCGTATAATAGATGCTCTGAGTTATAGTATCTGGTAACTCAATGTTCTGATTCCCCGGTCAGATGGCTAGAAGCCCTCACGGTGTGCAGGAATGTATATTGTGAAGTTTCTTTCTTTTTCTTTCCTTTTTAGAATTATCTCACGCAACGGTGCTCTTCCCTGTTCGTCTATCGGGATTTAAAAAGAAATCATAACGTGGTCTATCCTCGCTCATAGTCCTATCAACGCCATGATTGCTATTCTAACTTTGACCGGATCTCACTCTTGCCGCTGTTGGTATGGTCAACATCTCAGCATTCTCACCTTCAAAAACGTTCGCCCCACCTGATCTGAGACGAGACAATTTAGCGACCCGGTTAGAGTCGAGTGAGTGGGAGCTGCTGCTAACGCGGTTAAGGCTCTTCCGCACTCTTCCCATATAGCAATGGAAGAGAGGTTTAATTAGTAGCAAAGAGCCGCATATTATTGCCATGTCTAATTCCAAGACTGCCCAGATCAATGACATACCACTGCTGTCTGTGAAAAGAAAAATATATTAGATAGTGTTCTTGTTGAAAAATCCCTGAAATGAACGTGCTTACATGTCAGGTTATCCGTCAGATAATTTTTTAATTGAAGCAGACGCAGAATGCTAAATATGCAAACTCTTCATACGGGTCAGCTTTGGGAATTAATATCAAAACATGAACACTCACAGGCAGCCGATCAAGAAGAGGACTGTGAGTTCAATCTTTTCGCGCAGGCGCATTTGAAGCCTCCACACCACAGGAAGCGGCAAACAGAGAATGAGGACATCCTCTATCACCGAGAATACTCCGATAATTGTGTAAAGGGTAGTCTGTCCAGACATACAAGATCCTTCAATGCTTTTGATCCAGAAATACTGGACAGGCCAACATTGAAATGTGTTCGCAATTAGGGCTGTGATTCCCCAAGCGACGACGAAGATGATTAGAGCGGTTGCGCAACGTCTCACCCAGTCCACCACGCCTACTACTCTTCGGAGGAATATTAACATTGAAATTTTCACAAAGACTTGTGCTATCGGCCAAAATTCTGAAGGATCCAGTTGGCCTGGGTAATGATACAATGTCAGAGCAACGTCTTCAGACCCAAGTCCAATGAATCTTACCAGTGCGATGCGTAGCTTTTGCTCGCGAGGAAGGGCCCAGATCGACCCTCCGGTTCCGACGCCATGAATTGCGGCTATTACTCAGGGTTAACGATATTTTTCACAAAGTAGTAGTTTTGGCACTCACAATATACAATGCTGATCGCGGCTCCCCAAGTGCAAAGGAGACCGGCTCCCATCAGTGCATCCTCAATCCGTAATTTATAAGTTGCTAAGCAGCGGGAGTAAAGACGAAGAAGGAAACAAGCTGTCGCAAGACCTGTGCAGACGGTTGGGACAATGATCAAAACAGCTTCCCAGTGATCTGCTCGTGAGCGGGGCATGTCTACTTGACGCTAAGCACAATCAATATCGCATTCCCAAATCGCCGGGGTTAGATGGATGATTGTCGATTGAGTGGCCCCTGCCAAGCTCCAAAGCTCTCGATCGAGACCCCGGATTTCACTCTTGGCTAGATCTTAATTGTGGAGCTAGCGTTGAATGCCCAGAAGTTTTCCAACCCCAAGAAACCCATCAGATTTAATATATAAAGAGCAGCTCGGCGTTAAAGAGCTCGGCGTGAAAGAGCTCGGCGAATAAGTTCAGTACGGCCGTAGGCTTCATGGCCGAGATTGTGCCATGTAGGTGCTTCGCCTTGAAATTGTGGCGTTGTCAAACCCCGTTAGGAAGGACAAAATTGCTTAAAGAGCTCGGCGTTGAAGAGCTCGGCGAATAAGTTCAGTACGGCCGTAGGCTTCATCGCCGAGATTGTGCCATGCAGGTGCTTCGCCTTGAAATTGTGGCGTTGTCAAACCCCGTTAGGAAGGACAAGACTGCTAAATGGGTTTTTCCCGATCTTGATGTCATCTATTCCAAGTCTACTGTATACTACTGGTTGTGGCGATGGTTTGCGGCTTCCGCCGTTTATTTCCAGAAACGGATTGGATCTTGCCTAGACTCCGCAAACACCATTCTATCAAACCTAATATTCCGTCGGCCGATCAGATCAGGTATATTTTCAAGAATATTGGGCTTTCCCAATCACCGCAAAAATCAATTTCATCACCTGGATATGGTCCTGGGATGATCGAGTAGCATATGGTCACTTTTGTGGATATGAATAATGACCGATAAAGCAAGAATGGTAGGGATTGACAGGCCAGCCATATGTACAAACCTCGGTCTCTGATCTCCATATCCCTGTAAGTCTTTAACGCTCCGACTGTGGCGGAAGAGAGGCTATCGAAGGCTCACTTATCGTGCTGATCCGAACTACTCATTTTGATATTTGTTTATGGACTCTGGATTTAAGTTAATATACGCCACGTGCAGCACGTGTGAAACTTACACCGACATTCCTTGATAACTCCGCTCCTTTTTGGGTAAATCCAGACTAAATTTCAAAAGTTGGCGGCATACATGGATAGATGCCTTGCCCAAGAATTGATCATGTTCTCGGTGGAAACTTTACAGCTCCATTCTTAGTATACGCTTCATTGTATGTACGTACAGCGGGGTGCGGGGAACTTCTCGTGTTCGGAGCTGACAGCGTGGCAGGAAAGGCCTCGGGACGCTACAGTGACAATTGGACGGTTAAAGCCCCGGTTAAATGGCTAGACACCAGTGAAACTGGGCTTGTTTCTTCTATTTTATCCAACGGCATTCATAAACCTGATAGCTCACATCCAGTGTTTCCCTCCCAGTTCATCCTTCTTTGACCCCTGGATATCGCAGCATCATTGTCAATTATGCCCGATCCACAATCTAAATATACACTCACGGAGGAGCAAAAGCAGCACTGGCTTGATTATGGGTTTATAAAAGTCCCTCAGTGCTTCACTCGAGAAGCAGCCGCAGAGTTCACCTCCTCAGTTTGGACTCGCCTGGGCGTCTCACCACATGACAAAACTACATGGACGCAGGAGAAGGTGAACATGCCCGGTCACACGATGATCAGCGTGGAAAGTTTTGCCCCCAAAGCTTGGCATGCCATCTGTGAGCTCGTTGGTGGAGCGGATCGGGTAGCTGACTGGTGCAAAGACTGGAAAGATGGTTGGATTGTGAATATGGGGAAGCCGGAATATAACCCGGAAGATGCGTTAGATCTTCGATCTCTGAATGACTGGCACAATGATGGCGACTGGTTTGTTCATTTCCTGGATAGCCCCGAGCAGGCATTATTGGTTATTCCATTGTTCAGTGATATTAAGTCTAAGGGTGGTGGGACGGCGATTTGTACCGATGGCATTGGACTGGTGGCCCAATATCTGGTATGCACTGCTGGAAGAAGCCGTCTCTTGCATGATTGCTTCCATATTCAGTTTCATCCACTAACCTCAAGGGAATTCTAGTATGACCACCCCGAGGGGACGTGGCCGTCCCTCGCCTCTCATAATGTCCCAAATACTCCCAGCGAGGGACCAAACTTCTGGACTGAATGGGCACATTCTTCAACGCATACAAGAAATGATTCCTTTCATGAAGTTACTGGGGAAGTGGGGGATGTCTTTCTTCTCCATCCATTTATGCTACACTCCGCTTCTCGGAATCTCCGACGTGATATTCGCATTATTACCAACCCACCAGTGGCCCTCAAAGAGCCCTTCAATTTCAATCGTGTGGATGGTCAGTATAGTCTGATTGAGCAAAAGACTTTGAGAGATCTGGGTAGGCCCGAGGGTCTACCTGAATGGAAAATCACGGGCTCGAGAGAGCTGATCACTCCAACCCGTATAGAGGTTAGTTCTTCAATGAGACCAAATTTCTTGTTTGTAGTAACCCTTTATCTAGAGACAATCACAGATGGCTCTTGAGGAATTGGAACGGGTGAAACGGTCAGGCGAACCTATCACCAAGCTGGCTGACGCTAAACGTGTGGAGTACTACCCGTCATGATCTGAATCCCTGTCTCGACAGTGAGCTATGAAATTGAGTTAATTACATACGAACTATTTTAATTTAATCAATATAGCTTCATTATAATTGAGATGCTGGAACGATTCCTTGGGATAGTCCTCAGAAGCCTTTTTCGACTTTTTGGGAGGTCTAATCGGGCCGATGTCACATTCGTTTGCTTTGCAATCTACGAGTGTTACGAATTTTATATTACGTTGTTACAATTAGCTGTACCACGTACGGCAAAAGCAATTGTTTCTGGTGAAGCTTTACCACAATTCATTGGGATTGTGGACACGCAAATCAACACATGTCTACTAAGATCCCGGGAGCTCCCATATTTATGAGCAAACGAAGCTCATCAACGAATGTGCAGGGATGGTTGTCTTGAAAGTGCCATCGGTTGCGACACGAAGGGGGGCCAGGACTGTGAGATCATTTGCGTTGTTTGTCACGTAAGGCCGAGCATTTTTAATTCTCGCAGAGGTGTGAACCTTCAAACTGATATCATATGCCTCAGTAGCGTTGTTGATTGCCTGGGTCACAATGCTCCCATCGTTGTTAAGGAATGAGCTGACATAGAGTAACGGCGCGGAGCTGGTAGCCTCCACACGACGAGCACCTGGTCGAGCAAACCGACTGAACTGGGCGAAAGCCCAGAATCGCTTGCTTGGAATGACCTCGTCCCCGATAAGGTTGATAAGACCACTGTCAGTGGTTGAATTCTCTGCGCCAATCCAGTAGAAGAATCCGCTAACATTAGCGTCCAGCAGCGCGACCTGAATATTACGCGCCCATGTCATTCCTTCTCCCGTAGCACCTGTGTTGAAGAACGTATAGGGAGTAAACCCACCCGAGAGATCGGCCCACTCCGTCACCCATGTCTTCTTCTTAGTGGAGAGTGGGAAGTTAGGCACGGAGTTGTATCCATGTCCAGTGACGACGCTCAGGTAGTTTTCCGCAGGATCAGGACCGGCTTGGAGGCCAGCCATCATCTGCTCCTGTTCCTCCCAGCCAATTCCATCACAATAGTTGATTGCTAGATCCATGCCCGAAGCCTTGATTGTCTTTGCGAGAATACGGATAAACTCTGCCGCCTGGATGCCATCGGACAGCATCCCGGCATATGATGCGGCGAATTCAGGTTCATTCAGGAATCCGAGGTTCGTCACTTTCACCCCAGATTGCTTATAAAACCGCGCCCACTGGACCAGGTAGTCGGCGTATGCTTGCATCCAGCTGCCAGAGGGACAGGAAGTGTTGGTGACTCCACACAAGTACCCGCCGTTGTTTTCGTCACCATTTGTCTTCATATACCCTGGTGCCGACCATGCGTTACCATACAGCCGGACAAGTCCGCGATCGTAGGCTTCCTGGGCTAGTGGGAACTGACCGCTATCGTTGCGATCCCAGGAGTAATGGGGCTTTGCGCTCGGTAATCCGGGACTGAAAGGCTCGATGGAATTCATGAAATTGCTGTCCGAGCTATTGCTAGAGCCAATGCCGTTGCGCAGGATCGAGAATCCGGCGCCCCTGTCAATGCTAAACAGAAGATCCAGCACATACTTGGTATTTTTGCTGGTGAGACCTTCTTTGCCGAAGATGTCGTCAGCTCGTTGAAAAGCTTGCGAGACGCTGAATCCATCCAATTCTTGGAATTTGATTGCTGTGTTTACCGAAATAATTGCAGCTTTCGTAGAGGACATTGCAGCAGCGTGGGTATAGGCTACTGCTATTATCAGGCAGACGACAGTCCCAATGACTGACGACATTGTTCTGTAGGGGTTGTATTCTGAGTGTAAGTGGATTTTTTTTCAAGTCTGCGAATAAGTGCACCAGGGCTTTTAAAGATCAAGTGAGCCGTAGTCTGAGGGGGTGCCCTTGCAAGTTTATTGAAATTAGGCTGAATACCCCATGCTTTTACTCCACATCCCGCTGCCCTCCTTCGGGCTTGTGTCCGATAGGTGGTTGCTGTTAGGAGACTCTAAAGCAGATAGGCTTCCTGACGCTCCCCTCACGCTACGCAGAAACAGTATAGGACTATTCCTTATTCGGTGACACTCAAGGCTAGCTTGCCCACGAGTCGAACGGTCTCAGTGAAGAATTCACTAGTAGAATTTATCACTGAAGATCTGTGTCTGGCCTTGTATGAGAGTGGACTTCCTCGGGGCACGGGTCATTTTGGAAGTGGGATTAAAATGAGAGTGATCAATATCAAGATACTCTTACTTTCTGAGAAAGCCGGTGATGCGATTCCTACATCCCCTCAAATTATTGCTTTACAACATTCGGAAACCTCCACTGGCTGGCACCCCATGGCCATTTGCTTGCTGAATCAGTATCCCATGTCTCCTTCCCTCTGTTTCACCTCCTTCCCGACCATGATATTGCTTCACCGTTGGTATAGTATACTTCTCTCAAAGTCCAACTAGGAAAACCGCCACGCAGAAAGTAAGTGCGACTGGCACTAACTAAATACTTCAATCGATAACACTCTCACAGACGTCCTCTCGGCAATACGGTTCAACTACACGACATGTTGCAGAACGACATCTTCGCATATCCCCCAACACCCAATATCTGAGTCTCAGTTGCGCATAACCTCCGAATCTCTTTGGTGCTGTGAATATTTTTCCGATTGCTGAAACCAAGAGGGATGATTTACAGCAGGCCTATTGCTGACGCTAGCGGGGCTAGATTTGAGTCAAAAGCTCTCGGTCCATCCAGGCACCCTATTTCTGAACTGCGGATGAAATGTGTGGAAAACCGCCCACCTGATGATGTTTGTTTCTGCTTCTGTCAGCTGCTTCTGTCGTCACCAAGGTCGGGGTTCCGATATGTGTCCCCCTGGAGTACTGCTGAGTTTGGATGACAGACTGTGTTGCTTTCCGGTTGGCAACATGCAACGATGCTGGTGAAATTTCCAACGAGCAAATGCTTCTTTGCAAATCTGGTACGTTTCAGTCCAAGAAAGGAGGGAAGTGGTAGGACTTAAAGAGCCCTTTTTCTACTTTGTTCCAAAAGCAAAATGGATGAAACTTCAAGTAATTGGTTAAACGACCTCAGCTAAAGTATGTTCCATTCACCCGGTTTAAACATGTCCAGATACTACCGTCAGGCAATCACGAAGCAAAAAAGAGAAATAATATCGCAAGGCAGCAAGAAAAAACCCGAATCACAAAGAAATAAGCGAAAAAAGAAAACAAGTCCCGGGGATATGAAGAACTTTCTCTTTCCGAACATTATCATCGTTTTCTAGAGATGCGGCAAAGTCTCACCTGGGAAATGAGATTCAGGGACTCACATGGAAAGTGCCAGTTCCTGTGTTTGGTCCTGAATGAAAGATGCATAAACAGACCCTTTGTCGCCGAAATTCTGTGGGTCGATACGCAAGGTGTTCACAAGATGCTGGCATTCTGGATTCTGCATGATGGCCGCTTGGAATTGAGCGATTTCAACTCCCAGGCCCACTTGAATTCCCTGATCTTTGAGTCCTTGCAGAGCTTTCTTGAATCTGCTGACAAAATCTTCGGGGGATTCTTGTGTGCCTTTGTAGCGAATGTCCAACCACTCCTGCCAGGCATAGACATGGGGTTGAGCATGGAGGGATGAATATGCCTTCTCTAGCTTGAGGTACGCCTCTCGGGCATCAGAAATCCCTTTTATGTGAAGGCTAGGCTGTCGGTCAAGAGCAAACAACAAATATTCCCGAGCCTCGGAGACAGAGCGACTCCATTGTTTGAGCGCAGCATCATACTGCATACAGACTTCCTTGTCTGGCACCTCGAGTCCTGGTATTTGGCCAAGAGCTTCTTTGATGGAAAGATGCATTGCCGAATCATCGTTCATAGCAGCTTCGCCGTGGTGCATGTTGAGGTTGCAGTCAGTGTTGTTAGGGGGGCCAACTTTACCGGCGAAAATATCCCAGTAGATTGGATTGATGGCGCATGTGACACGCAGGAACTTTTCATGCCACTCATTCCAGTTCGAGCTGCCTTTCAAGACTGGGACATTGAAAGCAACGTAGTTTGGGATGGTAGGAGCCATGTCGGCGGAATCGGGTTTCGAAAGCTCTGATAGAAATGTTAGCCGGACGTTGCACTGACAGATACTAGAGCAAACGATAGAACTTGCTATTGGTGGTCACCGTGTGGTTCGGATGAAGCGCCGGAGACGGTGGGTGAAGAGGGAATGGGAATGTTGAAGAAGGAAGAAAAGAAAAACGGACAGAACCCCTTTTAACTGGTTTTCTCCTCTCGCTTGAAGTCGACGAGTACATACCGAGTCAAAATAAACCATGTGTGGTTAGGCAGCTACATCAAGTATAGAAGCCCATCTATCTGGTGATTAACCCACCCATTCATCCCTTCTCCCATCCATCAATAGAACAATCAATAAGCCTATCAATGGAACAATACTAGGAAATTAATGCATTGTTATTAGAATCATTCAAGCTGTCTCACGAGTGATTCTTGATGAATACATCATCAACACTTTTCTTTGTACCTAGCATCCGGTAATGCCTATTGAGATTTCTATAAGACTAAATAGATAGACGAGACGAACAATGTTTCCATTTGACCTAGCGATATATTCGCCTACACAACTACAGGAAATATGATCCAGCCATATTAACCAAGCAACACCTGCTACATTTCTGTGTCCAGACTTATCGGCTTATGAGCCTAGCAATGATGCCAAACGAAGCGATCCAGCCGTTCAGCCCCCATGCCGTCCATTTCAGCCCAGGCCAACGGCAGCACCCGCCGCGGAGACTCCATGAGTGGATCCAGTATTTTGTGCATTGGTTTATAATCCGCGGAACGCACAGCCCGATGCAGTGGATGTTGGATTTACGTACGTATGAAATGAAGGCACATTTCAACACCACTACGCTGGGGAGTGTGGGCTGGATGGATCACGACCAGGTATTGTATAAGCAGTTCTAGTTCACCATGGAGCAACCTGTCATCACGCAAGAATTCTTGGTGAACCGGTTGATGTTGATCAGGGGGGAGCGAAATTCCATCGATCCCATAGATGAGGTTGTTTAATGACCCAAGTAAAGGGCGGCGTGGGGTGGGGGTTTTAAAGGACCAACAGATGCCATGGCCGGCGGACGGATCGCGATGGTTAGGAGAACGGCATAACAGACCGAGCCGACGAAGAGTTTGTATACATTCCCATGATGGAATGACAAGTCTCGCCATAGGAGAAAGGAACTGTGAGAGTCTATGGGGTAGCAAACGAATATATACAGTCACCTTTGCTATACTAAACCCCTGCTGGAATATAATTGTGCCCGCTGTGTTACCTAGGCCCGGAATTGTCACACTTTGGAGTTCTTTGGTTATATTACTAAACAAGCCCCCCTTCAGTTCATCCACTATAAGCCAAGAATTGTCTCCTGTCCGCCATCAGGAGCTCTGTCACCGGTCCAACGAGATGCTCGTCATAGCCCAGCGCCATCAACGTCCCAACCGTACAATTCAATGCCGCTTCCTTGTCTGTGACAACATCCCAGATTCGATCTTTCACTTCAAATTCGGTCTGGAAATCCATGATCTGATGCTCAAGCCGGGGCAACGGGTCAATCACGCTCAGTTGAGGACTGGGGCCGAGCTCGATGGTGAAAGAATGACTGCCTTCGGATACGGACGGGCAGTCAACAGCTAGACTAGGGGCCTGTGGATAATTGGCGACGGTAACATTGGCGTAGCTTGTTATGTCAATGCCATCCATGTCGACTTTCAGATTCTCCGGGATCGAAGTCACCGAAAGAAAGCGGAATGTGACCGGTCGATCGATGGCTTCGGCAACAAGTCTCCCCTCGGCCTGTTGGAATGTGATAGTACTTCTCCGGTACTGGCCCGTTCGTGGCATCGTCTCTGAACCATCTACCCGAGTGTCATTGCCATCATCGTCCTCCAAAATTACGGCTTGAGCATCGCTTCCAACCACGACAAGAATCTCGAGCGCCTCCGGACTTAGGCATCCATTCCGCGGAGCTGGGTCAGCATCCATGGGGATGATAGTACCCTCGGTAAGCAGAACGGGATACTCCTCTAGTCGCCGGTAGAAGGTGATCTCACGATTTCCGTCATACACGGTGCCTGTGAACAGGTCCACATAGCGAGACCTTGATGGCAGCCACGCCTTGACCGATGCGAGATTTGTCCTCCTATCACGCGGCTCCACGATCGGGGCAACCAAGAACTCGGAGCCCAGGATATATTGGTTCGGGAACGAATATGCCTTGGCAACATCTGGATAGACCCAGTACATGGGCTGCACCAGCAACTCATCCTCTGTAGAACAAAGAACGTTCCGAGTATAGAGGAATGGCAGGAGGCGATGCCTCAGTCTCATGAATACGGACATGACCTCCATACATTCCGCCCGATATAGCCATGGCTCTTTGGAAGTCCAGCGTGACAGGGCAGAGTGAAGACGGAAAATAGGTGAAAATACTCCAAGCTGCACCCATCGCGTCACCAGCTCATCGTCGCGGGCACCCCATATATGACCGCCAATATCATGACTCCACCACCCATATCCAATGTTTGAAGCCGTGGCGGTGAATTCTGGTTGGAAGGCCAGTGAGGCCCAAGTGACCACCGTGTCTCCCGAGAACCCTACGGGATACCGATGACTTCCAGGACCAGCATACCGGGAGAAGATTAGCGGGGTAGTAGTGCGATTTTTCTCGTGGTCAAGATACTGGAAATGATTCAAGAGCCAGAGCGGATCAAGACCAGATATCCTGGAGTGCGGTCCTTGCTGCCAGTCAATCCACCAGAAATCACAAGCAACCCCTTCTACCTTGCGGTGCAGGATCTCCAGGAATACCTTCATGAAACGGGTGTCGGTGGGATCAAACAGGATTGGATCTTTGTTATGGGTATCATGGCCGAGGGCCTGCGCACACTCCTCATAAGCCGCCTCATGCGAGTGGATTCCATTATGGGGGTGATCATTCAACGTGATCTTAAGGTTTCTTTTGTGTAGTTCATGTCCAAATGCCTGTGGGTCTGGGAAGAGATCCGTATCCCATGTATACCCGGTCCAACCAGAGTGTGGGACGGACTCGTGCGATACCAGATGCCAGTCCATGTCGATAACTGCAACAGATAGAGGGATATCATGAGCACGGAATTTGTCCATCAGGCCGATATACTCGTCCTGGCGATAGGCATAGTACCGGCTCCACCAGTTTCCTAACGCATATCGGGGTAAGACAGGTTGCTTGCCAGACAAGGCAAAGAAGGTCTTGATGGCTCCTCGATAATCGTGGCCGAAGCAGAACAAATACCCATCCAGCCTGTCTCCCGCCCTCCTTCCAGTTACGAAGTCTCTGTCAAAGAGCATGGAAGAAGAATCATCAAGGGCAGCATGGCCTGCTCTGGAGATGATACCTTGGCCCATGTCGCATCTGCCGTCGCAGAGGTCTAGAGTGCGGGCAGTACCACCCAGGTTGAGGTCTTCCGGGATCCCATACCGCCATGGAGCGCCCCACTCGGTGTGTTTCTCGCTGAAGTGAACAACAAGACCCCCAGGCGAAAAGCGTTGCTTGTTGTAACTCAGGTGAAAGTGCTCAGTGATGATCTCGAGGTCTTCACCATCGATGACACGGAATTGAGGAACAGGAAAATGGCGGTTGATAGCAAAGGTGGACGCTCTGTCCTCGAACTGGCCGTCGGCAGCCCATTCGTACCGAAGTAACCGATCGGTAAGGATCGTGAACCGGTATGTGGGCCCAGAGACGGTGGCCTCCGAATTCGCCACCGGATCCATGGAGAAGGCCATGGCTGGATAGAATTGAGAATGAGACGATGGCCAGGCACTGGAATTGGCTGGAATTCTGGAAATTTATAGACCTGCCAGACGCTACCGCGCCGGTGGGATCTCTACAAATCGCGCATTTTCTGCGAGTAAAACAGCGACGCCGTTGTTGGATGGAGGAGACAGTCCAATTCTGCGAGCATTTCTCCGGACTCCACTTCTACAGTACATGACGAATCTGGGCTACTATTGGGCCAAGCTCCCATAATAACCCCCCACTTGGCGCAAAAGCTCTGCAAAACTTCTTGTTCTTTTAGCGCGAGTTTCAGCGATTGGCTGATGCGGTAGATGCTGTGATCCCCTAGTTCAGAATTTCCCCATGGGGTCGGTATCGTGGCACTTGGTTGATATCTCGTATAAAGAGGGAGAATGTGCTTGGCTCGGTGCCCAGTAATTCACTGTTATATCACCTTTCTACCACCAACCGCTTCAGCCAGCCTTTCAACATGGACAAGTCAGGCCAAGTTTCGCATGTGGAACAACCTACAAAAGAGAGTGCCCGCAATGCTCTCGACGCCCAGAGCCAGATGGGCTTCTGCGAGGCCCTGCGGCTCTATCCTAGGGCTGTGCTCTGGTCCGTGGGCTTATCCACTGCCGTGATCATGGAAGGATACGCTGTAATGCTGCTTTCCAGTTTCTACGCACTGCCCCAATTCAACCGCAAATATGGCCAGCTCCAGTCAGATGGATCCTATGTCATATCTGCCCCCTGGAAATCGGGACTGTCGAACGGTGCGCTCTGTGGTGAGATCCTCGGGCTTCTCATAACGGGTATATGCCAGGACCGATTCGGGTATCGCATCACCATTCTCGGTGCGCTCTGCTTGGTGACGGCATTCATCTTCCTCTTGTTCTTCGCACAGAACGTAGAGATGCTGTTGGTTGGCGAGATCCTCTGTGGTCTGCCCTGGGGGGCATTTCAGACAATCACCACCGCGTACGCGTCCGAAGTTTGCCCGGTCGCACTCCGAGCATACCTAACCACCTACGTCAACCTTTGCTGGGTCCTGGGCCAGTTCATTGTCTCCGGAGTATTGAAAGGGGTGCTCGACCGGCAGGACCAGTGGGCCTACCGGATTCCGTTTGCCGTGCAGTGGGTATGGCCGATACCGTTGATGGTCATGTGTATCTTAGCGCCAGAGTCTCCCTGGTGGTATGTGCGGCAAGGCCGGCTGGAAGAAGCACGACGCAGCCTGGTGCGTTTCATGAGCGGCCCGCACGACGTGGTGGACGAAAACCTGGCGATGATGCAGCACACGAACGAGCTCGAGAAAGAAATATCCGCAGGGACATCGTATTGGGAATGCTTCCGAGGGTCCAACCTGCGGCGGACGGAGATAGTGTGTGTCACCTGGCTTATACAGGTCATCTGTGGATCACAGCTGATGGGCTATTCAACGGTGTTTTATATCGCGGCCGGGATGGACGAGAGCGCGTCCTTCAGCATGTCGCTCATCCAGTACGCGCTCGGAGCAGTGGGTACGGTGCTATCATGGTTCCTCCTGGCAAGACTGGGGCGGCGGACTCTCTACTTGTATGGGTCCTTGACTCTTTTCAGTCTTCTCATGGTTATTGGGTTCGTATCGCTGGCTCCACGTGGAAGTAGCACAAACTGGACAATTGGCGCACTGCTGTCGATTTTCACATTTGCGTACGATCTCACTGTCGGCCCGGTCTGCTACTCGCTGGTTTCGGAGCTCTCGTCGACACGACTGCGGGCCAAGTCAATTGTCTTAGCTCGCAATGTGTACAACTTTGGAGGTATAGTGGTGAACATCCTGATCAACTACCAGCTCACATCAACTGCATGGAACTGGGGAGCACGGTCCGCTTTCTTTTGGGCAGGGATATGTTTCTGCTGCGTGGTCTGGATCTTCTTCCGCCTCCCTGAGCCAAAGGGACGAACATATGCTGAGCTTGATGTTCTCTTTGCGGATAAGGTGTCTGCGCGCAAGTTCAGTTCCACTCAGGTCAATGTTTTCCAATCGGCGGGTACGCCAGCTCAGTGAAAGGCATGGAATACCGTTTGTCCTGTAGCTTTATCAATTTGTAGCTATAGGGAGCCTAAGTTTTGGTTAGAGGATAAGATAATGTTATCCCTTCACCTTGCCGGCCCTCCTCTGTTGAATCGGTATGTAGATATCCGGACGCGCCCACCATGTCAGACAAGCTGCCATAGCAGAGAGACAGCTGGGCAACGCGCGAGCCCAGGAATTTGGCGTACTTTGAATGTGAATTTGGGGTCATCGAGAGATGCCCCTGCAGCGCGGCTAGCCGATCTAAGTTTTGCGCCACTGCTTCTGTCCAGCCAGCTATTTTGACCGAGCAAATTGCCAGGTCCGCCAAAGTATTGGCAACATCGGAAATCTTTTCAAACTACTAGCAGTTAGGGTAGTTCCAACATAGCATATTCGGGAACTCACAATTCCCAGTCCATGGAGCTCCACGGCCTCGGAGGGCAGTTTTGACAAGACCTGCAGGAGTGACAACGCCAGGTCCTCCGGATATTGAAAGGTTCTAGACCGAATCACCGCTTGTCGAGATATCAGGCCCTGTCTGAGAGCCGCCTTCCAGAAGACGTACTCGAGCCAGTGTTGCGTTACAAGAATATCGGCTTTTTGGGTGTCAGGCAGTAAGGGGCAATCCGTAATCAGTTGAATATCGCCAGTCTTCCAGGGTGGTGTAGAAGAAGCTGTATTTTCCTTCCTCCAGAAGTCAATGAACCCGACGTCGATTTGGGAGTAGACCCGAACGAGCTGACAAAACCCGGCGTCTACGTCTGGTTGCGCCCCATCCATCATCTCAGATAGTGGTTGCAATGCATGTGATAGCAGGACAGGCTTATGCCTGGATATCGCAAGTGATCTCTCGGTAACGAAGAGAATGTTGTAGATCCGACGGTGAAATACACCATCAGAATTATCCAAACCGTCCTGGAAAGTACCTGTATCCAATCCAAGTCCCTGGGCCAGCGTAATTGCTTCGCGGAGATAGAACCAACTACTCCGACTATCGCCCAACTCAAAATGCGACACGGCCATGAAAAATGAGCCAAGGAGAGTCATGACTGTGTTGTCCTCAATAAAATTGTAAGTCGACCGCGTAGCCAGACATTTTTCTAGAAGAGACTGCGCAACCAGTCGCCATTCCATTCCTTGGATGATATAGTCGCTCCTGTCGCACATGAAGGTAATCACCATAGCACACAGAGCGCAGAGCATGCCGTATTCATTAGGTGCCAGTGGTCTCTTCAGCCTCTGGATCAGGTCGGAGGATCGGAAAAGCGGTATAACAAGATACATGCGTTCTACGTAAATGTGAACGCAAAGCTCCATCAGCTGTGACAATTCCTCAGCAGATAGAAGGCCGTCTCGTCCCATCCCACCGCGAGCATTTTCTTGAGCTGAGAGCAATTGATCAGTCCTAAGCGCCTGGATCTTCTTCCCACCACCGTATTTGGGACCGCGTCGCTTGCGGACGTATTCCCGACTGCACCCCAGCTGGGCACGCTGGCAGGGCGTGCAAGGAAGCATACCATCGCAACGAATTCGACGTTGGCGGCATTGATCGCACGGAACTCGATCGGCCGGCATGGCGGCTGCGATTGAGTGGCAGTATCAGGGATTGAAAGGTGGAAGAGTACGGGAGATGGCAACTTGGAAGGTCTGCGCTGCCCGGCGGGGCTTCCGTCCTCGGCGTGGCAATACGATACCTACAGTGGTGTATCATAAGTATTTGACCTTGGGTGCTTTGACCTATGACCCACTGTTTTATACTGCCTCGCAGAAACCTCAGAACTTAAGTTTCAGTCTAATAACTAGTACGGTATCCTTCATAATTAACCCATCAGCCACTGCCCCTTTTCCCGCGTATCAAAGGCATGTTTAACACAAGAATGCGAGAGTTGTATTAGAACATGTTGGTATAACGTATGTCCCAAGCGAGCTGGCCACCCCAAACACCATAGTAAATACGATATATTCTACACTGATATCTCAACAACACGATTTTATTTTATTTTATTGTTTGCCGATAGCTGTTAATAAGGCTTTTCAACACTATATATTAATTTTGACGAAGTCTAAACCCTACATTGTTACGGTATCGAAAATTACGTTGCTACGAGCCAGAAATATAAATATCTCAACTACTAAGTTATATAAATTCTCTAAAACTCCTCTTAGATACTAGATACCACCTAAAAAGCATTAAATTTTAAGGAATAGTCCCTATAACCTGCCGTGTGATCCCTTGCGGGATGACGGTAATGTTCTGGCAGCTGCCCTGAAAGATGCAGGGGTGAGCATTCAGGAGGATCTCTACAATGGCATACCTCATTGTTTTTGGTTCTTCAACACTCTTCCCGAATGGTCTGCGTTTAGTCACAACGCCATTTCCGCTATTCAATGGATTCAGTCACGATGAACACGTTCTTAGTTTTGTCGAGCTTCTATAACTTCGAAAAGAATGATAGCTACGATTTCCTGATTTCGATAACTTTCAACCGATTGGGAGCTGATAGTTCAGAATGAATGCGACTCTACGTTAATTCACGACGGGCTATTCTTTCAAAGTCATTTGCTTTTGTCTTTCTCCTATCATTCATAAGCACTTGGTGCCCAGGTGTATGTGCAAAAGAAACCCTAGAGGTTCCAAGGTTGCTCTAAAGTAAGGTATCATCCAGAGTAGGCCGCAGCATAAGGTTTGGGAGGAGAACCTCGACCGCACGGCGCGGTTTGAGGTTTCCACGTTAAAAGCCCGCACCTTGGGTTAACCTCGCCGAGTTGCGGTTAACATGTGTATTATGTTAAGCCATCCTATTATGCCTAATTAAGCCTTGGATTTAGCACTACAAACACGCCCCTTCTTGTATATGCTTTTAGCATATTGTCGCATCCTTATAGTATAATATAAGTTGAAGTTTCTGTATCATATGTAATGTATAGTAGTCATGTCTTAGGGCTAGATACGTGCATTGAGATCGTAACTGGTCTCTACTTTAAATTGCTGTGACATATATTCCTTATCCAGTTGGACGAGAATGTAAATGCTTTAGAGACTAGAGGTAGCCCTAGTGAGCAGAAACACCTTTAAGAGACAAAAGGTGAACCTCTGCCATGATCCACTCCAGAACCCAAAAATTCAACGAGTTCACGAAACAGTAATGGTCGATGATCCACTGCTCTGGTAGCCCTCAGTGGAAACAATCTGGTAGTTGTGAGAGCCCAGGTTCATTCCAAGCGAAGCCCAAGCATTGAAGTGGTTGGCAGTGGTGACAGTTCCACTAGACCGCTTGCTGCGGCGGATGGACCAGTACTGGGTGAAAGTTGCAGTGCCTGAGATGGAGGGCTGGTTGACCTGCTGGTGGGTATAGATGTCGTAGACCGATCCATCGCTTGTGACAGTTCCCTTGTAAGTCATGCTGCTGCCGGGGTTGTAGGTCCCGTAGTTCTCCATGATGTAGTACTCGATGAGAGGACCAGTGGTCCAGCCATACACAGCAAGGTAGGCATTTCCAGAAGGGTTGAATGATCCAGAGAAGTTGATGTTGCTAAACAATCACAGGTGTCAGTAGTTTATCGGCAGAGCGACTGGTAGATAGATCTTACCGGGCACTGCCAGTGCTCCAACCCTTGCCAGAGGTGAAACTTCCACAGTTGGTCCAAGAAACGCTGTATTGACCCGAGTTGCCATTGGTGTACTGGACATTACCTCCCCCGTTGGTCCAGAAGGAGTAGTAATAGCCATTGTTGGTTCCGGTCTGGCTTGTGGTGATAGCTCGCTTGCTCAAGTCACTCGGAGCTGCGAAGGCGCTTGCGAAAGCACAAGCGGCCAAGAAAAGGCCTGAGAAGGAGACCATATTGATAATCAGAGAAGTATTTGTAGCTTAGAAGAATGAACAGTTGTTTTGTCGTGGTTTAAAAAAGTTTCTCTCCAGAGGAAGAGGGACCTTTTTATATTGACAGTTGCAAGTGGGGCGGGCCCTTCTGCTTTGTTTCAGCTCCTGGATGTCTTGCTTCAATTTAACCAGCGATTTATCCACGACAACCTAGTCTCCATAGCACTAGTGAACGACGGGCCATTTCCTTCTTGGTGCCCGGCTCCGTTCATCACATACACTGGGATCTCACAGTCACCCGGCTAGGCTAAAACCGAATAGCCCAGTAAGTTAAGCGAGGGTTGGGTGCCGTAAGCCATTGGTACGGCTAATCATTTCAGCCAAATATAAAATGCAACGGCCGTATGCATATTCAGGCACACACTTGAAATGCCCTGAAATGCGGGGAAATTCGTCACGGCTGTAAGGGTTGCCGGTGGCTTGGCCCAGCTAAAGCCAAGGGACACGCTGAAACACGGGTTATCGGCCGTTTTTGCCTATACAAATCAGACCTTGGTGATTAAAAGCTGTTAATTTGAAGCCAAGACTCGAGAAAACTAAACAAAATATTCGATCCATGGATCCGCGATTGTTATCTCATTGGAAAAGCTTAGCGCGTGGGTATTTCCCGGCTGTGGGTATTTTCCTGGTGGATATTCTCCAGGGATATATTTAATGGTCGTGACTTTTTTTCTGTAGCCTGCATTTACAGGAAGTTATATCTTTCATCTGGCCTTCCTTTGTGGTTCAAGAACAATATTTTCAGGGTGAACAGGTTCCCAAAACAAGACTTAGCATCTTGATCCAATTCGATACTCCAGTTGTCTCAAGTATGTGGCGTGTCTCGTCTCTGTTTCTCAAATCCACAAGGCCTTATCCAAGGGTAATCAAAGGCCTCCGAATTCAGTAAGATATACCCATGCATTTATCAATCAATATCCAGGCAGCTCGTTTAATACAACTATCTCGCAGGAGAAACATTGCGACCCAAAAGGTGACAGCTGAGAGTGCACACGACCGCCTCGCCGCCCAGCGTCGAAATCGTCCTACTGCTCCACATCTCACAGTTTACAAGTGGACTTACGAGTCATCAGCTTCCGCTATCCATCGGATCACCGGGCTCCTGCTTTCGGGAAGCTTGTACGGTCTTGCTACACTATATCTCTGTGCCCCTGCCTTAGACCTCAACCTTGATTCGGCAACTATGGCGGCCGCATTTGGCTCTCTACCTGTCGCTGTGAAAGCATCTCTGAAGTTTGGACTCTCAATGCCGTTCACGTATCATGGGTTCAATGGAGTGAAACACTTGATCTGGGATTCGGGTCGACTTTTGAGCAAAACACAGAGTGGAAGGTTGACATGGGTCGTTCTTGGTTGTAGTATGAGCGCCTCTTTTGGTTTGGCTTTATATTAATTCTGAGCTGTGTCATTGCTGGAGCCCCTTCCACTCCCCTAGTCCTTCAGGTGTGAATATGTATGTAGTAGAGTTTATCTCATTTGGGACGCCGCTTCAAGAGATCGTGGATGCGAGCCATCGAATCATGCGCAATTTCGCCGGTCTCGGACAACGGCGTACGCAGTAAAATCTTGGCGAATACACACAAGTCCTGTCCGTGAATCATGATTCCTGCCCGGTAGATTTGATTTTGGCTTGACTTGGATTGTAAGGTTTCCCATAATACCTTCCAGCGGAGGAGAGCTCTGTCAATCTGTCTTTTTGCCTCAGACATATTGCAAAAACTGGTTCGCAGTCCGAAAATGATACGGTGGAAAGCTTCCTGGCTATCAGCAAAGTTTCCTATACATGTCTAGCTCCGTGGGCCTCACCAGTAATCACAATATATAGTGCAAAGAAACTAAGATTTTTGTACTGTGGATCTTCCGGGCCAGTCCAACTATCAGACAGAAGCTCTTGTATGAAAAGGTTTAATGGTGGCGGTCGCTGATAATTTCTCTCTTTGGTCGCCCAAAGCTCCCACGTTGGAGCGTCAGGGATTTCGATTCCTTTTTCTTCTGCTGGGAGATCAAATCGTAACTCCGGAGCTGTTAGGATCGGCGGGTCGTTGAAGAACATGATATAGTGGCAATCCATCATGGCAATCGAAGACATCATCCTAGATAGTCAGCTTAACGGACGTGATAATAGTGTATTAAGTATATCAAGTAAAGTGAACAAACCTGATACAGGTCTCGTTTTTGAGAAACTGATCATGACGGAATAGCCTGCTATTGTCATGCCAGCAATTCTTAGTCTGAGTTAAGGATGTCACTCGAGCGACTGATACCAGAGCTGGATACCGCTGAATTCGAGTCCGACGGCGCGTTGCAGCGTTGGGACTTGATAATTGAATCAAGAGTATAAGGATCGCAGCTTGGATCAACTCAATTTCATTCGCCTCTAACGAGGCCCCGCCGGTTTCTTGCTTTCTGTACATTAGCCGTTGGAAGTCCGCGCTTTCAAAGACCACCTCTTCTGCAATTTCGGCATATTCAATGGCTTGCAGTTTGACGCTATCGGACGTATCGCAGTCCGCGCCCATCAGAAACATGGACAGTAGCAACGGAGTGGAGACTGTCTCCAAGTTGAAGGTAGATTTCAAGACGATGCGAGACCGCGGGCGCACTATTCGCTCGAAGTACGCCTCAATATAGTCACCTACCTTGTGCTCTGCAAAGAATTCCTGCGCGTTAACAGGGCTAGGGGCTGCTTCATAGTTGCCACTCATGGCTCTTGATCTGACAATGCAATCAACCATTCTGGCAGAAGCTGTCTGGCGTTGATCTAGGTCTTCCAGCCCTAGTGGCAGTGTTGAGCTTTGAGTTTGTCCATCAATCTTGAAAGAACCAAAGAACATGTTCCAAGAATCTTCGAAGAAGAGATGAGCTTGATCAGCTTCAACGCCACGGCTTGGCAGGGCAGTGTCCAGACTTTCATCAACGGATTCCGCAGTCGAGAACAGAGAGAGAACGCGATTGACATCTCCGGAGCTGTGGTTTCCCGGTGCAGAATAATTTAGCAAAAATGGTAAAGACGTCTTCTCCGGACTTCGCTCCTCCGGGTTGGTTGCACTGCGCAGGCTTTGGCGACGAGTTGACATGCCAGGGGCTAATAAAAGCCCACTCGACTCATGCGGAAGGGCGTGAAGACGTTGATAAGTACAAGAAATCCCATTAGCTTGGCAGGTACTGCAAGAAAGGCCTCCATCGCAATTGATTCGTTGTTTGGCGCAGCTATCGCATGCCTTGCGTCGACGGCCGGGCGGAGCAGGCCCGGGCTTGGGCTGGGCTCCAATCCTGGGGCAGCTCTTGTAATGCCTCCTGAGTGCGTCGCTACACAAGTAAGTCACAGAGCAGTTTGCGGATTTAGGACACTCTCACTTCCTTGAATATTTGCGATCACAAAATTCACACTTTATCGGAGACTTGGAAATATCTATGAGGAAACGTCAACCTCGCGTCTGCTAGGGGCTTCAACATGACTTACGCGACGACTCGTGTCGCCGTAGGTGATTTTTGCTTGAGAAGAGTTGGTGGCAGGTAGCACACTTGTAACCTGGACCTGGCATGGCTTGGGCTTATTTGACCAGCTGGATCTTGCAATGAGAGAACGGCACGGAGTGCCGTGGCGAAAAGGTGTCGGCGGTGAGATCCCGCATTCCCTACACAAGCCTCCAGAGCCTCGACCCAGGAGGGTACAGAGTGGCCATTCTTGAAGCTTTTCCACGCATATATGAGAACTTGACTTTGACGCAGACGATAAAGTGTGTCAAGAACCCGGGGTATGAGTGCCAATACTCAATTGAGGTTTGTGTATCGGCACTGACTCTTACGGTCTAAAGGTATCAAATTGATGTATTTCATTCCTAGCGACTACATTAAATCTAGAAAACATGGATTTCTTGAATAATTCCGCAGGATGACCTCATACCATGGCAGACACGTTGACACATCCGAGGGTGCAATCGGTTTTCAAGGCATTGATGCAAGCCCCAAAGGAGATGCTTCTGCAGCTTTAATGGCCCATCGACCACATCAAGTGTGACCTCCTCTTCATTAGTTCAAGCGTCATTATGAATAATCATGATCAGGCCTTGGAAGAATTCCTCCTTCATAGATCGTTGCCCTTGAGCAGGACATAACTCTCTGACTGTGTCTCATACTCCCACCCACATTCTTATGCATAGCCACCTTTCGAGCTGAGCCGTGGTGCGGCACCGTTACACATCCAACTCTAAGCTACAGCCACTCTCCCACCCATATTTGGGGCTGGTGCAAGGGGCTCCTGTGCAATGCACCCCTTTCGGCGCTGCTATCCCATCTGACACACCAGTTCTTGGACTAACTATTGGTTGGCATGTAGGATGAAGCTTAGTCTGCCAATTATTAACATGTGAGGTAACCCACATCCGCTCAAATGGGTGTTTAGCCACATTCCATTGTCTGCGACACTGACCCGCAAGCATGAGATATTCGCTCTACACTATAATTCTGTGGCATGACTCGGTTTAGAGAGAGCCACCCTGGTCAAGTGCCTTGGATAGAGTTTCCTTTGGGGCTCTTGGGTTTGGGCTATATAAATTTGATATATCCTTTCCTTGCCCCGGCAATGTGATCTGACCATTTCTGTCCACCTACTTAGGATTCGCTTTTCAAAATCATGGGATCTGAAACTTTCAAGAAAGTTCTTGGCTTGCAAGATCCTCCCAATTCACCAGATAAAAATGCACCACATTACGAATCTGATCCAACTGTGCTGGAATGGTTAAGCGGCGTGTTTCCTTCCGGGAAGGAACTTAGACTATACTTTGCCAGACTGCTTCCTTTCACGCAATGGATCAGACACTATAATTTTCAATGGTTTTTTGGTGATTTGGTTGCAGGTATGAATTAATTGACGCTCGTTGTAGCGCATGCTAACCGCAGTAGGGACTACTGTTGGGGCTGTTGTAGTTCCTCAAAGTATGGGATATGCAAAATTGGCCAATCTTCCTGTACAATACGGACTTTATACCTCATTCATGGGTGTGTTGATCTATTGGTTCTTTGCAACATCCAAAGATATTACCATAGGGGTAAGCTTCCAGCTATTACATGGCATTTGCATGTGCTAACTTATCAGCCCGTCGCTGTGACGTCTACAGTTGTTGGCAGCATTATACTTGATGTTCAAAGCATCTACCCAGACATTCCTGGTCCACAAATTGCCCTTTCAATCGCCATAATCTCTGGGAGTATCATCGTATTTATGGGTCTCGCGCGACTTGGCTTTATTGTTGATTTTATTCCCCTTCCAGCAATTACAGCATTCATGGTTGGCTCTTCTATAACAATCTGTTCCGGGCAGGTCAAGGGGCTACTTGGCGAAACAGCCAGCTTCAGTACCAATGCACCGGCATACCAAATCATCATTGACACGCTCAAGTCCCTACCCACGGCGCAGGGATACGATGCCGCTATGGGTGTCACCGCATTATTCACTCTATATGCTCTCCGCGGAGCCTGCAATTACGGTGCTCGCAAGCACCAACGCTTTTCCAAGCTCTTCTTCTTCCTAGGTGCTCTACGGACCGTATTTGTCATTGTTTTCTTCGCTGTGATCAGCTTTGCGGTCAATTTCCATCGCCATGCCAATCCTGCTTTTGCTTTAGTAGGAAATGTGCCTCGAGGCTTCGAACATGCCGGTGTCCCAGTACTTACAGGAGACGTTATCAAGCTCTTTCTCCCTAAGCTCCCAGCTTGTGTGATCGTGCTACTCATTGAGCATATTGCAGTCTCCAAATCCTTTGGACGAGTCAACAACTACACAATTGATCCCTCGCAAGAACTCATTGCTATCGGTGTCACGAATCTTCTAGGCCCTTTCGTCGGTGCCTACCCAGCAACAGGAGCTTTCTCTCGCTCCGCAATTCAAGCAAAATCCGGCGCCCGATCTCCGTTTGCTGGCATCATAACTGCCTGTGTGGTTTTGATTGCCATGTATGCATTGACTCCTGGACTATATTATATTCCCAAAGCATCATTGTCAGGAGTGATCATCCACGCAGTGGGAGACCTAATCGTGCCCCCGAACACGATCTACCAATTTTGGCTTATCTCACCATTGGACGCCGTGATTTTTGCTGTCGGCCTAATTGTTGCGATTGTGAGCACGATCCCAAACAGCATCTACGCAACGGTTTGCGTCTCAGTAGCAGTCCTCCTATTCCGCCACGCAAAAGCCCCAGGACACTTCCTAGGACAAACCTGGGTCAACGACAAAGACGCCCAACGCCCTCTTTTTCTCCCTCTCGACGAGGCAGATGCAAATCCAGCTATCAAATTCGAGAATCCTCGACCAGGTGTCTTTCTCTACCGTTTTTCCGAAGGCTTCAACTACCCCAATGCGAATCACTATTCCGACGCCCTAGTTCAAATGATATCGAAGAGCACCCGCCAAACAAATGTAGAGGTTTATGCAAAGAAGGGAGACCGTCCATGGAATGACCCGGTCTCCTCCAATACAGATGATCTGCATCTACCCATTCTCCGGGCAATCATTCTTGACTTCTCGGCTGTCAATAATGTGGATGTGACATGTGTACAGAATCTGATGGATGTGCGCAAACAGTTGGATCGTCGCTCTGTGCCTGTCGCTGTACAGTGGCATTTTGCTAATATCAAGAATCGGTGGACAAAGCGTGCACTTTGCGCTGCCGGTTTTGGGTCTTCGCCCTCAACGGGAAACCAGGAGATGGCTTCGACCGATGTGAATGGTCAAATCCCCAATTCTAATAGGGAGGGACCGTCTGATATTGAGATGGCTGGGACCACAGGGGTATCCCTACCTTCGAACCCGTGTGATCATAAAGTAGAGGCGGAAGGAAAGCAGTCTGGTGCTTCGAGTTTGGAGCCTTCTATATTTGGAAACCGGACTCGGCCATTCTTTCATGTTGACTTGGCGGCTGCATTGCACAGTGTTGATGTATACTTAGCTGCAAATCCTGAGGAATAGAGATAACACTAAGATGTTTTCCTTGGACCCTTCGCTGTTGTCGGTATTTGTGGTCTGTTACTGGACATCCAAAGTAAGATTTGAGTCATAAATAATCAATCCATATTTCGGTCATGTACAAAGTGAGAGAATAACGTTATCATCCAGGTCATTAGACCAACGCCAGCCGGGAATATTGAAAACAAATACCGGAATGCAGTCCTGTGCAAGTGTAAACAAAAGATGAAGCAAACAAATCATAAAATAACAACCATGTCCAGAACCCATCAATAGATCAATGCATCAGTAGCCAAGTGTCATAGGGCACACCTCGAGGCTGCGTCTTCCCATCACGGGTAGTCGAAAACAAGACCGGCTCGAAATCACAAGCAGCAGCATACTGTCGCACCAACTGACGCCAATAGCACGACTCCGCAGCAGGGGTAAGGTACCGATCACGGAAAGTGCGCACAGCATTATTAGCAATGCGCTCGGCAACCTCGGGGTTATCAATGAGATACTCCATCTTGCGCGGCAAATCGGCGAAGTCACGGTCAACCTCAACGTAGTTGGCGTCTGGGCCGGAGGATACAAGCGCGGCATGATGAGCCTCACGCCACTCGAGCGCATGCGAAATGACGACAGAGCGGCAGTTCAGTAGGTACTTGCCACGACCAGAGAAGCTTCGGCCTTCTGCATGTGCCAGGAACATATACCGGCAGTGATCCTCGATAGGCAGAAGATTGAACCGAATATCATTTTCATTATCCCAGTCAATAACCCGCACACTAGCCCAGCTATGATCCAACGCAGACTTAAGCAGCTTAGCCCGCACGGGCGGGTTTGTTGCCAGACTACCACGCCACACGAGCTGCTTCTTCTTCTCTTGAAACTGCAAGCCAGGAACATATGTGCCGTCTCCTTGGAACTCGCCATCGTCGATAGCTGCAATGCGACGGCGGACTTCGTGGTATGGGCCGATTTGGACCTCGGGCCAGGCCCAGTATCCGAAGTCGGGCATCAGCCAGACTGACACGTCAGAGTCGCGCTTGGAATAGGCCCATACGGGTCCGCTGCCATTTGGATCTCCGGCGAAGTCTTCTGTTGTGAAGGTGAATTCGATGCTGGGGAGGAGGTGTCGGTCTGGAAAGGCTGTTAGGGCGCGGTAGAGGGAGTTGAGTGTTGCGCGTGCCCGAGTTGCTGTGGCAGGCATTGGGGCATAGTCGACGATATATAACTAGATGGTTAGACGTCAGAATCAATGGCACTTATAGTAATGTCAGTCTAGTCCGGTGTTTACTAACCTCTCCGCGATCAATGATACCACGGACCATACCATCATCCACAGTGCGAGAATCAAACTCTTTGTATGTGAAATGACGGTCAGCTCTCAAAGCCGAAGACTTGTCAAGTTCATTATAAAGCTTGGGGAATGCAGTGCGACATTGATCCTCCGACAGCCCGTGGTTATTTCCATCACGCTCCACGACAAAATCCCAGCTTTGATTTCCCGAGAAACTCGAGGCCGGACAGGGTCGTGAAGGCGCTTTGAGAATATATTTTGATGAGAGTTCGCGGGGTGTGCCAGTGCCGATAATGAGGAATGTAAGGGTGAACAGAGACACCAGGGCGCCTGTAGCTATGTAGCGGAATGAGGGGCGTTGGGTGAACATTCTTGGAATATTCCCGAGTATATCCTGAAATTTCAAAGATTTCAGTGAGCTTGAATCACATCTACGTCTTTTGGTGAGACGGTGAGACGTGATCAAGTGCTTTCGTTAGATGTCGTTGATGTCAACGCTGATTGTTTCCACGGCAACGCAACTGAGACATCTACACTAACCAATGATATCATATAGTTCATTTGGGATTGTCTAAGTGTCGGTATTCATAGATGCGTCTAACATGAATATGTATGCGTTATTATTAACTACAAAATAGGGGCAGGCAATCTAGTGTCCTACGTCGTATTTTAAAATGTACGTACGGGAGAGTAGTGCAGCTGTGAAGAGCCTCGATGATTTGCTCGAGGACCACGCAGTAACCCAGATGATCGGGATACTTGCGTACCTGTTGCCAGCCCTCAGACGTTTCCGGGAGTATGAAGAGAGAAAGCAGGGGGGAAGTTAAGGCATTACCGATCGTCGCGGCTGAAACAGCGAAGTCTGAACGAGCTGCAGCTGATGCTCTTATAGTTCGATTTCTAACCATCCTGGGCCCCTACAGACGCCAAAATGTCTTCCCTCCCCCTCTCCCTTCGAATTATGGTATTCAATATCATCGCACCTATCCAACCCCGATATCAAATCTCTCCGACTGTCATGTAACAGTTCAGCAATGTGCACTTTGCGGTGATATCATATTGTTCAGTTCTTGTTCGAGTGTCCAGACATCATAGCCAAGTCTAACATTGATTTCTACACGCTATTGCTAAAACACTAACAAGATATGTGCAACCAATCTATAGTCCCAACTATATCGGATTATTATGTACATAAGAGGGAGGCCACGCGAGTCGATATATTCAAGGGGTATCTCAACAGGTCATGAAAGGAAACGGGCAAAACGAAATGACAAGGCAGAAGGCAGACTTAGACCCGTAATATCATAACACATGAAGCAGACGAAGCAAAACGCTTCTCCACAGGTATATCCGCAGCACAACCAGCTGGCGAATGAAAAGAGAATCATCGGCCATCGCTGCTCGCGGCCGCACTGGGACTGTTGCTATTGAAGTAGCTCTCGTCTATCTTCAGGATCCATTCCACCTTTTGTGCCTCGGTGCGAGTGGCGAAGAGGAACGTATTCTGGGTTCCGTAGACGGCGAAAATATTCGGCCGTCCCTTGGCGGATAGTGAGCGGTCTGCTCCAGCTCCAGACCCGTCGAGTAGTCTCGCAAAGTCGGGTGCATGATCCACGCGCGAGTTGCGGAGGTTGATTGCGTTGATCTCGTCGCCCTCTGGGACGGAGTAGATGTGGAGGTACGGCCTGCGGAGCTCCACGAAACGGCGAACCCAGACATTGTTTGTGTCATCAGGGGTAAGCACATAGCCCGTTTTCAAGGCGGATGGGTTTTTAGGAAGGGTTTGAATGGTAGCCACAAAGCGAGGCTTGAGTGACACCTTGTCGGAGAGGCCGTTGGTATCATTTGAGTTTTTGATGTGCGACGTAGTCGCCGCTCCATCTGTAGGGGGTTCGGTGTTACTCCGGATCAGGATCGCTTCGGTGGGGTCCTGTTTGAGCGACCACAGATCAAGGTACTTCCGAAGAAGTTTGGACTTGCGTTCGTTGAGATCTGTGCCGCGCATTGGCGTAGACTTTCCACTGCGAGCCGGCGATGCGATCAAACTGCCTGCGCTGAGAGCACCTCGGGCAGCATGGAGCTCGGCAACACGCAGTCTGCGCTTACGAGCGGCAATGTAGTCTCGCACCAGTGAGACTTTTCGGGGTGCCCAGGTAGTTAACAGCTCCTCTCCTTTGACATAGTCATTCTGTGTGTTCATGCGCCATAGGTCAGCAGCGCGCTTGGCTGAGATCGGACGAATGACCAAAGAGTACATCCGGGTCGTCGAATGCACAACACGAATCGAGTTCCAGAATTGCTTGAACATCGACTGCTGGCGAACATAGGTACGTCCCTGAATCTGAAGAGTTTGGTCGGCCTCGAATACAACGGGGTTCTGAAGACGACTGGAAACGAGATCCCAGCGAACTGTCACCTGTACCCGGTACTTATCTGCTGTCACTCGGTCAAGCAATAGAGAGCCGTGAAGACTTGAGTCCCATTGACCCACGATTGTGACGTGGGATGTCCCATCAGCGTTATCCCTGACCATTGGCTCGTGAACAAACTTCAAGGGAACGTCCGGGGTCTGGAAATCCTGGTCTGGAATCTTGCCCCAGGGATCGAGAAGGCGAACAGACCCCACGCGAATGTTGTTGATGTCGTCCCATGGGAGACTTTCTGTCGAGCTATAGGTCATATTGATGGAGATACGGCGCTGTAATCCTTGGTGGAGCTGAGATGTGCCGGCATCAAGACTGCTGCTCTGCACAACCTCCACAGGGAGGTATTCACCAGATTCGGCCATTTCAAGAATCTGAATTCGAGCAAAGACGTCGTGCCGTTCCTCTGAATAGAACTCCGACTCGGCAATTCGAGGAGCAGTGCGCTTCTGTGGCAACGGCTCTGCCGAGTCACGCATATCGTCCCAGCTCAGAAGCTTGTCGAGATGAACTGAAGTCACACAAGCGTAGACACAGACCTTCAATGCGGCTGTCCGGGGACTCGAGAGCGGCAAGCTCATGCTGTGCACGCTTTCAAACCGGACCGGGCCATCCTCGAACCCATTGATCATCTGAGTTGTAGTGGCGCCTCCTTCCTCTGAAATTCCCGGGACGAACAGCTGTGCATGTACGTCAGACCCTTCCCACTCGGCAAACCCAACCATGTCCCGCATCACGACGTTGAATTTCAAAGTTGACGACGGTGCCTGAGCGGAGGATGGCTCGAGCGAGAGTCGAATGATTCCGACGACACTTTGAGTGTATGGCGATGTGATCTCGATGGAGAAGTCTTGCACGCGGGTCTCGAAAACGGCCGTCAGGGGGATGTCGGCATCGCCAACGAGGGAGTACTGATGTGAACACGGTTCGGAGAAAGGGTTGTCGAGTTTGAAGTGCTGAATGTAGTCGGGACGGTCGATGTATTGGTGTAGTTGGCGCATGGCCTGCACGCGGCGCTGGAGCTTTTCGATTGACCACAGATGAATCACGCACTGCTTGTAGTCAATTACTCGGACAGCCACACAAGGCTTCTTAGCCTCGTCTAGCAAGATGTCCTCGTCTCCAGAGATTCCATTCAGCACAAGGTCATATGACGATTCCATGTTATGACCATGGTCGATAATGGCGAATTGGAAAACCACATTCTTATCCATGATGTGACTCATGATCTGTGCCTCTTTCATGAGCGAGGCATGCTGCAGGATCTTCTCTGCCATGCGAACATAGTTGCGCTGGGACCAGTGGCCGAACACCGATCGTGCAACTTCGATTTCGCGATCGTCCAGTTTGGCGAAGCCATTTTCGAAGATTTGTGGGATTGGTTTGCCCATGTCTCGCATCTGAGTCTCGAAACCCTCTTTTTGCTTTCTCAGTTGCTCCTCAAATTCTTCTTTGGCGCTTCGCAAAGCCTCTTCCATTCGCTCTTTCTCGGTTCGAAGCTCTGGGGAGTCGGGGGTAGATGATGCTTCCACAGTCTTCAGTCTTTCTTGGAATTCTTCCTTGCGACGATCCAGCTGTCGCTGCATATCCTGGCGAGCTTGGTTGAGCGAAGCGGCGCCTGGGTCTTCCTCGTCGTGCTGCTTGGGGGTGCTTGGCATGGTGATGGCAGTGTCAAGAGAGAAGTTGTCGATTGTCCCGTTAGACATGTACTTGTCTCGAATGGGGAAGGAGCTAATGGAGTCGGAGTCTTCCTCGTTTTCTGGCAGGCCACGCCGACCCGCTCGAACCTTCTGCACATCCTCGAACAGAGTATCGAGCTCATCATCTGGCAAGTGAGAGATCTGATCCGGACCCACCATGGCATTCACAGCCTCTCTGCGAGCTAAGAACCAGTCTGATTCACGGCCACGTTGTGATGGCATCGGGGAGTCTGTCCCGGTTGAATCGCCATCCACTTCAGACCCGGTCTTGCTCAGATTCCGATCGTGGGTTTTATTTGGCGCGGGGGATCCAAGCTGGCTGGTGGTAACGGAGTGACGCAGTAAGCTCTGCTCAACACGTTCGGCTCGGGCTTCTTGGGGATGGTTGAAGCGGAAGATATGGAAGTCACCAAGGATGATCCGGAAACCACTCTTCAGTCGTGTTGGCTTGTCAACCCGCATACCGTTGACCATGATAGCGGCCCCTTCGGTGGGGACAATTGTCACAATATTGTCCACATTCTCGAATGTGCAGTGCTTTTCAAGAATCTTCGATCCATTCAGTCGAATCTCGACGCTTTGACCCTGATCCATGTGGCCAACTGTGGTGGTCCCTGGCTTAATGTTGTACACCAAGCATTCTGCAAGAAGGGGATCGTCGCTAAGGTTGACCAAATGGGGCATCTTCTTTGGTGTACTCAGTCCAATGAAACCCTTTTCAATATTTATACCGAGTTCCTCCAACGCAGCTTCACGCTCCTTGTGGATAAGTTCTGTGTTTTGCAGCTTCTCCTCCCAGGTCTGATTGAGATCTTTGTAAAGCTTCTCACTCTGGTTGAGCTGTTCCACAATCTCGGCCTTACTGACCTTGGTGACACTTCCGTCTGCCTGTTGGATAGAAACCATTTGTTTCTCCAGCGGTGTGTCAGGTGGATAATATTCCTCTGCAGGAGCTCCCACGCCACCGACTGCACCTGGTATCACTCCACCTCCAAGCTTGGAGCGGAGCTGTGATAATTCTTCCTTCAATTCGCGGATCATGCGTGCATTCGGGTCTTCGTTCACAACGGCATGGTTCTTGATTCGTTTGGCGGAGTCGGCGTATCGTAAGGTACCAAGAGTTTCCTCAAAGTTGATATCTGCAGGAGAAATGGCTGCAATCATAGATGTCATGGAGTTACCACCCAAGGAGTCTTTCAGCAACCATGTGAGCACTGAATCACGGTAAGGGACCATGGAGGCATTTT